AATTACAGCATCAATGTCAACTGGCATATGACGTTGTACATGCAACAGAGAAAGATTGGACATCCTTTCGTCTCCCATAGTTGTTCTCAAATAATTTTTAACTCTACGCATCGCACTAAACGAACGCTCACTAGAGGCCGAGGATACTGGCATGGTCAAGAAAATGGACAGAACGCAGAAAATGCCAGGATAAATGTCTTTGTTGGTTTTATTCAGGAGATCGATGATTTTATTCGGTCCTGTATCGGTACCAGCAAGATTCCATCTAATCCTCCATCTTGTTATTTCATCCACAAACTCTACTTTGCTAGTGAGGTCTGACTTATAGGCGTTGTACAGACGATCTGTAACATCCGCTGTAAGGTCTTGCAGTTTGGCTGGTAGCAAATACGAAATTAAAAATCTCTCTTCGTTCTTTGTTACTCGACTAGATATTTCGTTTACCAGGTGATCTAAAAAGACGAGATACAACGAAACTCTCCAGTAATCCGACGGGTTGTTTAGGGGATGATTTTCTCTGTGTTGTTGACGTCCTGCTCTTCTTGGAACGCATGGCTGCAAGTCATGCTCTGCAGCTATTTCAGTTGCCCTGCCATACAATGCATCCCAAACACTAATGTCGTTTCTTTCATCAGTTAATCTCCTGATAACGACTTTGGCCTCTGTTACTGCTTCTAAAAGGTCTATGTCCTTTTTTTGAAGATAGTTTGTTAAGGCTACTGTAGAGCTCAAAACGTGTTCCGCTACAACTAGTGCAATGATAAATTCAAATCTCAAAATAGCAGCTAAGTATTGCGATGCCTTCTCATCTTTAGCATCTTCAAGTGATTGGAGGGCAGCAACGACCACGGGGAAAGCTGAGCGGAAGGTGAACAGTGAATCTGCTCGACTTGACCAACGCGTTTCGCACAGTGTTCTGAGTTTTGTTCGTCGGTCCATCTGCTCCTGTACGTCATCGTTTTCAGCCAGTTCGTCGGAGAATGCTTTCAAACGCTTTGCAGAATAATCAAAACAAAATGCCACATCCTGCACTGTTGACATCATGTTTCGAATGCACATAACCTTGCTGCTGTGTATCAATGCAAGATTCAGCGAGTGTGCTTTGCAGTGAACATAAGAAGCCTCGGGAACAACTTGAAGTATCCTGGCCTGGACGCCACTGTATTTCCCCGACATGTTAGCAGCTCCATCGTAGCACTGAGCTCGTAGATTCTGAATATTCAGGTTCAATTCAGCAAGAAAACCAATGATGATATTGGAAACTGCCATACCTTTCACACTCTCTGCATATTTAAAGCCAACAAACTCTTCTCGTATCTCAAGACAACCATCGATACTATCAAGAAACCTAATGCACAAAGACATCTGTTCTTTTGTAGAGGAATCGGTACATTCGTCAGCAATAATGCCCAAAAACTTAGAATTCCTGCAAGAATCCACAATGTTTTTGCGCACCTGGTTTCCAAGCAGATTGATTAGTTCATTTTGGATATCAGGGGATAAGTAGGTAGAGCGTGACGCGTGACGCGTGGCAAGGTGGTCGCTTAAGACGGGGTCTCTCTTGGCAAATTCAGAAAGGATGGCAATGAAGTTACTCTTATCTTCAGTGTGTCCCCTTATAGGGATGTTCTGCCTACCACATAGTAATAGCACTTCGATAATTGTCTTAAGTATATGTCTATTTCTCTCAGTATGTTTTTTGTGGCTTGATGATAGCATGCTCACAACGGTATCTCCCTTCCCTTCACTTACTCGTACAAATTCTTCCCCCGCCGTTACACAACCCTTATGAAATGCTAAATTTTCATGGCGCCGCGCAATTGATAGCAGATTTTTCCAGTCTGTCATTGGACTGGATAAGAACGATTTTTCTTTCGAATCAGCATTGCCAAATAAGAAACAGTACGCACAAAACACAGAGTCGGTGGAAATAGAATAGCGCATCCAATGATGGTCTTTCAACCAAGATGGTTGGAATCGCCGAGATTTGGTACCAAAGGACCTGTAAAATTTAAATATAGCCAGCATTCAGGTACACTCATCCAACTCTCAATTTTCTTTGTGCAAACCACCAACAATGCTTATTATTTTACGTTCGGTACTTGGGACTTGGATCAATATTCCATCCCTCCTCTAATCAGCTAATTTCATTTCTTCTTTTTTTGTTTTTTTTATTTCTTTTTTTTTAAATCTGGGATTGACTTTTTTTGTATTTAAGCCCCAAAAAATTATTTATTGTCTCTGACATGGATTATTAAAGTTATGTAATCAGCAAATCTTATCAACATTTTTTAAACCAAATTTGACAAAGACAAAAAAAGGGGTGGTTGATTTAAATCTATATTGCAAGTACAAGAAAAATTAAATGTGTCTATCCAATATCAATATAAATAAATGATGAAATTGATAATTTGATGTGTGACTTGTTTTTATATGACTGCTTTATGTACAAATATCTACAATTCAAATGATAACATAATAAAGGAAAACCAATGTAAAGTACTATGCAACCCTGTCAATGTAATTCATGCTAGAAGGACACATGTATATGAGTTTTTACCTTAATAAGGTGGGAATAGGGGGTGGGGGTCTTGATCCATGTCACAAGTGTCTGAGGACTAAATATCAAAGATCAAAGGTAATATTTAGAATGAAAATAATTTTCTACTTTCTTATAGTTTGTAGATGTGTATCTGAACAATGATCTTGGTAAATAAATTCATTGTTTACTGATATTTAGGTACGAAGCTAAAGCAGCAAATATTGTGTTCAAAGCAACACGGACTGTCACAGAGAGCTCGCACATAATTAGATAAAGTTTAATTAGATTAATGGGATTCAACATACCTTTTATTAGTATTTACGTATATGCAAAGAAAGGTATGTTGAATCCCATAAATATATTATCATAAGGCCTAAATTAGAATATTGTTTGTTTCCCCTTTCCGACTCAGCATTGTGACCTAAGGGTCGGTAGGTAGGAAAAATATTTTATTTTTTTTCCAACAACAATTATTAGATATCAGACAATAAAGTTCAATCATTTGTAATTTTTTGATTAAGTTTAAATTTGTTTATCAATGTTTAATAGCAAATATATTAGACACATCCACCGAGTTCAGGTATGATAGGAATGAAATCATTTAAAAAATATTTTTTCCTCAGATGAGGCAATAAAATTTTTTGAGTCGCGGCGATTTTGGTGGGTCGGTGGGTAAGGGGAAACAAACGATATTTTATTTTAGGCCTAGTAGTAAACATTACAAGAATTATATTTGTTAAAATTGAACCCTGTACGTACTAGATCTATAGGATATTTTGAATCTTGTCATTAACACATTGTTAACGTCGCTATTTTATATCTAAAACAGTTGTAAAGTTATAGTCTAAGGTTAGCCCGTTTTGGTTCAATTTCAAATGAAATACGATGTTAGGCCTACGTCAGCATGCACCACCCCTAAATGAATGCGTTAACATGTTCAGGCGCGGATCTAAAGGGGGGGGGGGGTTGAGGGGCCCCCCCTGGAATTTGCGGAATAGCAAAATAGAGAATGTAGAGTAACTAAAAAATGACCTCTGACCCCCCCCCCCCCCACTGGAATTTGTGGATTACAAAAAATTATTCGTTTGCCACCCCGGAATATATTGGTAAAAGGTGGAAGGAAGAGGGGTATGTAATTGACGTAGCGAGTAGCAAAAACTCTTCTCTCTCTCACACCCCCACCCCCACCCTCCGATTAGGATTTTGAGAATTTTGGAAAGAGTTACTGTCCTTTGAAAAAGTACTAGCCCCCCCCCCCCCCCCCGAATTAATATTTTGAGAATTTGGGGTTTGGGAAGACCATCTTTTATTTCATTAAATGAGTTGTGGAGAGGAAAAGGTCTAGGGTAGAATTTTTTGGACAGAATTGGACCCCCCCCCCCCCGGAAAAAAAAATCTTGGATCCGCGCCTGATCTTTATAGGCCCTTAGGCCTTAAATAACAAGTACTCCGCTCGCACGGTGTCGGCACCATCAGCATATTTCACAAATTTTAGAAGACTGTAAGGTTTCTTCATGTGTTCATATTGTAGTATGTACTAACCTTGACGGAAATTCAAAGTCATGCTGATGCCATTTAGATTTGAGAATTTCCACTTTGCAGTGATCTGAAATTTGGTGTTTTGACTCGGGAATAATTTTACCAAGATCTGGATAGGTAGGCACATCACTGTTATTTATGGCACTGTTGCTGTCATTAGATACAGATTTTGGTCTACACACTGAATTTAAATTTTTCCGGGTGATAAACTTATCCATGACTTAAATAATCAATTAAACGCTTGACGTGTATGTACTAATTCTCTATTACGACAAGCACCTTAATGTCATGTAGGAACATTATAAAAAGAAAAGGTCAGACGAATAATAATTTTATATCCGATTTTAAAACCTGTATGTATGAACATTGGGCCTAAATTATTTTTTGCAAAAATTTATGGGCTTTTTTTTTTTTTTTTTTTTTTGTGACAATGTGTAGGCACGTGCCTACTCGAGCCTAACGTAGCTACGCCCCTGTAAAACAACTTGGGTGAAAGTGAGGAGGGGGGGGGGGGCTTGCAGGGAAAGGATTGTGTCAAGGTACTAGTGTTTGTATCTGTGAAACTAAACAATGAATAACAGCAATATTTCAATATAAAAATATTCAGAGTTAAAATTCAAATCAACTGTACTAGTCAGTCTTTTTTATCATAACTTTCTTATCGATGTCAGGTGTAAAAAAAAAAAAATCGCATAAAATTGTCTTTTTGTCAGAAATTCAGCATTTTTCATTAGAAATACAGTTAAGGCAATTTTTAAAAAGTCAGATTAAATAAAAATAATTATACATGTACTTTAACTTTTCAAATTGTATGAATTTACCAAAATACACGTAGATTCTAAAATTTAATCCTCGGTATACGGCATATTTTCCTGAACAATGGATGACGTCAAATTCGTTAAGTTTGACGTCATTTCTAATATATGCAGATCTATTGATTCAAAACTCTGCAGGAATCTGACCTTCTGAAGATTTCATTCCAGGTAAGTTATATCCCTTGCAAAAAAATCATTTAAATGGGCAAAAACAGGACAATGCAATGTGCACCTAAAGATATCAGTCGATTTTATTTATATTTATATACTCATTTTGATTTTTAAAAAGTTACCTGAAAGACTATGTACATAATTTGCATTTATATTCAAAAATTATTATTTTCGTTAATTCACATTGAGTTTAATTATGATTTCATTAGTTCTCATTGTTGATTCTTGATGCTGGTGATATAGTATAAAGAGAAATACAAAGTGTAATACTAGTATACTGTACAGTAGCGATGAACAGTATTAAATCATTTTCATATTTTTATATATAATATACATTTATTGCATGATAATGAGGGAAATATGAAGACTTATTCAGCCAAGAAAAATCATATTCCCCGAGGGCTTCGCCAGAGGGGAATATGATATTTCTTGGCTGAATAAGTCTTCATGTTTCCCGAACATTCATGCAATGAATTGTTTATTATACCGAAACAAGCAAAACCTTTGAAATAAACATAAACTTTCAAATTCGGCACCGCTCTCAAATTCACTTTCATTTTTTACAAAACGTTACTAAAACATTGACGTCGGAAGCAAATTGAAAGTGGGGGGGGGGGGGGGCTAAGTGTAAAAAAAAAATTGTACCTTCAAAAAATCTGACAAGCAAAATAAAAAAAAAAAGGGAAATTATCCATTTCCCAAATCCATTTCCCAAGCACGAAAATCCTATTTCGTGGGGGGGGGGGGGGGGGGGGGGGTTAAGGTTGGAACTTCAGTACCAACAATTTTTTTCCAAACACCACCACTTTCCCCATTTTTAACCTTTACTTAGACGTATCTGTGGCAAGTGGGGGGGGGGGGGGGCTAAACCTACGAATATATGTTCAATGTCTATACTAAGTACATATATGGAAAAAAAGCCCCCCCCCCCCCCCCACGGTTCCGACGCCTATGATGAACTTGTATGTATTTTACATGTATATTTAGCAGCCAAAATGATGTCCAGAAAAATTAGAATGAATTCCTTTTGACTGAAACTTAAGAATCAATTTTATGATTTTGTTTAGAATATCATCATATGATAATGATTGGTCTCTCTAAATGTAATCATAATTTTTTTTCATCTTTTATTTTTTATGTTTTATAACGCAAGTAAACAACTGAAAACTATTAAACAACCGAAATACTTAGTTATTCATACCCATTTTTCATTTAACCAATGATCTTCAGTTATGATTATGGAAATTAAAAACGCATAGTTAAAACATAATGTCAGCTTTTTATGCCTTTAGGCCTGTATAATATACTCATTTAGACATGTTTCCTGCAAACATATTTTTTTTTTATTTTTCTTTATATATTTAGTACAGACGCTCCTTTCTTAAATTCTTGAAAATCAGCCGTTTTTAAAGTCATATTGTAGAAAGTTACACTCGTACTACAACAACAAAATACTGCGAGCAATGGGTTCACTAAATGATACCCCCCCCGCCTCCCATTTGATTATAATAGCAAATTTTATGTTTTGCTCTGGGAGACCCGAAATAAGTGTTAGACCAAAAAGTAAAAGAGGAGCTAGCTAGTGGACAATTTTATTATATTATACAGAATCTGTGAATGTATCATTAAATTTTATTCAGTGCATAGTTTAGGAGGAGTTGCGGATAAGAGATGGGTACCCTTCAATATTACAGAAAGAATGGCATTGTCCATGTTTTGCTGTGGGTAACCCGAAATATATGTCCGATCAAAAAGTAAAAAAGGAGGTGCACAATGGCGCTATATAACAAAGATTCTGTGAATTAAGTCTCTACAGTGGTATAATTAAGAGGAATTGCGGATGAGATTTGCGTGTGATCTCTTTGTGGGAGAGCGTTCGTTCAATACATATTAAAAGTCGGTTATTATTTCAGTAAATTAATAGACTTTATTAAACAATGAACACAGTTCATTTCCATTTCCGCAACAATCCCCTTATGTTAAGTAAAAAATATTGCATTTTTAAAACAAAATTTAATTCATATATAAAATCGAAGTTCATACGAATATTTGTACAATGTTATTTTTGGTCCCCCTATCCACCCTAACAATAGTCTCCTGCAGTCTAAATGCAGATGCTACAAATATAAATTTAGATTTAAATAGATTCACATCAACCACCTGACCATGCATGCATTTTACTTATCCTCGACTTATCTCTCTCTATATAAAGTGACAATCCCACATCAACAACATCAGGACATTTAACAAGCCTCTTGATCTGTTTATTTATTAACTCATTCTCAAAATCATCAACTTAAATAACATAACTTATGAGTATCAACACCCTAAGTACCGCCTTGCACTTCTCCAATAAAATGAAGATAATATAACGATCAATGGGAATCATGAATCGTGCATGTCAGCATGACAACATATGGAGCTTTGGAAACACCAGAATAGGGATCAGGTGTGGAGAAGGAGTAAGCATCTATGGCACGCCAAATTCACAAAAATTAGATAAACCTAGTTTCACATTTGATAAACTAGGTTTATCGACTGTAAACTATAGTTTACAAACCGTAAACTATAGTTAACGATTCGTTAAGTATAGTTTTCATCTGTAAAACTATATTTAACGGTCGTTAACTATAGTTTACGAATGTTAATCTAAGTTTATCTGTCTGAATAAAGCGTTAACAATAGATTTTGTTGATAAACATAGATTCACGTTTGTAAACTATAGTTTACAACCGTAAACTATAGTTAAGAGTTGTTAATCATAGTTTCACAAATCGTGAAACTATATTTATCAGATCGTTAACTATAGTTAACGGTTTGTAAACTATAGTTTACAAATCGTGAAACTGTATTTATCAGATAATCTATGTTTTGCAATCGCAAATGATCGTTTTCGGTGTTAAGTATAGTTTACGGTTGTGAAACATGGATTATCGCGTTAACTATGGTTTACAGATGTAAAATATAGATTAACGTTGCTAACTATAGTTTACAGTCCGTAAACTATAGTTTACAACCGATAAACCTAGTTTATCGACTGTGAAACTATGACTAGCTCATTCTTGTGAATTTGGCGTGCCATAAGCATCCCCTGTCGACCTGTCACATCAGCGGTAGTCTCTTAATCTGTAGTCAATATTGTTGTACAATGAACTTATAATACTTTATTACATTATTAATTTACTTCGACCATATTTGTGAAATGCTGGTTTTAACCGAGGTCGTACAAAGTCCTGTATATAACATCATGTAAAATATGAAGATAAGGAACATCACATTTATTTAATTATTAGAAACTTGCCGTGGTTAGAGAATTAATCTTATTAAGCACGTATATTCTATAGGAGTAAATCGGTATTCTTGCATTAAAATAGTTAAAACTAAAAAAATATTTTGAAAAAAAATTCTCACAGAATATTGACAACATTATTTATATTAAACAGAGATTCACAAAAAAGTAACAGGTCCCGATATGATGAAAGCAATTTTTTTGTTTCAATTTCAATCTTGCGCAAATTGAAGTTTCTTAAAATCAGCGTGAGCACAATGAGGTATGACTTTTAAATTGTAAATTTTGACTTTCGAATTTAAAATAAAATCAGAACACCTTCATTGGTACATGTACATGCCTTTCAGGTCTCTAATGTAGATTAGATTCATGTAGAATTGAAATTTTTGTTTATAAAATGGTTGTTTTTCTTTAACCTTCAACTGGAACAGAAACCCCCCAAATAAAATGGATAGCATGTTAATACCAATTATTTTTTTTATAATATAAAATATAATTTTTAATGATATTTAAGTGGTTCAAGTCAACAAGTGTTTCAAACTTTTTTTTTTCAAAGAAAGGCTTGCAACCATAACTGTACTCTTTCTTTCTGATTGCTTCATCTTTATTTAGAAATGGCCAGCTCATCCAAAGATTTGGACAAACCTAATACTCCGTCACCAGTGGCTTGCGTCAAAAATGGAGAAGGTTTTCTGATGAAAAGTCCCACGGGAGAGATAATTAAAATCAACACTCCGGAAAAAATACATATCAAAAAGGCATCTGTAGTGTTAGAAAAGTTAGGAGAGGGAGATATACCAAAATGTATCCCTTCAGGTGTAGAAAAGTCCCCTAGCAACAATACACCTTCTGCAAAATCTTTTCCATTTACAATAGAATACAAAATTAAGCACAACTACAGCGTGAATAAATCCACCAGAAACAGCGTTATCAGTCCTAGTAAGCCAGGGTCTATAGATGACCAGAAAACAACGGCCAAAGGAACTTGTTCAAACATAGGAAATGACGCAATCAAGCCGTCAACAGACCTACAACAAAACCCCCAATTTATCAATGCTTTTTCGAATGAGAAAATTTCTCAAAAGCAAAAAATTGCCTCTGGTCTAAATATGTCGTCAGTAACCATCAAACATGAAGATAGTCTTTGCACCAGAAATTACATCTCAAGAGAAAAGTACAAAAGTTCCTCCTCGCTGGAAAATCATTCTAATTACGAAGAGAAAATAAACAAATCATTCATAACGGATATGGTAACATCTCCGAGACTATCATTGGGTGCAAAAATGAAAAATGATTTAGTATCAACAGACACAAGTCCCCCAAAACAAAAGACGAAATTAATGCCTACCCATCTTTCTCTGATAAAGCTCTCAGATGTGAAGCGTGATTTAGAAATACAGGACTATAAACCGGCTCTTCAGAGACTAGAAGTGGTTGGAAAAACAAATACTCCAGGTAAACTGGAAGGAGAGTCAGTTTCCCCTCTGAAAGAAGCCAGAAACCACTTCACTACCAAGCTAAACAAAATCTCAAACGAGTCTGCTGAAATCCCTCCTCTAGATAAAGACGTAATGCAAGTGAAAAAGTGCAAAGTTGCCCCGACCATCCTTTCTCATAATAAATCAAAGACAAGACCTCCAACTGTTCGGGAACTTCTTCAAAAGAAGGAAGAAATGGAAATAAAAGAGAAACTTGACGAAGAAATTATTTCCAAAGATTTTTCAAATGAAGATACAAAACAGAAAAGAATTAAGAACACGATCACACCCCAGAAAAGCATACCTGGAAAGAGGACTTCTGTTCCTTTGATGGTGGATCTAAAAGGTGTAGATGATCATCATGCGAAGGACGAACAGCAAGAAGCATCACTACAGAAGAGCCAGAAATCTTTGACAAGGAGATATAAAAACACACGCTACACCATACCCTATCGTGGTCCTTCAATCATCGTTCCAAAAAATTACGATGCACTCATCAGAGCAACAAAATCGAAGCTTGAAAACTCAGCGGTGAAAATATCAGAAATGTCAGAGGATAAAAGTAAATCAATGAGGCAGAGATACAAAAAGACAGGTAAAATTACGACCACACCACTAGTATCAAAAACTTCGGAGTCACTGATTGAGGTATCGCCTGGTATCCATACCATGAAGGAAACCAAAGGTCTTCTTAATGTACGTAGTATGCCAGCCATGCAAAGGCCTATTTGTAACTCCTTCGAATGTAAAGCAACTTCATCCAGAACACCATCTGTATCACCGACTAAAAACTTTTCTACATCATACGACAAGCTCCCGGGACTAGAAAAGCAAAGTTCTGATGAAGCAAGTTTGCAATTTTATTCAATTCAATCTACAGAAAGAGTTCGAGACCTTGTGACTGAGCAAAATTATTTAGATACGGTTATGACGATGTCAGAATACGAATCGTTTAAAAACTACCAGATGTCACCTCTTAAAACCATGCACCAAAAGGGATGTTTCACCAAGAAAAAAGCCGAGAAGACATCAAGCTCTGGGATTTCGCGTCCGTGTTGTAACAAACTTCCTCAAACAAAGAATGAACCAATGCCAAATAATAATGCACAAAATTCAAGTACGGGATTAGATAAGCCGTTGACCTATTCAGTTCCAAGTAATTCGCCTTTTAGACAAAGTCCAGCTCCACCTGAGAAAGATTGTAGTGGATGCTTTTACTGTGAGTACGAACGGTTGATGAGGAGTATTGATAGTGATTCTCTCAGTGAAAATTCTCAAGACAAATCAGACCACGATTACACAAAACCGCATGCCAACACAGCTGAAAATTGTAAAAACCCCATTGCAGAATTCAAACGGTCGGTGGAAAATTTGAACTTACCTATGCAATTGCACTCAGACGAATCATACAATACGCCAAAAGAGCTATTAGGAAAAATGCCATTTTATACTTTTCAGTTGGGCGATAAGATATTACTGATGCCTTATTCCGTTGCTAATTCTAAACCACAACATCCTACAAAGAGAAACCCAAAGCAAGAAACGAAGGAACAGAAGAAAACCACAAATGATGAAATGGATGGAGCTGTTAGTAAGAAAAAACGCACAAGAAAAACTACTGCTCCAAAGAGGAACAACTTCAAAAACATTTGCAAAGACCAGCTGAAATTTTCGAAGATTCTGGATTTGATTCCGGCGAAAGAAAGAGCACCGCAACCTAAATCTCTCGAATTGGTAGTAGATTTTTTGAATGGAGCTGGTAAAGGTGAAGATATTCGAGTGTATGCACCTGTCCTTCACATAGAGCGCAGTACAGATGACGTTTACACGCATATTTCTACCGTTGCATGTTTCAGGATAAAGAACGGATCAGACGCAGGATTAAAGCGCTGGAATGACTTCGATGATTATCCTGTACGTTTGACAATGGATACTGTGTCTGGAGCTATAACTGAAATTGAAGTCGACACTAATCTTCAAGGTCTGTACAAGGTCATAAAAACAGGACAGCAATCCGATACCAATGGTACTTTCAAATCGATAGCTATCCTTTCCGCTGTTTTACCAAATGTTTCGACCATATTAAATGCTTCTATGTTTTTGGCGATTGGACCTTCCAGTAGCTATCATGAAAACAACTGCACGGAACAACCTGCAAATATCCAGAAGTATAAAAATATACAGTATCTGCTGACCTCCATTGAGAATCTGCTAAATCAGCCAGTAGAAGACCCAGTGGTTAGCTATAGTGACCAGAGTTATAGACCAAAGTGTCATTCTCCTAGCTGGTACCAGGGGCATAAATTTGATGCCTTTACACGCCTTTATCATCGTCAAAGGAAATTCAAGACAACAGGTGCCAAAACATCAGATTACGATTTCTTTATTCCTTCTTGAAGAACCGATGTAAAGAGAATTTTTTGTAATGTATTTGAACATTATACAAGTATGTGAAAAGTTTGACTTGAACCGTATTAGAGTTAATTATATTGACATGTACAGCTGTATACCACTAAGATAATGTACCTTCTTTATTTTTATGTATTTAAATTATTGTTGCAAAGATTTTGCAGTTGGTTATATTATTAAGTTTAAAGCCTTTTACGATATAGAATTAAAGATTTTTAAAGCACAGATCCTCGGACCCAAGTGACATATTTGACGGCTACTATTATTATTTAAATAAACTGAGGAACATGATGCTGAAGTTTATTAGAATTACGCACTAAAATTTTCTCTGCATTTGTACAGTGTTTATAATTAGTTTAATAAGTGTGACATTTACCATATTAAGCAATGAAACCAAGCTGTTTGTTTAAACCAATGTGATATGTTAATATTTTTTTTTAAAAGTTCTATGTACATGTAATTCTCTGTTTTTTAAATGTCAATGTCATATTTAATCCATTATTCCATCTGTTATTTAATTGTTAAAAAATTATTGCAAAATTTTATGTACTTTGATTAAAAATGTCATAGTAACAATCTTCATTGCGTCAATGCTCTTTGCAGTTATACATAACACACTCAATGACAGGAGGAACTACATGTACGTGTGCATGTTTTCAATTTATACAAGAAGATATTAAGGAAAACGGATGCTTCAATTTAAATTCGAAAGTTCGAGACTCCTACGATAATTTTGCCTTATTCAGCTGCATATTTAGAGCTTTATGTTTTTATCAGTTTCTACACAAGGAGAAAACTGTTTCCTTTTCTTTGACTCGTCAGAAGGCCTGAACTGATAGAAGTCGGATGTACTTTGTTAAGAATTTGAATGGAGACTAACAGATAATGTGAAGAGCACTTCACAGTAGATTGTTTAATGACCCCATATAAACATGAACGATGACGTATTTTTTTTTTTTACAATGCTGCCATAGAAACCATTAGATCTGATTTAAAAAGATTTGAATGAAGTTAAATTGTCAGGTGTTTACCGTTTATGTATACCGAGGAAATCGATAGAAGTCACGTAGCCAAATGGGTAAATACTGCTTGATTATATTTATATTTTATAAAATTTACAATATATTAAAACACAAAATTAATATGAAAGTAAATAATTGTTTTTTATTTTATTGGATGGTAGATTATTTAATATGCCAGTTTACTGAAATATTGTTTACTTAAACTCGAAAGGATACTTGTGGAATAAATAAGAGTCAACTGGGTGAAATTTCCAAGAGATTTTAATTAATAAATCTTAAACTCCTTGTTATTCTAGTAAATTTTAACAACAGAGATGAACAAAAAAGTTTGTCATCCAAAGATCTATTTGTCCACTGATACTCTCATACTTAGAAGGCAAATTTTGTTAAACCTACTGGTCAGCCTGGAGGTTTATAAATATTTTTTTGGAAAGCATTCGCCAAGAAAAGTGTTCAAGTAAATTAATAATCTTTGATACACGTGGAGATGAAAATTTACAAATAATTAATTCTTAAAAAATCAGAATGATAAAATATAATCACACGTATGAACATAACCACATGGGTTGAGTGAAATGAAAAAGGATATCGAATGCAAGATACAAAGAATTCACAGTGTATCAGAAAGATATAATCTTGAATAATCTTTCAATTTTAGGTATGACAATACTTGTAATTGCCGTGATTTTATCTATAACATGCGTGGAAGAGATTGCTGGAGATAATCAGAACATGTCTTCTATAGAGAAAATGTTCATCAAGCATATCTTTCAAAAGTACGGAAACGAGTATTTTATATCGTTTGAAGGATTGGAACACCTTTTCCAAAATTTAGAAATAGGTGATATTCAAATAGCACACGATATAAAAGAACATTTTAAAAATGCCAAGTTTGTACCCTTGCATTCGGACCATGAACATCAGTCGAAGAAGAAAAGAGTTTTGCAAAGGAGACATAGGCATAGGAGGCATCAGGATATATTTTCTAAGGTAAGTTGGACTCTGTATAATGAGGCGATGGTCATGAATACGCAGGTTATAAAGTTTTGAGAAAAAATATTGACCAAATTCATCTCAAAATGAAATAATTTTTAAAAAGTGGACTTTTCCATAAATGCAACACACAGATCTACGATACAATTCTTTAAATGTACTTTATAACAGATTTAACGTAATAAAAGTCTTTCTTTCAAAGAGTTTATGGGAAGTGACTGTTGCAACTGTTGGAGAAAGTCCTATTTTCAAAGCATTTTCGCAATGTTTTAAAATATAAAAAAGAAAGTATTTTATATTGTTAGCCTAATGTACAGTAAAGAATGAAAGACATGTGTAAATTTTTTTTCATTTGTTGGTTGAAATACAATTATATTGTTATCATATTATTATACACTGTACGTATTTAGATTGGTTAATATTTTAAAAATGAGACTATATGATACTGCTGTCCTTTTTGCGTCTATTAATCTTCTAAATAGTATTTGAGAACACTTACACTCGTATTTGACGTGTTTTGATAAAAAATTGAACTCCGCATGAATTTATTTTAAGATAGGGATGAAATGGTATGTATGGAATGCCATATACGACAGCCAACTGCCAACTGCTGACTGCTTACTGCCAACTGTCAGCTGCTTACTGCCAACTGCCACACATATTTGAATAAATTTTATATTTGTATTGATATTTATATGAATTTTCACAAAAAGGAAAAAAAGGCACGGATCCAGGATATTTTTTCCAAGGGGGTCACCCGGTAAAATTGAATTGAATGATGTATATTCAAAATATGCGGTTGATAAAGTACATTGTTAATTTTTTTTATTTGTTTTCCCATTTGAAATAGGTAATAAAAGACTATTTTCTGCTTTTAATCTTTGAAGAAGCCCCACCCCCTTCCCACTGGGACAACAAAACCTTTGAAGAGAGAATAATAATAAAAAAGATTTGTCCTTTCGCAGAGAAAGACGTTTTGAAAATAAATTACCGTTTTCCATTATATTCTATAGTTAAAAATTTCCTCAAATTAAAGATGTATATCTCTGTGTGTTATAATGCAGACACGTAGCATCGTTTTTGAAAGTGGGGGGGGCCAGACAGAGAAAATTTTTTTGTTACTTACCTGAAAAAGTTGACAAGCAAAAAAAAAAAAAAAAAAAAAAAATAAAATTTGAACGAAGTCGAAAATACTATTTAGTTAGGGGGGGGGGGGGGGGGTAGGTGGCTAAATTTATTTTAAGGCCAACTACCTTTCACTTCCAATTGTTTTCCATACAATACTACATATCCTTGATATCATTATACTATGGTAAGAAGTGGGGTGGGGCAACCATCCTTTCAATATACAGTAACGGTAATGTTGGGGGAAAAAAAGCAGGGGGGCCTGCCCCCCCCCCCCCCCCCCGTTGCTACGTCCCTGTAATGTTTCACATGCATAGATCAGGGGGGGGGGGCATTTAAAAATTGTTCAGTAATACGTTAAATAAACTAAACGAACTATCGGTATAACTGACCTTGGACCCTCCACTTACAAAACGCCGATCAAACATTTATATCTCTTTGTTTGTACAAATAAAATATGTTTTACATGCATAGATCTAGAGAGAGGGGTCCGGAACACCCCTCTAAAATTTGTAAAGTTATTTAATGCACAAACTAAACCAACTAAAAGTTATTTAATGTATAAAATAAATCAACTAAAAGGGACCTTAGAACCCACCCCCCCCTCCCCAACCGAAAATGTGGATTCGTGTTAAGGTGGTATTGAAAATGTCATACACATGAAGGTATAACGCATAAGAACCCCCTCTCCCCGGCCGAAATTAATTTTCACATTTAGGAAAGGTATTTACGTATTTTTATCTTGTCAAGAAATTTCTGGGTTGGATTTTTTTTTTAATAGAGTAACCCCCTTGGAAAAAATGTCCTATAGATCCGCGCCTTTTTTTTAATTTACATAAATATCAATATGAAAATAAAATTTATTCAAATATGTGTGGCAGTTGGCAGTAAGCAGCTGACAGTTGGCAGTAAGCAGTCAGCAGTTGGCAGTAAGCAGTTGGCTGTCGTATATGGCATTCCATAGGTATGTCACTTAAAGGAAAGTTAAGAGGCCGTGTCAGTAACCATTGAGTATTGTATATAAAGTGAGTGGAATGTGAAAAAAAATATTTTGCTTTAATATTTGGGTGCATGGAAGTTTAGATGAATGTCCGTTCAAACATGAGTTATTTGGGTCACATCTTCCTTGTTACCATAGCAACGGTGATTTTAATGCTTGGAAAGTGTGAAATTTGATTATTGATAACCCTGTCAAAATTAATTACAGAATCAAACTATGTTTTTCTTAATTTCAATATATATGGGAGATTTAATTTTTCCCATGTTCATTTTAAAGCATTGGGGCCTACTTTGCTTTGTTTCTACCAAATGCTGTAAAATCAACATGATTTTTATAAATATTTTACACGAAAACGCAACCAAACTCTATCATAATCATACATGCAATAGAAACTACGAGCTTTGAAGTTATAAATCCAATAATAAAAAATGGTAGTTGGGTAGTCTATAGCAAATAATTTGATTTAGAATGCACCACAAATATGAAAACGCGTGAACGATTATCTCCCTTTTGTGGAACTCTCCTGCTGATAAAGAACAGAAAGTTGCTGTTGCAGCAGAAGTCTGAGAAGAAAAACACTATGTAAAGATGTATAAAGCAGGTCTTGTGCGGTTACAGAGGACATGACAGAACATGACAGCATCAAGAGTTTGTAGGTGACTGAAAAGTACTATTTATAGTCCGAAATATCTGACGTTTTCCTGGCTTTTTAACTATTTCTATATTTTACGTGCGAGGAAAACGCCAGAACCGGCGCCTTTACGAAAACTGGGAATTCCAAGCAGAGGCAGCATTCTCGGGTGTATTTTCGATACTTGCAATTACTTGTCAAACTCACAATTTATCAATAGTACAATGCCTCTAGTACTTACCAATATAGTTTTTATGGTTTGTTTGTAAATATATGATCCGATGGAAACATTTTCTCTGACTGTCGAGATTTGTTTTCATTTCGTGCGTTTACAAATTAAAAAAAAAAATATACAAGTCCTGTATCGAAATGATGAGTGATTATTTTCTTTTCATTGATATTGTCAAGTACTAAAAGCATTGTGCCATTGATAAATTGTGACAACGGCATTTAATGCGGTTCCCAAGTATGGGAAATCAACTCTGACTGGAAATGGCGAAATTTCCAGTTTTCGTAATGGCGCTGGTTCTGACGTTTTCCTGGCACAGAAAATATTAAAAAAAAAAAAACTGGAAAATGCCAGATATTTCAGACTTTATTACTTAGAGCATATTCATCAATCACTGATAAGGTCAAATTGGTAGATTTCCAATCGTGTATGTCTGCATATTAGTGTTCCTTTGATAAGTAATATTTCAAACAATATTTCTTAAAATTCATAGCCATACCCGCTATACCTCATTATCTCGGGTCTATCAATATATATTTTTTTGGAGAGCTACAGTTCTGCAGTTACACTAAAACAAGATGACAAAACTTGAGGTTGCTAATATTGGTTGGAAAAGGGGAAGGGAAACTAGGATAACAGACTCAACTCTGGTTTCAAAATTTGCTCCTGACCCTTAAAGTGGAGGGGAGGGGAACCAGGATTTATAAATTCTAACTACAGGAAATTTTGACTTCCCAAAAAAGTAAGGAGTGGGTGGGGTGCTATTTCTCCTAAGCCCTTGATCAGGTTTGGCACAATTTCTGAATACGATAATTCTGAAAATGTGAGACTAAATATGTAATATCGTGATTACCTCGCAGTTATCTAACTTACTACCACTCTTTTGTGGGGGAGTTGAGAAAGCTCAAATCTCACGAGATTACCAGGGCACATGGCATTGTTAACAGTAGGGACAATCGAATGATTTGAACAATTTTATGCCGAAAGTACAATGTATTGCCAAGAATTGAATTCCAAATAGTAGATTGTCAAATAAGGAAAGTTTAGATTATTTTATCAGCTTTAAAATGCCATGATTTTCAATGAAAATTGAATGAGAAGAGCCCGCTTAGTTAAAAATATCGTAAAAAATGTAACATTGAAGGATTAGCTCCTCTCAAAAATTAATTAGGCTGGTTCAGCGATTGTTAAGGACAGTATTCCACCAGGATTTATTTACTTATCTGTCCTTATAAATTCTACAATGATCGATCTTGCATTGTATTCAATAGCACATTTGTCCCCAGTCAACAGACGTTCCCTACCTCCATCGTGAAAGAGTTCCACTAAGTTAAGTATCAGAAGTATTGGAGTATCCCCTTTGTCCAGTTTAATGTCTTATATCATATCCCAGTCACTATATATGCTATAGGCTCAAGTAAGTTTGTAAACAGGTCTAAAATATTTTCAGGAGAATCATGATGATGATCAGTTGCAATGTGAACTACCAAATAACCATGAAGTACAAGCAGATCCAATTAATGTGGAACAAATAAATGTTTGTACTGAAATTTTTACATGTACTGAATTATTATGCCCAAAGAGCATGAATATATTTTTGTTTGTCCTTTCTTTCTATCTGTTGTCAGCTTTAACCTTTACAATGACTTTTGAACTGTGAGATCATATTTGGTATACATAATCCACTAATTAAGTTCTTTAAGATTACACCAACATCAGTAACCTTTAGACCTTGATCTTTTTGCTAAAACTAGCTTTTCTATATTTGTTGACGATTGGGGCATACTGTTTCACAAACTTATCTTGCTTTAAATTACTTTTACCATCAGCTTGTTTATTATAAAGAATCAGCAACTATATGCAGTAGGGTCATGGAAATTTGTAAACAGATATGAAATACTTTCAGAATACATGATGATGATGAGTTGCTATGTGAACTACCAAATAACCATGAAGTACAACCAGATTCAAAGCATATGGAACAAATAGAGGTTTGTACTGAATTTTTTACATGTACTGAATTGTTAAGAACTACTTTGAGCATCAGCTTGTTAATAAGAGCCCAGCCTCAAAGAGTACCGGTAATCACTTTGTTCATCCATTTCTTTGTTGAGAGATAACTCAAATGCTATATGTTCTGGAAACTTCAAACTTGAAAGGATTGTGACTCAATAACTTAAATCCATTTGACCTATGATCTTCATATTTTAAACCCAGACAAGAAGCCTAAAATGGGCCAATATTGCTCACCTGGTCTTCTGTCAAAGGTTGTTAAAGACTGATATCATGATGCACATTTGTGTCATGTAAGCTGAGCTTTTGAGGCAGGTATGAAATGCATTTCAGATAAGACAATTTCATTGAAGTCTACTGTGACCTGAGCATTGAAGTTTGACATGGAGTTAGGGTCATGGCACACCACCTTATCATTAGGAGCATTGTATGCCAAGTATGAAGCTGTTCCATGAGGCATATAGAATTAATAGAAATACAGACCTGAAAACTCCATCAAATTTTACCTTGACCTTGACATTGAAGGTGTGACTTTGGCTCAGGGCTGTGAAACACTGTCTCAGCATGAGTATTATTTGTGTCAAAATGAACTTGTTTTAAATGAAGTTGTTAGTTGGATTGATTTTGTATCTTTCTTTTGCAGGTGGAATCAACTTCAGACGACAACTTTTCCAAACACCTTGTGAAAGTTATCTGAATGCCAGGATTCTCAAGAGCATGAAGATAGTCCATTACATAGAAGGAAGACCTTGATTATGTATCTTGATACCATTGGTGAAAAGGCAGAGGTCTAACACTGACTGTGAAGAAAATGACTTGACAGCTGAAGGGAACATGAACAATTTGAATCAGATTTCTGATATGGCTCTTAAAGCAGTGAACTAAAAAACATTTTCTTACTAAGTTTAAGATTTTGATATCAAAGTTTTTGGAAGGGGGATATAGGAATCACCCTGTTTGTTTGTCCATCTGTCTGTGGACAACACTTGGATTATACTGCTCTAGCTCTAGTTGGTTAAAATAGATAATGTCTAAAATCAAATGTGTCATACTTCTTGTTTACTGTGCATAAATGTACTTTGAAGAACATACTGTATAAGTAGAATTTTTAGCGAGGATTTAATTTTGGCATTATTAGAGAGGGTGCTGACATCGCTAAAATTGAATATTGCTAGAAGTTAATGTCTTATTATTTGTAAAAGCTTCTTAAGTAAACATTTTAAAATCGCTAAAATTACTTCTGGCTAAAAATAAAATACCAGACTTTGGTAGAAATCGCTAAATTTGCATCTCGCTAAAATTTCCACTTATACGAAATATTATTATTTCTAGCAAAATATTTCTGTAAAATATTTGACTGTACACTTCAGAAAAAATTCAGTCTCAGAATCAGGTACAAGATATGCTGTAATGGTGCCTAGTTGTGTCGCCTGTATAGCAAGGGGACTCCTAGGGATCACTTCTCCATTGTCTGTCAGTCTGACTAGCTGACCATCAGTCTATCTGTCTGTCACAATTTGATATGTCATTCCTGAGACACACATTTTATTGGAAAACTCTTGTTTTACGTTCATATCTGTGATACTTTTAGTGAGCATTGATATTTGACCAGTTGATTGGTCTTTGATAGTAAAATAAGATAAAACTTGAAATATAAAGTTGCTGTAAACTACATTTTCACAAGCCTTGCTGATGTTAAGGTTTATTTTCATTTGAATAAGTATAATGTCGTCTTGTGTTTCACAGACACGACTTCTCATTATACCCCCTGTAAACGAAGTTTGGGGGGTGTGTATATAGGAATCAGCTTGTCTGTCTATCCGTCCGTCCGTCTGTCTAGGTGTGCAAACATGTACGGTCCATATCTTTCTTACGGAGGAACATTAGAATCTACTACTCCATACAAAGATTGCTCATGACCTAAGAGTGTGTCATGACCTTGACTCAAGGTCATTTGGGGAAGTTCAGGGTCACTGGAAGAAAAATTTCATTATTTGTGTCCGTTCCATATCTTTCTCATGGATTAACTTGGTAAGTTCCCATTTTACAAAAAGATTCCTCATGACCTAAGGATGTGTCATGACCTTGACCCAACGTCATCTGTGCATGTTCAAGGTCACTAAAAGAAAAATTGTAAAAGTCATGTTTGGCACATATCTTTATTTTGGATTAACTTGAATCTACTACTTCACACAAAGAGGGTTTATGACCTGGTGTGTTATGACCTTCAGCAAAGTTTATTTAAGTTCAAGGTCACTGAAAGGAAAATTTCTTAATATGTGCATGGTCCATATATTGCTTATGGATCAACTGGTTAGTTCCTATTTCACACAAAGATTCCTTATAACCTAAGGGTGTATCATTACCTTGATGCAAGGTTATCTATGCAAGTTCAAGGTTATAAAAGCAACAAGTTCATAATTCATGTTTTGTACATATCTGTCTTATGGAAAAACTTGGTAAATTCCTGTTTTACACAAAATCGCTTATTGTATTGAGGATGTGTCATGACCTTGAACAAAGGTTCTTTGTGTGTAAGTTTAATGTCACTGAAAGGAAAAACTTCATAATTTGTGCCTGGTCCATATCATTCTTATTGATAAACTTGGATACTTTCTTGTTTACACAAAGATTACTTATGACATAGGGTGTGTCATGACTTTGACCCAAGGTCAATTGTCCAAGTTCAAGGGCACAGACAGTAAAAAAAATTATAATTCATGCCTGGTCCATATCTTTCTTATTGATAAACTTGGAAGGTTCCCATTTTACACAAACATTGCTTTGACCTGAGAACTTGTCATGACTTTAAACCAAGGTCATTTATGCAAGTTCAAGGTCACTGACAAAAAAAATAATAATTCATGTGTGATCCATACATTTAGTTTATTTTTTAGGCTGCACCCTCGTTTCATTTATAAAAAAAATAATAAGCCATTACATTTGCACTAAAATGTTTTAGCTTTTCTCTCTTCTCTTAGATCCATAAAATATTCATGATTTAGCACTTCTGAAAAACCCAGCGGGGGGTATTTTGTCCCATTTGGACAGTTCTAGTTGTTTTTAGGTTTATAACTTGAATAATAAACATGATACAGCAATGTAAATTAGCCAGTAGACAGCATTGGAGTCCCTTTGGGTTGAACAGTGCGTCATTTTGACATATAACTTCAGCTTTTGTTATGTCATATATGGTCAATTTTTTGCGTATTTGGTCCACATTCTGACTATATTGTATAACTATTAGACATTGTAGAGCAATGGTACTTATTATTACTTATATGATGGGGTAAGTACAACAGGGTTGACAGTTGATCAGGATGCCATGACCCAAATATTCCACTTGAGAGGCTTTAATTTCTTGGGTGTATGTTTCATGTTTTGCCGATCCTAGTCAAGTCAGTTGCTAGGGTATAAATTCCGTTGCTATGGAGATTACTTTTCCTATTGTTTTGTAAAAAAGTCGTACATTTTATGGAGTTTTTTCTTAAGTACTATGTTTCTGTAGATATGGCATCTAACTGTTAAATATCTCTTGTAATATTAAAAAAAAATTGCCAAAACTTGCGAAAATCCATTGAAAGTGTTTTGAAAAAAATGCAAATTTTGATTCCTAAAAAAAATTTGGACATCCGACTACCAATTTTTATTTTATTATTACATAGGATTGGGATATATCTTTAACTTTGTATGACATACAATATCTATGGTTGTTGCGTTTTTAAGTATTCAACTTTTGAAAAACTTAATTTTCCATGGATATTCCCATCATGAAAACCTTGTCATTTTTCGGTTGCCATAGCAACCATTTCAAAATTTTTAAAAATACTTACAGACATAAAGATATTTTCTTCTGATGCATCTTTCATTATTTCAGTATAAGAAAACAAATTTAGACCTTCCAATTGTTCCCCCCTCTGCATTTAAATATGTCTAAATTTGTATTATTTTACAATGTTTCATTGAGAATTTACTATGCAAATCACATTTGTTGCCATGGAAACCAATGATGATGAATAAATTTGTAAAATTTGTCTTAAATGTGTTTTTTGTTGTTGTTCAAATATTTTAGGGTGGTTTTTGCCCAATTCAAAATTTTTGACTTTCCATGTAAATCTCAATGGTTACTGACACGGCCTCTTAAAAACATCAAGTGCCTCCAATTGTATGAAGTGTAGTACTTAATACGCAGATACAAATTTATAAATAGTGACTTAACAGATGTCCAGCATCGTAGTATGACTGTATCAAAATTCCTGAATCCAAAGGCAAAAATGAACAGTGATAAAGGGATGTCTCCGAAAAAAGCAATCCACGTGTGATTCTAAAACTTAAGCTTGAAATCTATTGGTACTTCAATATAAGTATAAACGAATTAACCTGTCTGTTATTTTTAAAGTGCCTTTTTCCTGTTGACATGGTGAGGCTTTTCGGATTCAGTACTCTCAATGTCATTACCGCTGACCAATTTCATCACATGTGTCCTGTCATGATGGCCCAGCTCGATGGTCGCGCATGTCCCCAGGCGCATGTGCAGCATCATAAGCTCTTGACAGATTCCCATGGGATGGAGGAAATTATCCAGATTCTACCAGAAGGTTAGTATTCCTCTATTTCCTTTGTTTTTTATTTAGTGTAAACACTCTTCCAGTGAGGTCAATGATACGATGATATAAAAGATATTCTGCTGATAAAATGATATTCTGCGGTACAATGCTATAGTATCTGTATCTATAAGAACACATATGCACTCCAATTAACTTGGCACTTAAAAAACTCTGACCTTTAATTTACAACAGATTGTTTCCAAATACGGAAGTAAAATAAAATAAAAAATGGTTTAATTTATAGGGAAATACAAACTATCAAAAACATCTTAAAGTAACTACATGAATGGTTATTTTAGAGTATATTCAAGGGTCTCTGTGTTTGTGTATCCTTCATGACATATAGAAAAATGCTAACATTATTACCAGTCCATATTAATCGTGAAATCGTATGTAACTTCATTAGTATTAACTGTCCGAGGGGCATGAGATTATTGAAACTTATTTATCATCACTGCATAACATATGGAAACAATCTATATGCAATTAAAGTAATCTCTATTTAACAATGAACATTACAATTTACTCGCGTCCCAAACAATAGAGTAAAATTGAGGGCAAGAAATAGGTATAATCACCCACATAATAGGAAGGTATCCTTGATACGTTGACTTTATAGTGTTTATTAAATTTTCCCAGTGTTATGGTATTCCTTTGTGATTTTTTAAAAAAAGAATTCAATGCAAGAGAAATTGTTTAAAATTAAATAATCATTCTATATGTATATAACATTATTATTAATATATTTAAATAAACTTTTCAGGTCTCTTTATCAAAATACAATAATTTATCATTATCATTATGAAGTCAGGGGTTCAAAATTCCTCAAGCCCGACGTCCCGGACTAACAAATTCCAGATCCGGACTCGACATTTAGAACTTGCCAAAGTCCTGGGACTTGGCTATGTTTCTTGTTAATCTTTTTTTTAAGTTAAAAAAATGATCGTAAAGCTAAAAATAAAGCAAATTCTCAAATGTATTAAGTAAAAATGTGGGTTTGTGGACGTTAAAATAAAATACCCATAAAACATTATGAACGTTTCGAAAATACAATCCGTCTTTTTATTTTCTGTTGCGGTAAGACTCTTGCTTTTACGCAATTCCTCATGTTTCCTCAATATAACAAACAGCAATGAGTTTGTTAAATTACAGCACATTCTAATTTCTATTTATTGTAACAGATGGTTTATTCAGTAGTGAGTATTTGTAAAAGTTATTGTATTGTACCAATAATCTATCAGTCTGGTATTGTGTTGAAATACTCATGTATGACTATATGACAGTTTATGGAGGAATAATAAAACATATAATATTAATACATATGGTCTTTATTCATTCAATGCAACAAATGAAAATAAATTATAAGTAACATAAAGTTAAAGATGTATAGGTAAATATGGACTCTGAAATTTCTTTCGCGGACTTGCCTAAAATTTACTCTTTAAGTCCTGGACTTGACTATGACAAAAAAAAATTTGAACCCCTGGAAGTTTACAGGCATTTTTTTTTAAAAATCTTTTATAACAAAGACGTGCTCTCAAAATGTAAAAACCATTTATTTAAAAATTTCAAACACCAATTACTAAAACTAAATCGAACTGTAGTTTAAGTGGTTATATTAGTATTTGATTGTTTAAATATTTCTTGTATTCCTGGTGCAAGCCCCTATTATGTTTTGAATAAAAGATCGGAGCTCTTCAACTTATCGCAAATCATGTTTTCGTTTTTCTTAATGGATACGTCTCTATCCCAAAGAACCAAAATAAATTTTAATCTATATTTGATTCCGAAACTTCATAACAATCCTTTCAAACAAAGATACATGGCGGGATCTAGTAAATGTTCAACCAAGCCTCTTCACGAAGATATTAACAGTAGTGAAGGAGAAACTTCAAGGGTACCGTACAAAAATATATTCAAGAAGTGGTGTAAATCTTATCTAGATACAAAAAAAATTCCAAGGAATTTTTGGACAATTTGAAATCACAAGATTTTACCAAATTTAACAGTTTTAAAAACTTACGACTTTTCAACTTTATACACAACCATTCCCTACGATGAAGTAAAGTCCTGGCTTTTTCATATCATTGACAGCTGCTTTTTCAATCAAAATGGAACTCGTAAATTTACTTACCTTGTCATTGGTCATTTGCAAAATTAATTTGTTAAAAACAAGTCTAACGTATCTGTTTCATATTTGGATATTTTACTTGGGAAAAGACGTTAATGGTTATCTAACAAGCAAACTCTATGATAAAAGTGATGACCTTTACTTTTCAATTCAATTTCAATTTTCAATTGTCAGCTCCCCTTACTTATGCAGCAATACACCTTCAACATCTGCATACGGAGTTTACATATTTCAGTTGATTCGATATGCAAGAGCATGCTCTACGTATGAACAATTTCTAAAACGAGATAAATTATTGACAAACAAGTTGATGAAACAAAAATAACAGCAGTCTCGTTTAAAGTCATCATTTCGTAAGTTCTACGGTCGGTTCAATGACCTTGTCAGCAAATACATTTTATCATTGAGTTAAATGCTGACTGACGTTTTTCATAATAATTGTTAATACATTATTTAGACAATATTTTGACGATGGATTTTCCGTTATTTCCCGACAATGACAAGGAGCACACGGCGGGTGTGACCGGTCGGCAGGGGATGCTCACTCCTCCATGGTACCTGGTCCCACCTCTGATGTTTTGGAGGTCCGTGTTTGCCCTGCTCCTATTTTGTATTGTTTTATGGATTTTTGATCTTAAATATTGTTCTCCATATATTTCAATCTACTTGTATTATAAATAGATTGAAATATATGGAGAACAATATTTAAGAATGTATGTTTCTTTTTATCTACCTTGGGGCTATTGACCCACCTTATCTCAACCTGTATTTTTTTTTTCTTTTGCCTGGGGCTATAGATCCGCCTCAATCTCTGTATTTTTTTTAATCTAGCCTGGGGCTATGGATCCGCCTCTATCGTTACCATCAGTGTCCTAGGCCTCCTGGCTGTGACCGTGATTCCCTGTTTACAGAGGGTTTTTCTGAACACCGTCCTTCAGTTCCTGGTCTCCCTAGCTGTGGGGGCTCTATCCGGCGACGCCCTGCTTCATCTCATCCCACATGTAAATATAAAATTATAAAAAAAATAAAAGAAACAGTGAAACACGTTTATAGCGAGTTCTGACATAGCGAATTTGCTTACAACGATATCATTTAATCTTAACCAAATCATGGGAAAACCCCCCCAAAATGATGTTTTAAAAAAGAACAACCATGACAAATCGCTATAATTTTGTTTTTCAATTTAATATTTATTTGATTTATATGAAGAATAATCATTAATAATTACAGTGATATCTTTAAAGTCAATGCATTTTCTCCCATTGTGTGATAGGCTTTCACTAGCGAAGGAGGTGACACAGATGGGGGTCGAGGAGAGGTATATAAAGGGTTGTGTGGCTTAGCTGGCATCTACTGCTTCTTTATTATTGGTCGTCTACAGGGCATCTACATGAGCAGGAAGGTCAAGGTAAGTCAATAGGACTGTCAGTTTACGTCACATGCCTGTTAATTGGGTGTCAATTTTTTAAAAAGTTTTAACGCATAAACAGTTTTTAAAATTCTAAGAAGATTAGATTCATTTATAGCAATTTACGTGATAAAAAAAGATCGATGTCTTATGAAGTAATAATCAGAAATGTATATTAAGTCTTGTACAATTTTGTTGAATTCTGCATCATGATTTCTATTATTAAAGGAGCAAGATAAAGGCACCAAAGAAAACTATTTAGACATGACACTGAATATAATCTCAGAGGGTACGTTACTTCTTTGTCTCTCAAACTTGCGTAGCATCAACTTAATAAATTCTCTTTTAAAATGTTGTGTCTGTAAGATCTGAAATTTAAATTTTATTTCAGACGAGGAAAAATCAGAAAGCATCGCCCTTAAACTTTCTGACGACCAGGATACTACCGAACAAAAACAGACACAAGAGAATGAAACCAGCCATTTACATGAACACAAACATTCAATTGAACATGAACATTCCCACGAATATGAACACCCTAAAGGTCACGGCCATTCACACGACCACCCTGTCCCCCGGAGTATGGGAGGGTTAGTGTGGAGGGTCATTATTGGAGATGGCATTCATAACTTCAGTGATGGAATAGCGGTGGGTGTAGCGTTCGCTGCCAGTATCACTGGAGGTCTTAGTACCTCAGTCGCCATACTGTGTCACGAATTACCACACGAAATGGGTAGGTCTTTAAAGTATTTAAACAATATTTTATACAGTGCCTTTTTCAATAAGCATTCTTACAACGAGGGCGAAAAAAGAGTGATAATTTCACTATTTACAGTAGATATCTATCTAGGCTATAGAAACAAAATTTTATAGACTTTTAAGCGGATTTAGTTTCAATAACGAATCAAAGAAAACAGAAACTCTCACCCGATGTTTAAAGTATACTTTGTGTCCGTTTATTTAGGTGATTTTGCTGTTCTTCTGAAGAACGGGATGACAATTAAGAAGGCAATCCTCTGTAACTGTGTGTCCTCCTTATTGTCGTTTATTGGCATGGCTATTGGGTTGGCGGTAGGAAACATGGGAGACTCTAGTCCGTGGATATTTGTTGGAATCGCTGGCATGTTCCTGTACATCTCACTGGTAGATCTAGTAAGCAATTTCAATAATACTGAACTTTATATATCAAATAAAAAGTTATAACAAAATAATTATAATATAAATAGATATTAATTAAACATAAATGTCACAAAAAAATTTAATAATAAAAACGCCTTTTCTTAAAAAAAAACCAAATAGCAATTAGTAAATTTCTACTTACTTTAAGTTTTCTTGTGAAATGATATATATATATTAAAAAAGAAATAATTGTCCGTAAATTAAACTGTATATAAGGCCTTTATCTTTCAGCTGCCAGAGATGAGTTTACTGGACGCAGGGAATCGGGAGCAAAGACCGTTCCGACAGTTCCTCTTTCAGTTAGGAGGTGCTGGGGTAGGAATTGGAATAATGTTGTTAATTGCCTTGTATGAGCATCAACTAAATTCTTTATTCAACGAATAATTTCACGTCCTCTGCCACACCTAGTCGGCGCGTCTCTCGGTAGGCTGGGTAATGAAAACTTACATGAAATGCGCAAAAATACCCATTTCCAGGAAGACAGTATACGGAGATTTTTACAGTCTTTGGACTTTGCATTTCCTCTGTTTTGTAATCTGCAGAAATGCATTACGTGTGTATATGGATATTTTAAATCAAAATGCCAAAAGAATATTCGACTAGTGAACATCCAACTTAAAAAAATGTGAAACAAAAGCTACTTGTTAACTTTATAACCATGGTTACTTCAACAAGAATTAAAGGTTAAAAAAGGATTACATGTATTGATAGATTTATCAAAAACATTCACAACATGTATTTGTGAAAAAACACACTCATACTAAGCACCTAAAGCAACTATTTTGAAAAGCTTTCAACGGCTTAATCACTAAACAATTTCAATCGTCAATTTTTCTGCCGTAACGGAGAAATTATGTATATCGAATTACCCTATCCTGATATACCGGTTATTCATGAAGTGGATTTTATTTGTTTGTCACAATTATGTGATATAAAATAGTGTTATATGTTGCATTTATAAATAAATCGCTGTTACTTTTGTCTTTACTTTATTATTACTTAAAGCTTTACACCTTATCAAAATATACAATATCGTTAAGATACAATCAGATCAGCGAAGAAATGGGTAAATAACAGGGGGACAAAAATAATTGGCGGATAAGAGGATGCATGTTGCATAACAAGTATAATTCGCCTAATGTTAATATCTAATAGGTTTAATATTACTAAGTATTGAACATTTGCAATAATGTATACATGGATGTTTTAAAAGAAATTTTGAAAAGATGTTTAATTCAAACCACCCTAAACAAAAATAATTTAAGAATGTTTTCCAGTATCATTAAAAAGACTTGATTGCCTGTTTCCTGAAGGAGTTTTTATCTTCGAATATTTTTTTTTTGTTTATTAGTTCTTGTAGATATAAAATTAGCCATTATTAGAATATCATAACGGTTAGACCATTTTCAAAATCATTATGACTGGACCATTACATGGTTATTGAAGGGTTATTGACCGTGCAACCTGATCTGATGACAATTACAAACACTTAGTGTATATACATGTATCAAGTATAAGAAAACTTAGATTCAAGGAAAATTTTACACCAAGTGAATGAGAAGAAATTGAGAGGTTCCCATCCTGTCCAAGAAATTTGATAAAGAGTAAAATCGGACCAATGAAAACATCGGAGGTGGAATGAAAGAGTAAGCATTCCATGTTCACCGCTCGCACCTACCGTTAGCCTTTTGTCTAGACTGGATAAAAGGACTAATTCGTTAGCAATTCGGATTGAAATTTTGGTGCAACAGTTTGTTAGAACATTGAACTCATTAAAGAAGTAAATTATGGCAGATGGTGAGATAAAAAGATAATTTGGGTTGATTCACCACCAGTGAAACAAATTAACTGGTAGAAAATGTAGCATACGTTAGTCCAGTTTATGTTACTCCATCACAATTAGCTTTAGTTCAAAATATTTCCATGATGAAGTAGGAATGAGATCGGAAATTTTAACACGGCTTTTGAACAAGATACACACTCCTCCCTGCATATTATAGGCATAGGCCGTGCAATGTCTAGTCTTAACACACTTGTCAGTACATTTAAAGATGGAGGAGAACACAGCCTCAGTAATAACCGAATCTGCAGGACCCGGTCTCTCATAGAGTCCAATCAGATCAAACTCCGCCTGCTTGAAGATCACAGCCGAATCTAGAATTAGAAAAAAATTAATATTGCCAATGATTAAAGATAATGAAGCATACTTAAATAGTATACATGTATAATCCTTTAAAGGATATGCGGGGTAAAACACAACATATAGGCGCAAACACGATTAATTTCAATAGAAAATGGTTCTTTGTATTGATTTAAGTTTAAAGATAAAATTACCATTGACTTCGCAGGTAAAATTGATAGCTTCCCACTGGTGATTCTGTTGACAAGAAATTGTTTCCTGACTTTTCAGACTGGAGAGCGTGTAGAACTGGTTACAAGTGAACGTTGCAGAAAGCGTGTTTTGGCTCAAAACATAAACCCCATTGGGTAACGTGGGTGGGAATGAAGGACAATAATTATCTAGAATTGTGATAAGGAAAAAAGTAGGATTCTTATCTTATACGTATACAATGTAATTACTTAGATTATAAATTATAAGAGAAAGAGCTTATTCCCTTTTTTAATTTTGTCATGATATGAGCTATACGATACTAAATCATATGTATCTGTATCATAATGGTTTATACAAGCTGAAGGACTAACATGAACACGAAGATACGCTGTCGTTCCACTGTGCCGTACTGAGGCAGGTCACTGTCTTGGAACCAGAACCGTCAGCCATGTGTAGGCTGTTATTACAGGTCACCGTGACAACAGTACCGAAGGTTACGTTGTTGGTGCTTAAGGTATATCCCGTGTCTGGTAACTCAAGTAAGCTGCAGTTCTTTACTTAAAAAAGAGAGACCATCATTAGTACAGTTACAATGCTATTGAAAATAAAACTTTGATAATTCAATAAATATATGGAGATGATGAACAGTATTCAAGATCAAAAGTCTATTTAACAATACAAAATAGAAGTAAAGCAAATATGGACCTCTAAAACATCGGAAGTAAATTCTTATATGCATTTTGCTTTCAATTATGACAATTAATTCATATATTTTATTTTATTAAGTTTTAACGAACATAGACGTAGAAATAAATTTATTAAATCAAACAGGATGATTAAAATCGCACCTATGCATTTTCCTAGTTCATCTTTCCAGTAGTACTCTCCGTCGGTTTCTTGGCACGTAACCGTCTTTAACGTCGCATTATTGCTCAGAATATAGCCTGGGTTACATTCAAATTGTATCTGGGAAGTAAGAGTGAAGAAGTCAATCGAGTGAGGATGAAAGGAGGAAATAAAGGAAGCCTCTTCCTCAATCTTTTCTTCACAGTGAGTATCTGTAAGGAAGAAGGCTCTATTGGCTGATGTTGCATACAAATTGTGTACATAAATCAAAAGATCTGCAAAAAACCTAAGGCCAAAAAAGTTATACTAACCGTACGTTCTGTTCACTGGCAGGGCTGGACTATTTGTAAAAGGAAAACACCAATTATCTTGTACTGTTCCGTAAACGTAAAGGGATTTTCCACAAAAACAATGTCTTGAGGAATCTGGAAGAGAAGACAAGAATCAGTAAGTCTTTTTGTAATTAATGCACACGCATATTGAAGTTATTGGAAGAAATAAAAAGCAATTCATATAGATCAAACACTTAAAAATGAGATTTTTCAAAATTTGAATACCTTGATTTTCATAAAAGGAATAAAACTGGTAATACAACGCCTTGCATGTGGTTCTGCAACCTTCTTCTGAAGACACTAAAGACTGAACAACAATATCTCCTTCCACATTCAAAAAGCATCCCAAATATGTAGTGGAATCTAAATAAACAATTTAGAGAGTACATATCTTCTCAACTTATCAGTACACAATTTATGTAAACGATGCATTTCACTCATTAATTTTCAATGACAAAATATATTCTCACGGTTAAACAGTGACAAAGGTTGTCCATATAAAGAAACACGGAGAGAAACCCGCTGCTGATGAGATAGCGGGTAAAGTCTTAATTCTCGTGTTATGATTGGCTGGGAGAAAAACTGTGTAACACGACTGTATCTATCAATATTTCCAGTTATCTAAAACAGAAAAATGTATATATAAACCATTTAGCCTATTTCTCGTTTAACAAAGTTTATTACAAAAATACAAGTTTCCAGTTGAATTCAAACAGGTATACCATTAAGGAGGCTGGGGGGTCAACAAAATAACCACAAATTAACCACCAGATTTAACTTATTTTTTTAGATGCGGTATCTTCCGCTGTCAACTATCATTTGGCAAAGAAAAAATTCATACATTTTAGTTTTAAAATTTGATCATTTTTGTATATCTTTATATGGAGCTTTTCTTTTAAAGGAGATCGAAATAGTCTGAAAATGGCCGCCACCCCCAGCCTCTTTAAACAATTTTTATTTACGTTGATTTTTTTCTTTTTTGAGAAACACAAAAGTAATTTACGTTGGAACTGGAACGCAGCAAGTTTAAACTAAAAACAAGCTCAAACAAAATAATATTAATGAATCATAATTCATATTAATGGACTGATGATTCAATTTCAAAATGTTTTTTTCAAATAAAAAATTATGACGTTAGTGAATAAGTTGACCACTGAAATACCAACTTACGTTAGTTGATCCATTAATTGAAACATCTATATCTTCATTCTCTAAATTCTTGTAAATTAATTTATATGACGTCACCCAGGACTCTGTTACCACATCACCTTCAAGAGACATACAGATGAAATCATATTTCCCACAATATACCGGTATCAATTCTTTATCAGATCAAATTGTAAAACCAGTTGCTGGAGAAACGATATTACAAAATGGACAATCTTTCAAAATCTGCTATACTTCCAAAGTACGTATTTTATTCCAATCAACTCCTATCATCCTTCGTTGCACTGGAAAACTAGTTTTAACATGACATCAATATCCTACCCTGCGTCTGAATAGCAGTAAGTATGTAGTCTTCTGTAAATGTGAACTTTATCTGTGGTTCAGTGTCAGAAAATTCCGGTTTCCAGCTACTGTCTGTGTTGTAGTTAGTATATACATTAATTCTGAAAAGACAATGATTTCATTTCTGGTCGGTTGTTTATTTGAAACCTTCACTAAATCAACTTATACAATCTTTGCTGACAACAGTTTCCTATCACATGAATATAACCAAAAAATCTTTCCAGTTGTCCTTACTCAGCACAAGGCGTAAAAATGAAAAAAAAAAACTTAGATAAAACCAGTCTATATTGAAAAACTAAGTACGCCTTTGGTCTGAACATATGCCTTTTAAACATATAAGCGTGAATATCAAAGAAACCTTACCGGTAATCCTCGTTTGAAATGCCAGATTCTGTAGATGTAGTAATGGAGTAATCTGTTATAACTGATAATGATGGATCTAAATGTAAAAAAAATCAAATTACATTTGCAAATTCAGTATGTGGATAATATCTAGCAGCAACTACCATAAACTTTATGCCAAATATTTTAAATGCTGTACGAGGGCTGTTCAATAAATAATGTCCTGAACTGTATGTCATACAATACAGATATCATATGGCATTAAAATTGACTTTCTCTCATTATTGAATCTTTAATGAATTTATATCAGTTTATGTGACCACTTCTCATCACATAGTTTCATCGTTAGAAGCTGGGAAACAAGGGCTATTCGGGACACTGCATTATAAATGAATGATAAAGAATCAGTAAAATAGAGTGAAAATATAAGCTTCATTAAAGCTGCCATAAAAATTGTTAAAAATTCAAAAGAAATATTCACTGAAATATGTGACATTTACAGCAACCAATTCCTGTTTTATAGACAAATGAGCAGGTGGATTTCAATGATAAAAAATTATATAATGGGCATCAAAAATGGGTACCGTCTTTGCCAACAAAAATTATAAGAACATGTTCTGTTCGCCAAATTTCGACAAATAATATTTTATGATGTATGATTGACTTTAAGACACATACCCTGGTAGCAAATTTGATAGACATCATATCGGGAGTAGTTTACACTGTTTTTAAGAAACGTTTGGCGGTAAAAAAGCTTGGTACTCAAAGGTCACCCCATATTTTGAAAAATGAGTGAAAATGACAGCGTGTACAAAAGTCTTAACAATTATTTTAAGATATCAGTAATTGTAGTTATCTACTTTTGTTTTATATTCAAACAGATATTGGAACATAAATCTCTTGCTTAAAACCCTCAAAACAAAATTTACCATAAGATGTACTCGATAAAAACGGCGAAGGTCTCACAAGAGCAAAGGTATGCAAGAGCACAAAGACAGATTTATTTGCAATTTTCTTAAATATTAGTGTATTGTTGTTCAAATTCGTATTCGGGGAGACAGTTTAATTTCTGGAGGAGTCTAGAAAGCAATTTTTTTGCCAAAAAAATCGAAAGATTTATTAGAGGAAGGACCCAGAATCAGGAATCCACTACATTGAATTTCTTCATGACAGCGTCCAAACCCGCGTGCCCTGAAGAGTAAAGAGGTTTTCGGGATAAATAGAAAGTTAATGTTTTTTCACATTAAAAGTATTGGGCAGGTCTTTGACCTGTTGACTTGTTTTTATTTCCAAACTTGAAAAAAACACCTTTCAGAAGAAACAAGTCCATCATTGGACTTTTTCCATATACTAAGGGTCATAAAAAATGATTCTAAAAACAATCAGAAATTGGATAAATAATGTTACGGACATGTGTTTTAATTAAAAGTGATTAATAAGTAAAATCATAGAGACTAAATCATTGAAAAGCGTCTTTTGCTTCTTTCTGAGCACCGAGGACATTATTTATTGAACAGCCCTCGTATAAGCCTAAAGGAATACATATATCTGTATACAGATAGTCATTGATTATTAATTTTTTTCTTTTATCACAGGAAAGAAACTCGTACTGTTATGAGGTATTACCTCGGTCAAAACAGGTCACAAGGTAACTTGTACCGTTTCTTTGGATGAAATATTGACCAGGAATATTTATACCATAAGAATAAAGTTCTTCACATGATTGAACTGTTTCCTCTCTGTAATAGTCTGCAAAAAGATAATAAGCATGTATAGAAATGTTTAAGGAGTTAATTATCATACAATTAAAGTATATCATTGAGGGAGTTCCCCAAGACCAGGACTATTTCCCGAGGTCGCGGGGAACTGGAATCTTGCTAACTTTCTCAATGATATACTTTTTAACTGTTTTATTATACCGATACAAATAGAGGATTACGAATTTCGGGGAAATAGCTTCAAGACTAAAGCACGGGGAATTAGTCCATTAACATAATAGACTGATACAAAAGTAAAATCTTTACGGATAACCGAGGAATACTTCCGAGAAGGGATTAGCTCATTTAACCTTTTAGTCCATTCACTGAGATTTCTAGGAAATCATCCACATTTTACTGCATTACTTTTATATAGGAAAAATACCAGTGGAGGTATAATAAAAGAGATTAAAATTCACATATCTTTTATCATTTTTACAGGTTTATTTTATTCAAATTTTTAAAGTACAAATTTTAACGTGCTTTATTTTCTAATATAACCAAAATCATTTAATATTTAATAAGTTGCCTAAAACATCAAACCTAAATCAACCAGAACTCCACTTCCTTTCGAGTCATCTCCACACATTTGGGTTTCGTGGCCAGAACAAGCCTTACATTCGCCAATTTTTTTCTCATAGGTCAAGTTAGCGTAACAGAGACACCCTTGTTCACGAACAACACCATAACTAGCATTTCTACCGAGGCAAAGCTGAATACATATTGATGACGTCATCGGATATATATTTTGGTGTTCAAATAGTAATGACCCATTTAAACTGTTTATGGCGATGCATCTAATACTACCTAGAAAAAGAAAAAGAAACCATAATGTATATTCAATAACGAACATATAAAACAGTATTCCTGTTCTGAAACTGGAAAACGAAATGTATATTTACCATTAACTGGGGATTTACATATGCCAAAGTGTTTTCCCGAAGCCTCTTCCCATTCAAATGTGTCCATTTTTAACGTCATATATCCTATGGAACCATTGAAGGTTACATCAGGGTGTGACCTCACAAAGAATCCTTCACTTGATGTGTAATGATTGTTGTGCAGTCTGAATAAATGAAAGGATAACTTCGTTATAAACAAAGTAAAGACCTATAGGTCTGGGACTGGTTTTTAATTTTTTACAAAAAGTTTATCGACTTGTGTTCCGGTCAGTGAAATTTGGCCTCATACATCAGTATTGCATTGACTAGAAACATCGATTTTAAAACGTGACATTCCAAAAAATTGTTAGGCTAGATGTTTCGAAATTATTTACCAAGCATACAAACAGATCTTGTTAATATGGACGAATATAAGCCAAATTGCCCTTGTCCATTATATAAGTTTGTCTGTCATAGAAGAAAGCCCACTTGAAATACTTTTGTAATACTTTATCAAATTTGCAAAAATAGAATTTCGGGACCGTATCTAAATAACGTTTCATAACCTCTCAAAGATTTAAGTGGTAAAATCCATCTTGAAATACCTATTGGATGTTCCGATAAAAAGATGAGTTTCTGACTGAAAAACTGGAACTATAAGTTTCAGAACAGAGACGAGTTCATCATTCTCCGCGGGAAAAAATGGAAGGCTGTCGCTCTCAATGCACTGAGAGGTGAACGTCTCTCCGGATGTTAACATTGTTCCAAATCTATAACAATGGTCTCTGTAACCCCAAAACATGGGGACTGATTGGCAATCTGTTTGGTCTAGAAATCAAGATAAATTATTCATGTCAATAATAAAAATATAATCAGTCTTCTACATGTTCAGGTATATATATAAACCGTTTACAAAGCACAGTAAATAATCAAAGTCAAACGATGGAAGACATATATATCTGACAGTATATCTTAATTTAGACATTAAAATTCTTTTTTTTTCCGATGTGCATTTATAGCATCAACATTAATTTTTATAACAAAGTATCATCCTACGATTTTTATTTCGTCAAGCAGGTATACAATGAATACACTTCAAACAGCTTTTATCATTTAATCTTTCCAATTAGTATACACAAATGACTCTTTTACCAGTAAATCCACAAGTCTGTTTTGACGTCCCATTCTCGTTCTGAATTGTGTATGTAGCGTTATAAAACACTCCATGTGAATACAGATGATCACAAGAGAAGGCTGTGTATTCATTATCGTATTCTAAAATGAAAGTAAATTTAATGATTTATACAACATATATAAACATAGAGGTCACGAGCGGATCCATGTTGTTTTCCTGGGAGTGAACATCCACTCAAAAAATAGCACAAGACTTGAAAACTTTTAAATGAAAAATGTTAAGCCCAGAAACAAAGGGGTTGGCGTTACTTTCCTAATTCTAGAAAACTACTTTCATATTTATTTTGACCATCTTTACTTTTTTACAAAAGGTTAATTTTTTTTCAGGGAAAGGGGTTTAAGGACATTTTTGTAACTTAAAAACAAATTTAATTTCACTGAAAAATCCGAAAAGGGAAGTAGATTTGAAACTTCCAACCCCCTTCTAGATCCACATGTTGAAGTTTTGGAAATTTGGATATGTATATATATTCGATAATTCTCCTAAAAAAATCACAATGAATCACACAAAGCTGATAATTCAATAATAAGATTGTCAAAAATTTCGACGGTAGCCGTGTTTAATAAATTCATTCAAAGATACCGATACCTAGATTATAAACATCAACTTTTTCCCCATCTGGACAGCGCTGGATGTTGTTTCCTTGGCAAAAGGTTTCGTTTGTGCCAGTACGTCTTTTGCTTGCACCCGAAAAATCAAGGGTAAGCGAATCAACATCTGTGGAATTTCCACACCAGCAGGTATCTCTTCCAACCATGGCAAACCTTTGATCGGCCCCAACACAGACTTGTTTGCACTGAGTTAAAGTCATTATGCCATATCGAAGAATTAAAGGTACCAGGTTTGTTGGTTGCTGAAACACTCCAACAAAATCTGAATGATAAAATCAAAGTTTTCTAATGTAAAAAATTGGTATTCAGTTTTTTCTTAAAATTTCTTTTTTTTAATTTTGTATAACAAAAGAAAAAACGAATTGAAATTTAATCATTAAAAACAAAACATCTCCTAATAGAACAATGTACAGAGTGATCAATAAAATGAAAACTCGATCATAAGATCTTCTGGTACCTTTTTCGGTTTCACACACAGCTGCCGAGGCCTGAGGGGTGTCGGACGAGGTACCAATGACAGTGTTCAGGTATTTCTGGTCCTGGAACAGTGCTCTTTCTTGATACGAATCTCCAGAGAAATATGCGTCAATCATGTATTTTGACATTGAACCAGAAGTCCATGAAGGTGCTCCTAGCAAGATCGATTCAAAATATCCAAGCAACACCACGGACTTAACTAAACGTTCTGAACCTACAATTTGCAAAAAGGTATTGTAATCCCAAAATATCAAAACAACAAAACTTGTTCTCTTCTCTTCTGAGGTTTTTTTTCTTCCCTCTTGATCATCTGCTGAAATCTGTTTACATACAATATACTTGTATATGATTCTATAATAACAAAAGAAGTTTTCAAGAGGACACACCCATGATAACTTTGGCAATGAATAGATGTTGCTCCTGGTTGTTGATCGAAACCAGTCTACCTCCTTGTTGTGCACAAGCAGACCTCCATTCCAGAATCGGTTGGTATCCATATCCAGTAGTCGAGTTCAACAGAACACTGTAACAGGTTCCGTTCAAAGCATACCATCCCTCCTCGCAATCAGCGGAACCATCTTCATTTCATTTCATGTGAAATGTACAAATTTTGTAACATTTCAATTTTTCTTATTTGGGCAAAAATAATTTTTATTTGCTATCTAAATATGTACTTTTAAAATTGAATTTCAACTTACCATAGAATTTACAATACTGAATACCATCTTTCAGTGCATAATAGCCATGTATTCGTATTCCCGAATCAAATAGTGTTTCACAGGAGCTATACAGGGAATATTCATCTATAAAAGAGTGTCAAATGAAGTAAGTGTCTGCATGTTTATTTGATTTTATATATTTTGATGATCAATATATAAGATCTTGTTTTTAATTGCTTTTACAATCACAAGCAGCTACTTTGGAACAAACAAAAATAAATATTTAACATTACAATAAAATTAAATAAGTAAGAGCATTAAAATACCTATCTTATAGACGGATACACTGGATGCCGAGTCACCACAAATTTGAATCTTGGAGTTGGCGCATCTGGACTTGCAGGATTTTGAGGTGTTCATCAGATGTGTGTCATTACATCTACATTCTGACGGAGACAGCAAAGCGTAGGTTGTATTTCTAATACGACAGGTTTCCACACATAGTTCTATCGTCATGGTATCCGAGGTCAAGACTACAGGAAAACTATCGTTGCTCAAAAAACAGCCCACATACTCTGTAAAAAGGCATTAAAGATAAGTAATAGTATTCATTTTTATCAATCTTTTATCTTGTGATAAGGCATTTTTTTAAAAAATTTATTATTTTCCTCAACATGTTATAGTTTTGCAAAGTAGATGAAAGAATTTAACTGTAAATATTGGTCTTATTTCAAAAGAAGAAGGTATGGTTTTAGCTTTATTGTGCCCTAAAAATTTTATGTTTTCAAAAAGTTTTGAAACTAGTTTATATATTAGTTGAGTTTATGACTGTGATAGATCAAAAAAGAATATGGTTTAAAGGAATACCATTCTGTTCTGGAAATATGACATCATTAATTTGATGCATTTTTCTATTTTAAAAAACAAAAAAAGCCTCAAAATAACCAATTTCAAGGGTAATTTTCCTTCAGAAAATAGTGTCCACAGCCGTCGCTCACTTTAATTTTTGGATGTGTTGTGCAAACTTTAATTTAAAAAAAATCACATATCTCAAAATTATGGTGGACAATGCCCATGGACAATATTATCTAAATGAAAATTCCATTGAAAAATGGGGTGTCTTCTGCAACTTTTTATGAAAATATTGGAAAATACATATGTTTGTGACGTCACAATTAGCATTCATAAATGCATATGAAAAAAATAACTTGTATGATTTTTCTGAGAAAACATGTTTAAATCTTTTTCCCTACTGTATCACTTTTTGAAATTTAACAAATATATTACACAGAGAACAGCCAGTTCATCATATTTTGGCATTACATGACTTTAGATTAGTTTTTTTCTGGAAAACTTATTCATTATATTCAACGAAAGATAAGAATGAAATTGTTTTAAAGAAATTATTACCTGGAGACATTTCACAAATGAAATTTCTTCTCGTGCTTTCGAAGCGTTTTATCGGTCCTGTTGTGTAAATGTATGTGTATTCCTCTTGGGTTGTATCAAGAAAAGTCAGATTTCCTATTTGTCTCCCCATGGACGACCGGAAATAAGGCGAATATTGACCTGTGGCCTTAAAACCTACAAATAACAAAAAAACAATATGGATATGCATTCGCATAACATTGAAAGGTAAAGAAACACACAGAGGAAATACATCAGTATTCTGAAATTGAAATAAACGATTAAAGAACTACATTCTAAAAAGGTTTTTACAGTTTTTTGTAAGATGGTAAGAAAAGCTATTCATCAGATTTAAAAATCATTTTTCATATTTTTTTTTGAAAAAATTAAAATTTCGCGTTTTATGAGGTGGAAAATATACAGAATTTGATATGATCATTTTAGACCCTTTCATTTTTTTTTATTTATACAAAATTTTATCCACGTATAAAAGTGAATAGAATTGGGCAGCAGGCAAAGCCAATTTTAGCCGTTTCCTTTTCACAAATCTTTTACGATTAAGATTAAATTTGACATCTCCAATCTTTTTACTAGTAAAGATAATTTTTCTTTACATTTTTTTCTTTCAAAATTTATCGTAATGCAGCCAATACATTTGATTTATACTTGGTTATATAACTATATATTAACTTATAATATATTAGCTACCCATAAGTCATTTATGAAAGGATCCAATTTGTAAAATGAGCTGCGTTTGTTTTTGTCCCAATGAAATTTTAACATACACACAGGTTTGAAATATATTATATCAAATAACTCTCTTTTTTCCATTTTATCTAAATTGAACAGTTTTATTCATCCTATGTTCATCCTTCTGCTGTCAAACACTGTATGACAACATCAACGGTCTCAAAACAAATGTATTCCCTCAAAAATTGCATTAAATGATTTTGAATTTTTTTTTCGAATCTATATATAGGAATGCTACCATTTTGTTTTTAAAATAATATCTTCAAATTATCTTCCAAAAGAAACAAATTTAAAATACTTTACCTATTATCCAATTGGATGTCGATGAATCGGACTGAACGTTCGTGATTAAGCCTTGCAGAAATTCCAGTTCTTCGAGATCATCAACAGAGACCAATGACGCTGAATGGGAAGAACAGTACTCTAAAGCTGACCGAACGCGGCTCACTGAGAGAGCGAACTTGTAGCATGAAGAATATCCCGGCCTCTTTATCCATGAAAACGGGCATTCTGTTAGGTATAAATAAATAATAAGTTCACAATTTTGCTTACCATGATAAACTATTCAATGGTCAACATTTATTTTGGCGGAGGATCATTGATTGTAAATTGTTTAACGTCCCTCTCGAGAATTTTTCACTCATATGGAGACGTCACCGTATGCCGGTGAAGGGCTTCAAATTTAGATCTATACTGGCACTCAGCGCCAATATCAGTCTTTGCATGTTATTTTTTTACAAAAAAATCTGGTGTTTTTTTTTTTTTTTTTTGAGATGAAAAAAAAAATAAACTCGCCTGGATTTGGACAAAATGTCGGTTGTGATGAATTCAATAACATAACATTAATGTCACCAATTCCTTGTCTTTCAAGGACTTTACAATTTGCAGCTCTTATATTATTTAAACCTGAAATTAAAAGCAAAAATAATTTGTATATATTTATATTTCAATTTATAAATGAATGTTCTGATACAAAGAAAAAAAAGCTCATTTTGTATAGGCGTATAAACAGTACTTTTAGCAAAGATTTTGGCATTATTTGCGTATGTTCAAACTGATATCGCTAATATTCGATTTTTTATTAATTGCTAAATATATATGTGTCATACTAAACTTTTCATTTATAAGTTGAATCGTTGAAATAACATATTTATTAACATTTTTTTTTAAATTAATCGCTAAATATGTGTCATGCTAAATTTAATGGTGAGTTAATAATTTTCAAACCGTTTTTATAGCTATATTTGTTATTATTCCCTCCACAGAGCTGGTGTTCATTTCCTGGACAAGGTGACCTACATTCTGACTCAGGTAAGTAGGTCACACGTGACTCAATACTCGTGTTGGTACACAAACAGTCCTTCTTCTTCAGCAAGGCGTTCACGGAGAGCTGTCCACCACAAATTTGAATACACAGCTGTCTGTTCATCTGTGCATTTGTTTGTTTGGACACTTCAACATCTGGATTGTTACCCTCATCAAAATCAACGCATCTGAACATTCCTGCCAAAAAAATCATTATAACCCTGGCCTGTCACTATTAAAATGAGAAAGCCCATGTATTTGAGATTTATCCAGAACAAATATTCTTTGAGAAGAAATTTAAATTGCATGTGAACCCAATAATTTACCTTGTTCTTTACTACAGATAAATGGAGTTTCAGTGACACAATGACCGTCGATCCAAGATCCTTTGTGTAAATATAAGCAATCATAGTAATCATAGGCTGGAAAGCCAGACCTATAGAAAAACTCATCACTCAGGCTGCCATCTAACCATTCATAGGACGACATAGAGTGAACATCAGTAGCACCAAAGCGCCACATCACCTGATACAGGTCCGAATGAAAATCTGTGGAATCAGAAAAGCAACGCTATAGTTTTATCGTTAATTAAAAAAATCTTTAAGTTGCTACTTTTTTTTTAAATTTTTTTTTTCCAATGGAATACTTGATCTGATATTATTTTAAATAAATTGTTATTATTTCACTTATTGTATGTTCTTCATATGTTTATTTAAATGAAGAAAGACTGGCCAATATAAGCATTAGAAATATATTATCATCCTTTCCCTACATATGCATTATACCAAACATATTTACATACATGGATATCAGCTTAAAATGAATTAACACAGAAAAGGAAAATTAATTCTTACCTTTAATAAAACCATCCACGAAGGACATTATATCCTTGTTTCGCAGGGGAGCAAGTGAAGAATTTTTGGACAAACACTCGGACAAAGAATCATCAAAGTTCATGTATTGCATTTCAAACCAGTAACAGCTCCCTGCGTATCCAACCCATCCATCTTCACAAGGAGTGCCATCTGAACCAATATAATATTTACAAGAGGCCCATGGGCCACAACGCTCACCTGAGAAGCTTTGACCATTCTGTTCTTTACCAGATTTCCCCCTTGTAATACATATTGTGACCCCACCCTACCAACTGATCATAATTTCGACAATTTGAAATCTACACTACCCCAGGATGCTTCCACATAAATTTCAGCTTTTCTGGCCCAATGGTTCTTGAGAAAAGATTTTCAAAGATTTTTCCTATATATTTCTATGTAAAACTTTGATTTCCCATTGTGGCCCTGCCCTATCCCCGGGGGTCATGATTTGGACAATTTATAATCTACACTACCACAGGATGCTTCCACATAAGTTTCAGCTTTTCTGGCCAAGTGGTTCTTGAGAAAAAGATTTTCAAAGATTTTCCCATATATTTATATGTAAAACTTTGATTCCCCATTGTGGCCCCGCCCAACCCCCGGGGGTCATGATTTGAACAATTTGGAATCTACACTACCCCAGGATGCTTCCACATAAGTTTCAGCTTTACTGGCCCAGTGGTTCTTAAGAAGATTTTTTAATGACCCCACCTTTTTTGGTCTTTTCTTGATTATCTTCCCTTGTGAGGGGACTTGGCCCTTTATTTTAATAATTTCAATTTCCCTTCACCCAAGGATGCTTTGTACCAAGTTTGGTCAAAATTGGCCCAGTGGTTCTTGAGAAGAAGTCGAAAATGTGAAAAGCTTACAGAGGGACGGACAGACGGACGGACGGACGGACGACGGACGGACAAAATGTGATCAGAAAAGCTCACTTGAGCCTTCGGCTCAGGTGAGCTAATATATATATATATATATATAAACAGTAGCCTACTATAGATCTTCCTAGGTTAAAGAATTGAGCATGCTCTTGATTACCGAAATGAACATCGTGAGCAGGTGATACTTCATAACTAAAAAAAAAATGCTTATGGAAAAGCTGAAGTTATCTAGTTTATCAATCTTTTTAGTTGTTGGTTGGTCCTTATCGTATATAGTCATTAAATCATTCAAATATCAAACTAACCTGCAAAACTGCAATATACAGGTGCGTCATTCTCCTGCATGTAGTACCAGCCGTTGTTTCGAACTTGCTTTTCATACAATTTCTCACATGTTTTTTCCCGCCACAGGTACAAAGCTAAACATACATAATTCAAAATCTTTGATCAGGAGGTTAAGTAAGTGAACAATATTATCATTTCAAATACAGACAACTGTTTCAGATTTTTTGTGTTGCAACAATCTCGAGAAAGACATTCAGAGACATTGAACAGCAAAAAGAAAAAATGCATGGGCCATAATGCTTGCCTGCCTACATTAGTCCTTTTTTATATACCCCCTGCTTAAAAAGCGGGAGGGTATTCATTAATCAGGATGTCCGTCCATCTGTTTGTTACGCTTTAGGTATACCCATCTCTTATCCGCAACTCCTCTTACACCACTGAATGAAATTTTCATAGAATCTTATTACATATTACCGTTGTGCACCTTCTATTACTTTTTCATCCTACATATATTTTGAGTTTCCCATTGCAAAACATGGACTCTGCCATTATATTCATATTAGAGGCGGTTGATCATTTATATAATTCACCGCCAACAGTACCTCTAGTTCATCTTCAAATTTGTAATACCGGGTATATTTTTCCTTGGCACCTTTACCCATGTGTTATGAAAATTTCAGTTTCACAGGAATAATATCAATGTTGATAAAATGTGGATTTTCACACAGCATCCTTTTAAGAGCTAACAGGTTTGTTCTATAAAACTTCTCTGTGAATATAAATGTATTTCAATTACACGAACATTATACATGGAGTACGTCAGAACTTAATTTTTTTTAATATTGTGAAGAAAAAAGCAATACCAAGTAAAAAACAAATATTTTTAAAATGACCAAACATAAAAACAGTGGTATATGTGAGAGTTTGTACATGTGTGCGTACAAATTATCTGGTATGTAAATGAGGTTTTCCTTTTATTTGAAAAAAATATATATACTTCATTTTGTTGTTTTTAATCGCGATTCTGGTTTTAACATTTATATCAGAGTACTAGATTTACCGCTTTTTGGCAGGTGATACTGCTGATTTAGTAATAAATACGCATGTTTCCTAAAGTTTTATGTTTTAATGAATTCAATAAAACCAAGAAAATGTTCATGAAAAGTTTGAATAAATTCTGTGCACCGGTAAAAAAGAAATTGCTAAAAATCCAAAATCCGGGACCGTCGGGCGTCGGGAAGACTAGATTTACCACTTGCCGTCTTTATAATTTAGTTTTACTTTGAAAGAAATCTAATATTCAAAATAAGATTACTTTATCATTACATTTACTTACATTTCAAATTATAAAAATTAGATCAATTCAGGAGAAAATGACATGAACTATTTGTGGCCGATGTTTATGCATGTTTTCTGTTGAATATCATCGGGGTAAATTGGTCGACACAGTAGCCTCGCTTTCGGCTCTATATAATCAACACAAATTACTGCGGATGTTAAATGCGTGATGACCAAGGGAGATTAAACATAGTTCAACTCCCAATAAGAAGAAGCCAACGGACATAACGCTCATCTGTGACAATTTGTATAATCATTATCATAAATTAGTATTCCTATATATCCTTATCCTAAAATTTAATCCACCATTGTAGCCTCACATTCCTCTGGGGGTCGTGATATGAACAATTTGAATCTGTATAACCTTATGATGCTGCTATATCAATATTACTAATCAAGACTTTTCCTTTTATATTTCTATGTAAAACTTGGATCCCCTATTGTGGCTCCACCCTACACCCAGGGGTCATGATTTTAACTTGAACTTACTGTTAGGTAGCTTACAAACAAGTTTCACTTTTTCTGGCCCAGTGGTTCCTCTGAAGCACATTCTTTTTTTTTTTTTTTTTTTACATTACATCACCCACTTTTTCACTATTTCTTTATTATAAGTACTTGGAAAAGGTTGTGAACCTTCTAATGAATAAGCTTAAATTCGCTATACCAAAGGACACATTGTGCAAAGTTTGGTTGAAATTGGTCTAGTAGTTCTTGAAAAGAAGATGTGAAACGTATACAACTACGACGACGAAAAAGGACAAATTTCAATCAGAAAAGCTAATTTTTTCACTTATATGGGATGCAATAGAATTTAAAATTAACATGCATCATTATGAATATTTTTAAATGCTTCTGATAATTAACTAAACTATCTCTATTAATGGTTCTCTTTTAATCTAATTGATCTTACATAATAGCCGTTGGCGCAACACCGACGTCAAAACGTAGTTTGTGACGTGTGTAAAATTACTCATGAATCTTTGCTTCGAATCGTATATCTAATTTTTGGAAAGAATAAGAATGAAATAAAGCAGAACGATTTCAAATATATTCTATTTGATTAAAATTCATTTAATACATTAAACACTGTTAGTGATAGGTCAAATATGATCTATAGAAACTCCGTAGTCCAATCCCGTGTTGAATCTCGGATATAGTGTTTGGGGAAATGTGATAGACTTCTGAAAACTACAACTGGCTTGCAGGTTTACGGGTTTGCAAAACACGAAATAAACGCTCGTAAATGACCCTGGTAATATTTTGTTTTATTAAGAATAGTTATTTTTGATCGATTCCAAACACGAGCCACAAGATATTTTATCAAAAACACGGTTATGTTTATATATAAATATCTTTTTCTTCATCGCGTGTAAATAAGGGGGGGATTTGGTTCCCTAGTTCCTTTTTGCACATACAATGTCGAGTGAACACATTAAATCAAGCAAAGAGTGTTACTGGCTTTTTGAATCTCATGACCGAGCCTCTTTAACGACGTTGGATCCTGATATTTAAAGTCTTAAACTTTTTTTGCCAAGTATATTTTTAGTGTCTTCATACATATAGCTTAATTAAAATTCAAATAAAAAAATGGGGGGTCAATATGCTTCTTTTGGCGCTACAGTACATTTAATATGACATTTTTACACTGAAATGTGTGTCTTAATTAAAAAATACATCTTCGACGTTTTCCCTCGAATATTCTTTATCCAATTTAAGCATGAAACAAAATGAACTCTGATTCTATTTAAAAAAAGACCCTTTAAAATTGTGACTAAGAAAAAAGTTTCAAATTGCTTCGCATAATCAATTTATTTAATCAAGACCTTTTTGCACTAATAAAATGTGATTTTTCTGGCATTGAAAATTTATTAAGCAAGAAAATTATTTGACATTTTTGCACTAATAAAGTGTGATTTTTCTGGCATTGAAAATGTATTTTGCAAGAAAATTATTTGAAAGTCTTAAACTTTTACTGAATTTAAGCAAATAGGTTAAAGTTATCTTAAATATTTAGAAAAGAACATCAAAAGTGGGGGTATATGATGTAAATTTTCAGATATTACTAATAAAGTGACGATTTTACGTTAAAATTGGCTCAATTTTTCTCCGGATTTTCAAAATATATTAACTACAGTTATCACAATTCGTTGAACAAATTCATAAGAAATAATTTAATAGATATTTCAGAACCAGCATAACACATTTCACCGCAAAAACAACTTTGTGTGCAACCAGCATGGAAAAATAGGAATCTAAAATTAACAGTACCGTTATAGTTCAAAAGGGAAAAAACGGATCATTTTCTTCTGAAAAACCTTCCGCCACAAAATATAGTTCCTATCTTGATTCTACTTGAATGAAATTTAATCGCGGATTTTAACTCTACTGGTCAGAGACCAGAAGAGCTTATGCGATAGTAATGCGTCCGTCGTCTGTCTGTCTGTCTGTCTGTAAACAATTTTTCAAAATGCAACTCCTACAATTTTGGTATGATTTCAATATAACTTGGCACACAAGTAGACTAGACTAAGATACATAATTCTTTATATCGGTTTTTGATTTCGATGAACGGTGTTGCCTTGGTTACTAAAAATAGAAATTTCTGTGAAATACCCGGTATGCATGTAGACTACACTGAGATACATAATTATCAGTTTTGTATTTTTGATTTTGATGATTGGTGTTGTCAAAGTAATTTAAATTGAAAATTCTGTAAAATTTTATTAAAAGCTACTCTTACAGTTGTAGTCTTATTGCAATCTTGCCACAAAGAGACTTAATCAAGGATCATTATTCTATTTATTACTTTTGTTAAGTTTTAAGTCCCAACTGCTACTTTTTTCTTCCTTTATTATAAATACAAACCAGTAGAGCTACAGTCTCGACAGAGACTTCTGGTTTCATTAAATATAGTTCAATTTGCATTGAAGAATTCAGATTTAATGTTAGAACTTAAAATTTATGCAGGGTTTTATAATTAAAGGACAGGACCAAAATCCGCTTAAAAGCTCAGGATCGAACGTCCTTAATAATTTTTACTATGTAAACCATACCTAGATTATGCATGGTTATCAAATCCTCAGATGCAGCTGTGGAATTGGGCTGGACAAACTCTCCATTGTCTGTCGTGTTAGTACACATGCACTCTCCAAGTTGTACTAAGGCATAATACGCATTTGCACCCGAACAGAGTTGCTTGCAGGCCAATTCCTCGTTTCCATACACAGCAGTTCTCAATGAGAAGTTTAAGGCTCCAACACTGATAAAAGAACTCATTTTCTCTCCTGGAAAAAGAAAAGTCAATCAATATGATATTTACCTGAGATTAATAAAAAAAACTAAACCTTTTTCTCGACCTTTTAACCCCGGGCATTCTTTGTGATTTCTACTACTATCATTGAACATGATTGAAAATCATACTTATTCCGGCGACTCACTAGATGTGTAGACAGAGAGTTGACCGTTGGGTCCTCCACAATAATAGGGACTCACTTTGTTTCTGTTGGGACACGGTTCATTACAGTCGCTCGAATTTGGTGATGCTGTGCCAATTACAATATCACCACAGTAGCAAGTGTTCGACGAAAGTCCTGAAAAGAAACACATGTAGGGGCAGGTATGGACAAAAATAGCCCTGAAAAGAACGCAAATGCAAAAGATAGACAAAAAAATAAGAGAACAAAGAAATAATAATTATTCAGTTAACTAGTACGTTAGAAAATTTTCTTATGTTCCAAATAACATACCAGCGAATCTTGCATTTTGCACTGTGCATTTCAGTCGACAATTTGAAATCTGGGTAAACTGTGAAATGACTGTGAAGTTTTCTGTCGCATAACAGCCCGCGTATATATCAGAAGCTATAAGAATACAAAACAGTTGAAACAGCATAATCAAAAATATAAATTGATTTGAGTAAGTTTGTTTCTAGATATTCTTGATACGAGAAAACTCGTCAACACATAGATTTCTAATTTAACTGCCACCGTTGCCTAATCCATGTTAAATATATCCAACTTTCTTTGCAATGTATGTGAATATGACAATAAGAACGGAAATTAGCAATATGTCTCCGTACAAAATTAAGATGCTTTGCTCGCTTTATTTCGTTTACTGGTATTATGGGTTTCCCACTATTTTGATCTGAGCTCTAACAAAGATTGTAAGTTGTAAGGAAAAGATTTGAAATTCTAATACCCGATCAATAGAGTTTTCAACAAAAAAAATACTTACAACTGCATGACAATGGTCCATTATAATCTGTTCCTTTCAATGCCCAGTTGCCATCCTCCATACAGATATATTCTCCCCAGTGTAACCCCTTCTTCCTGTGCCCTTCATTACAGACGAACTCTATCACCGCTCCGTATGTGGTGTTGGAGTCTGATTTATAGTCTGTCTGTATGTTATCTCCGACTAAAGGAGGTCCACAGTCAAGGGCTGCTCGACAATTATATAGGAGATTGGGTGTTTTTAATGATTAAAATATAAATAACATTTGCATACAATAATAGGAGTTAAAAACGTGAGTCTTTAAATATTGAATAACAATTTTTGGAAAGATGTTATAACTGTCACTCAAAAATTTGATGAAAAAATAACCAATTAATTTCATACCCCATGATACTTACGTTTGCATATAAGTTCTGTTCCATTCCAGACGCCGTCTTGTGTACAGTGGAGAAGAGTGTTTCCATCTGATTGGTTGTAACCAGCGTTACAAGCATAAACAACACTGTCATTGGACAGAAAAACCACGTGGGAATTGTGTGTTACAGTCACGTTACATGGGACTGAAAAAAATTGTCATATGTTACAAGCAAAAATGCATGAGGAAACATTGTATCATATGGATTTATCATAATAGAAACTTTGGTTTGTGCTGATGCAATATAAGTCAGTCAAATGGTATTTTACATTGTGTATACCTAGTGCGTACAGCCAGTAAACAAAATTATGGCTGTAAACACACAATACCTTGATATTTTATACTCAAGAAACCTGGCATTTAACTCAATATATTTCTTGTACGCTTAAAAAACATGAAACTAGAATATTAAAATATAAACAGGAGCCATATAAACACTTCAATAAAGGTTGATTGATTGTATATTGCTTAACGCCCCATTCGAGAATTTTTCACTCATATAGTGACGTCACTGTATGCCGGTGGAAGGCTTCAAATTAAGACCTAAACTTAGGCACTGAGGGCCATTGGGCAGAGAGGTTTTTTTTATCGTGCCAACGTCTACCGTGACACGGGATCTCCGTTTTAAGGTCGTATCCGAAAGACCCGTGACTTTCACTTCTAGTACCGAGCACTTGGCGAAGGAACAGTTACTACATGTTTGCGTCTTAGGTTTGACGCGGCACCGCGAACGAGAATTGGGCCTCCCGATCACGAAACGAACGCTCTACCACTAGGCTACCGTGACCGATCAATTCAACGAAGATAAGAAATTCATGCCACCCCCATCTCAAAGTGTTGGCTTTTTCTGGCTACAGGTGTATCTATTTAATGTCCATTCATTTTAAATGATCTTGCATATATATGTTTATATAATATTCGTCACTTAAACCGTGCCGTGAATGAGTTTGCATTTATTCACAAAGTAATTTCTGGTGTTATCATTCTTCGTTGAATGTAGTATAAAATTCTTTCCCTTGATCATTGTAGATACTTTGGAGCATTGTTTCATTTCCTACATTGTAAGTTTGACTGCACAAAACAGTTTAAAAACTTCTGGAAAAATAACTTTCATAAAACCCAAAGTGAAATGGAGACGTCAAAAGTGCTTGGCTACGTGGATTACATTGTAATGGGACTTTCTCTGGTAATGTCGTTGGTAATCGGAGTCTATTTTTCTCGCTCTGGCGGGAAACAACGCTCTGTGGAGGAGTACCTGATGGGAAACCGCCGGATTACGTGTCTTCCGGTGGCATTGTCGCTGCTTGTCACATTTCAATCAGGCATCAGTTTATTAGGACTTCCAGTGGAAATTTACTACTACGGAACACAGATCTACATGGGAATTGTGGGTCTGGTTGTCGGCTATTCAATCGTTGCCATTTTCATCGTCCCTGTTCTTCATCCTCTCCAAATCACTAGTGTGTATGAGGTAAAACATACAGTTTGCTGTCTAAGCAAGATGTAAACGTTGCTGTTTTGTTCATATTTTAACTAACTGGCATACTTTTATTAAAGTATTGCAATTTGTTTTTTCTTGCAGTATCTGGAAATGAGGTTTCAGTCCAGATCAGTTAGACTGGTAGGCTGTGTTTTAGGACTTCTGTTTACGGTACGTCCTTTCATCTTATAGTCTTCAGAACCCTTACATTGTCAAATACATGAGATAAAATACAAGGATACAATAGATGCATAAAAATGAAATTTTATACATATAGATGACGTACATGGCAGTTTGTCTATTCCTTCCGGGACTTGCATTGGAATCTGGTAATGTGAACTAATTGATACTGAATTCCATTAATCGAGATTGTAAGTAGAATGAAATTTATTTATTATCCACTCTCAACAAGGAAAATGAAATTAAGAAAAGGACCCGATTTGAATTCATATGGTTTAAAAAACATCCTTTAATGAAAGATGTAAACGTTGCTGTTTACTTTTTTCTTACAAAGAATGTAAGAAATTGATCATAGATTTCGAAAAAGTAAGAAAGGCAAAATCAAAATATTGAGTCGATTTAATTATTTAGATTTTCACTATTATTAACGCATAAATATGTGTGTCTTTTATTTCAAAAGGCGAAAATCGGAAAAAAAATAAATCTTGTGCCTTGTTCATTAAATCATTACTAGCCTAGAAAAATAAAAAGCAAAACTGCAATAAAAAAAATCATTTTATCCCTCTATTCTTGTTTTAGGAAGGAAATTGCTTGTATCAAACATTTTTTAATGCAACATATTTCTGTTTTCTTTTCAGTTACTGGGTTCCCTAAATGGGCTTCTATAGTTGTTGTTGCTGTCGTTGTTATAATTTACACTATGTTGGTAAGTTTCCCCCTCCCCTTCCTCAAATTATATTTTTGAACAATAGAGCTAATGCTACAAATTATTAATCATCAAAAATATATAATTTAGGCATTTAAGCATTTCTTCATTGTACAAATATTATCAATCATCAAGCAAGAAAACAAACAAAATTTCATGAATGACGTCATACCGGAAATTGTTGTAGGGAGGATTAAAAGCCGTGGTGTGGACGGACGTGTTTCAGTTCGTCGTAATGTTGGCCGGTATTTTGACACTCTTAATAAAGGTATACTGTATTTTGTAAACCTGATTTGAAAGGTACATGTATATGTTTTTATTGATAAGTGTTCGATTGTGATACAATGATTTCTGTTTGTCCGAAGGTTTGTCATCAGAGAAGCGTGGAAGAACTATGGAACACAGCCAAAGCTGAAGATAGGCTTCAATTTTTCAAGTACTTTCATTAAGAATAATTAATATGCATGAATTTGACACAGAATAGTTTTTTTCATTTTGGTATTTTATTCCCTGAAATTTTAATATTCGTTTACTCGCTCCTTCACTCTAAAGATGACGGAGCAAATGGTCCAATTTTCCGTGGTGCAGTGACAACAAGCACATATATGTAACTTACAAAAAAAAACTTTTTTAAGTTTTGATGCTGATCCGACAAATAGGCAGACGTTTTGGGCAGTGACCATAGGGACTATCACCTCATGGATAGGAAACGCTCTAAGCCAGTCCGGAATTCAAAGAATCTGCGCAACAGAATCTATAGGAGAAGCAAGAAAGTAAGTCTCATTGTCGTAAGCTGAAATCAAAACCGGAAGTTCCAGTTAGCCTTAAAATGGATAGGTCAATGTTATCGGAGTCGAGACCCCTTTTTACCTTTTTTTTTAAAATGAGAATCAAACTATTGTTTGCTTTTTTTTTTATTACAGTTAACAGCCTCGTATCATTTTTACTAACGAAGTGAGGCTACTTATAGACTCGCATATCACCCATTAATCAATTAAATTTCACGCTAATAGATCAATAAACCTTTGTATAGGGGATTTTTCCTGGTGCTTTCATAATAATGTTGTTTTATTATATACTGATCATGGTAGTATAATCTACCTCTTCATTTAAAAAATGGTTCTACCTTTTATCCAACTTCAAGCCACTATTTCATGAAACTGAGGAAAAAAAATTGATCTCATAGTTTTCCTTTCATGGTGCTTAATTTTGATTTTAAAATCACTATGTTAACAGTCTGGTAATGTTTCCATTACTAGTAATATAACAAACATATACGTACTTAAAAAGATATATGTATAAAGATTATTGTACCACTACAACATAAGTTTGTATACATATGAACAGAACATTGCAACTGTGCAAGGAAATTTCAAGAACAATGCACAAATACAATAAACTTACCCGAGTTTTAAAATGTAATTATATGCCATTGGGTGTTTTATATTGAAAATATGTATCAACAGTTGTTTTATTTTTTTAACATTTCTAGAATTTGGCACAAATTGCTTTAATTATAAGTTTCTTAATTTCAACATTACAAGTATTTATTTTATTCAAATTCTGATAGGTTTAAGTCTTTCGCTGCAAACGAAATACTTTTTAATTTTGGTTTTGTTTCAGGTCTGTATTTTTCAACCTACCTGCCGCTGTGTTATACGAGAGCCTGATGACATTTCTGGGCGTGGTTATGTTTGCTTATTTCTCTATTGCCAAATGTGATTTACTAGGTGCTGGGCTAGTTCAGAGTTCGAATGAGGTTTGATTTATTTACTGTTCATTTTGTCAAATATGATTCATTTCATTATCGATTGATAAAATTTGACGTATTAATCGGTATGTCCGTCCGTCCGTCTGTCTGTTATGCTTTGGGGTACCCATCTCTTATCCGTAACTCCTCTCATACCACTGAATGAAATGTTATGAAACTTTCACTGAATCTTTAGTACATATTGCCATTGTGCACCTCCTATTTTACTTTTTGATTCGACACATATTTTGGGTTTCCCACAAAAGAACATGGACACTGCCATTATATTCATATGGGAGGCGGGGGTATCATTTACTGAGCTCATTGCTCACAGTACCTCTAGTTTACATTGGTAACAATTAATATTGTCTTTTGTTTGTTAGGGTTATTTGGATTTTACTTTAGAAGAACAGGGATTTTTAAACCCGCAAATGGAAAACCAACTGATACCCATAGAGCTTCCTTTCGAAGAGAATATTTTTTTCAAAATCATACCCAATTTAAAATATTTTTAGTATTTCCAACAATCAAAATAAACTTGAATTACCTTCTCAATAATGGACTCCAAAACTTCAACAACAAAAAAAAATCTCACAAAGTTACATAGCGGGTTTCAGTAAATTTTCTACAAGGCATCTTTATTCAGTCGTCACTGAAAGGCATTGATTGAAAAACTTATGGACTGTACATCAATATTTACGAGCAGTGTTGTAAATTAGATGCGAATTCTAAAAACACTCCAATGAACTTTAAGAAAACTTTAACTTAATTTTTTTTAAAATCAAAAATAATATCATTAAACCTTTGACTTTTAAACACGGTGTGTAACACTTCCCTGTGATAAATGAAAGTCAATGGATTTTTTACATCATAAATAGCGGGGTTCTTTTTTTCAAAATGGGACTCGTGTATTCACCAACCTATTCCTTGTGGATTATTTACAAAAAAAGTTTGGTTATAAAACATTCTTACGCAAATGCATATTCTACGTACGAATAATTTCTAATAGAAGGCAAGGTACTGACAAACAAAGTTGAAAAATATTAAGAGTCTCGTTGTAAATCATCGGTTTGTATGGTGGCATATTTATGCCATCCACATAACTTTTTATTAACATCGCATATCATGCCAAATCAAGATAACTATCTCGTATCTCGTAACTTTCTTGTTTGTCGACAAACGCTGACTTTATATTTTGTCCAGTCAATAAAAGCAATCGTATTTTTGCGATATGGCTGTTTTATTCATGATACAAGATAAGTTATCTCGTCAAGTCAAAATAGCTATTGCAACAAATGTGATATCTTATCTTGACTGTACAAGATATAAAGTCGGTGTACGTCGACAAATCAGAAAGTTATCATGACTTGACTAGATAGTTATCTTGATTTGCTATGTTAACAAAAAAGTTATGTGGATGGCATAAATATGTCACCATAGGTTTGCAAATTCTGTGTTCAATACAAAGATCTCATCAAAAGATAATGTACGTTTTCCGTTTGTCAGATCATGACAAAGAGGGCTCGGTGTGTGAATCCGATCGGCCGGGGATTCTCACTCCTCCATGGCACCTGATCCCATCTCTGATATTTTAATACTCTTGTGTTTGCTCTGATCCTGATTTGTATTGTTTTAATAGACTTTTGAGCTTCATAACTGTTCATTTTCTGAATAAACCATGTGTTCACCCTTCATCGATTGGCTTAAAATGTTTTTGAAATCTTCAAATAAAGACAACATTACCCCGCTTTCTATGGAAGCAATCACACTAAACTGGCGTATTTCTCATTGATTTTAGCACTTTATGGTTTGCTTTGTTGTAAAACGCTTCCTGTTAATTACTGAAACAGTCAGAAATGATTTAAAATATCTACATATATATGGATTCCAACCCAGATACAACGAAGTCGTCCTTTTCAACCTGTCATTTAAAAGCGTATGAACTTAATAACCTCGGTGTTAATTTAATGCCCTCTGTAGATTTTTATGAAAATGAAATGGATCTTACTTTTTCGTTTCTAACTGTTTTACAAATGTATACCTTTGGTCCGACAAAGAAGATATATATTACTTGAAAAGTTAACAGTGCTAACTGTTTAAAGGAAGTGCACGTATTTGATATCTTTAAAAAGTCAAAACATAAACTTTTATTGTGACCCTCCGTCTTAATTTCTGTTATACATAGTATTATAAATGCATGTTCATAAAAACATTGTTAATAATATAGTGTGGGTAGGATTCTTAGATCACAAACATCAATAAAAAAAATACCATTAATATTAAGTCATAAAACACAAGTATTGTTCTGAGCATTGCAATGATGTAAAAACTTTTGAAAATTCCCTTTAACGGGTTCATTTATCAAACAAATATAAAAAATCAACAATTGTTTCCATTATCGATGTCGATTTTCATCTTTATTGTCTTATGTGTAACGTTGACCTAGACATAAATTAGTGATACTTTCGGTTAAGTAACACTTCTACATGTAGCTTACTTCAAAGAGATTCCTTAATAATTTGATCTAATGTTTCATTGCTTTTAAAAAGATTGTTTTTAAAGATCGAAACTTATTTCAATGTTATGTTGTTTATCATTTATTTGTATTTGATGTTAAAGCAATATGAGCTGCAACTTTGATGTCGGAAATTTTTGTTGCAATATTAAAATAATCTTTTTCAATGACAGAAAAACATTTTCAAGTCCTGTTGTTCATATTTACGATGAAAGAACTATCTTAAAGCTTTAATTGAAGCAAAATCACATTATTATCGTCCAATACAATATTGAGTTTTTATATAATAATACCATACATTCCATTGTACAGAAATATTTCTTCTGAATGAATAACAATTCAGTTAAGTCCACTTGATCAAAAGGATTAAATTATATACAGATTTATCATAATAGCACATTTTAACAGCAAAACAAAATTCTAAAAAATGCGGCTAATATTGCTTTAACCTTGTATTCCTATTACAAGGAGCACACGGCGGTTGTGACCGGTCGGCATGGGATGCTCATATATCCATGGCACCTGATCCCACCTCTGATGTTTTAGAGTCCCATGTTTACTCTGCTCCTATTTTGCATTGTTTAATGGACTTTTGAGCTTATATACTGTTCGTTATCTCCATTAAAATTTATTACAAAACCGTTGATTTCTCTCTCAGATTGTGCCGTATTTCATGATGGACCAGTTGGCTGAGATTCCGGGATTGGCGGGTCTCTTTCTTGCTAGTTTTTTCAGTGCTACTTTAAGGTAAGATGGTACATGTACATGTAATATCTGTAGCTTCTTGGCTAGCGGAGATAATGTACGAGGGATTATCAAAGAGTTCGTGGACTGAGGCTATAAAATTAGTACTGTGTAGTCTGTGCTTTCAAAATTTATGAGGAACATAAAACAACAAAACATAAAGAAATGTTGAAAATTTGAGCTTGATACGTTGATTATTTGCCAAATTATTACAGAACAAGAGGCCCATGGGCCACATCGCTCACCTGAGCACTAAGGGTAGGAAAAAGCAGAAAATGGCGTTTTATTGTAAAGTTTAAATCCAAAAGTAGTCCCATGACCAATCATGGATTTGCTATTTTTAAGAAAATGATTTTCCTATATATATCTTTAAAAACTTTGGTCGGCCATTTTGGCCCCACCCTACCCCCGGGGGTCATGATTTGAAAAAAATTGAATCTACACTACTCGAGCATGCTTCCATATAAATATGATGAATTATTCTTGAGAAGAAGATTTTTAAAGAATTTTCCTATATATTTCTATGTAAAACTTTGGTCGGCCATTTTGGCCCCGCTCTACCCCCGGGGGTCATGATTTGAACAAACTTGAATCTACACTACCTGAGCATGCTTCCATATAAATATGATGAATTATGGCTTTGTCATTCTTGAGAAGATGATTTTTAAAGAATTTTCCTATATATTTCTATGTAAAACTTTGGTCGGCCATTTTGGCCCCGCCCTACCCCCGGGGGTCATGATTTGAACAAATTTGAATCTACACTACCTGAGGATGTTTCCCCATAAGTTTCATATTTCCTGGCACAGTGGTTCTTGAGAAGAAGATTTTTTAAATATGCCATCAAATTTTCATTAATTCCCAATTATCTCCCCTTGAATGAGGTCGTGGCCCTTCATTTGAACAAACCTGAATCCCCTTCACCCAAGGGTACTTTGTGGCAAGTTTGGTTGAAATTGGTCCAGCGGTTCTTGAGAAGAAGTCGAAAATGTAAAAAGTTTACAGATAGACGGACAGACGGACGGACAGACGGACGGACAGACGGACGCCGGACAAAATGTGATCAGAAAAGCTCACTTGAGCTTTCAGCTCAGGTGAGCTAATAAAAACGACATAATATGATCACCTGGCACCGTCGCCATCTAGTTTCATGACGTCCGACAACGTCACTGTTTTTAATGAATGCTTCTTCTACCTCATACACTTATTTTGATGACATTTCCAGGAGCTGAGTAAGGACTTAAACCCAACTTGTTTATATAACTTCACAATGCCATGAACAGCGGCTTTTAATGCATATAATATTCCAAATGGATTTATACATTGGGAGAGATCCTCGCCTGATTGTGCCAACATATTTTGCTTTCTGGAGTTTAATATCTACAACTCATGATCAACATCATATTTTGAGGTGATTGATTTTTCACACCGTGACTACCAATCGACATAAACTGTGCATCTCTTTTCTCTCTGAATCTCTTTTGGCATTAAAAACAAGTACTCTGAATTTTATTTCTCCGTAGCCAGTTTAAACATTTCCTAGGTCTATACCAGTTTTTTCCAGGGCAAAACTTTATAGAATGTTGGAAAAGGAAACCCATCCCCCCTTTTGACGTCATTTTCCAGGCCTTTTTTGTATGGACACATGTAAAATTTACGATAAGACTTAATAGAACTTCCGGAATAAGGTAAAAATTCCATATTTTATGGAACAATAGTGTCCCAACCTGGATTAACGGGATTTTGGATGTTAAATGTTCATATCAAAAGAGTTTTTCTAAGTTACACTTAGGTCGAAAAAACGTCGTGTTCGAGTTTGCGCCGCCTGGACATACCATTGCTTACAAAAACATAACTAAGTTATTAAAAAATGAAACTTAAGATTTGTGGTTTTTCTATAGAAAGAAAAGATGATGCTAACTAGAGTTTAGAATTCATTGATATACCTGCAGCGATTTTAATTTTATGACACCAGTCCACGAACTTTTTGATACCCCCTAGTAATGTCAATTTTGATTGATTGTTGTTTATATCTCATGATTGTTTGTGTCAACGCCTGCCGTGACACGGTATCTCGGTTTTTAAGGTCTCATCCGAGGGACCCTGTCAAGTTTGATTTACTATATCAACTGACAACACTGGAATACTGTATTAAGATCTGTTTTCTTTTCGAAAACTACAAGGAAATATGTTTTATCTTATATTGAGAACTGGAAAATATTGTTATTTTTAGCTCAACTGAGTCGAAGGCTCAAGTGAGCTTTTCTGATCACATTTTGTCCGGCGTTTCGTCTGTCCGTCCGTCTGTCTGTAAACTTTTCACATTTTCGACTTTTTCTCAAGAACCGCTGGGCCAATTTCAACCAAACTTGCCACAAAGTATCCTTGGGTTAAGGGGATTCAAGTTTATTCAAATGAAGGGCCACGCCCTCATTCAAGGGGAGATAATTGGGAATTAATGAAAATTTGGTAGCATGTTTTAAAAATCTTCTTATCAAGCACCACTGTGCCAGGAAAGATGAAACTTATGGGGAAACATCCTCAGGTAGTGTAGATTCAAATTTGTTCAAATCATGACCCCCGGGGGTAGGGCGGGGCCAAAATGGCCGACCAAAGTTTTACATAGAAATATATAGGAAATTTCTTTAAAAATCTTCTCCTCAAGAGCAACAAAGCCATAATTGATCATATTTATATGGAAGCATCCTCAGGTAGTGTAGATTCAAGTTTTTTTCAAATCATGACCCCCAGGGGTAGGGCGGGGCCAAAATGGCCGACCAAAGTTTTACATAGAAATATATAGGAAAATCCTTTAAAAATCTTCTTCTCAAGAATAGCAAAGCCATAATTGATCATATTTATATGGAAGCATCCTCAGGTAGTGTAGATTCAAGTTTGTTCAAATCATGACCCCCAGGGGTAGGGCGGGGCCAAAATGGCCGACCAAAGTTTTACATAGAAATGTATAAGAAAATTCTTTAAAAATCTTCTTCTCAAGAATAGCAAAGCCATGATTTGTCATGGGACTACTTTTGGATTTAAGCTTTTCGAGTATAAACCAATTCTGCTTTTTCCTAGCCACAGTGCTCAGGTGAGCGATGTGGCCCATGGGCCTCTTGTTCTTAAAAGGAATACATGTACATGTATAACCTTGGAGCACATGTAGACATGTGTTCACTTATAAAATAGATCCTCATTTAATTTACGAAAACATAGACGAAAAATGGGTCTTTTTTCATTGTATATTATATGACAAGATATTTTACTATTAGCTCGCTTTGAATGACCGAATTATCACTTACTGTATAGTTACCAATGGCACTTGACGTTACTTATTTTTCGTATATAAAAATACCCCCATACCTAATAACACACGTGTATTGTATTAGGTGTGTGGTTATTTTTTTTAAGAAAAATAAGTAACGTCACGTGCCTGTGAAAGATAGGCCTTTTAAAACACGCTTTCTGGGAGTATTTGAATTAGATTCTATACTAGTTCCATACCAGCAAGTGAAATATGGTTCCCATTTAAATCTGAGAACGCCATAGTTCCGTCAAAAAATACTGAAGCGGAGCAAAATACAATCGTATTCTATAACTCAGAGGGATATACCAGAAAATCAGCTAAATATCTGCAAGATTTGGAAATAAAGCAAACGCAGAAAATTAAAATGAATAGGAATACGTCAAAAATCTCAGTAATGCAAAGTTGATCTGTAACTTATCAAGATACACTTATTACGGAAGCGTATTAGTGCCACTTGGACACTTCACTTTTTTTAATGTGTAAAATTTACACTTTAATGTGTAAATTTTACACTTTAATCTGTAAAATTTACACTTTAATGTGTAAATTTTACACTTTAATCTGTAAATTTTACACTTTAAAGTGTAAATTTTACACTTTAAGTGTAAATTTTACACTTTAAAGCGTAAATTTTACACATTAATCTGTAAAATTTACACTTTAATCTGTAAATTTTACAAAAAAATTTACACTCTATTTGTTTATTCACATAGTCAATTTAGCATCTTCACACATCCTGAGTAACACATTTTTAAGCCAACAGACCATGTTTCGTGCATGATAAAATTTAATTCTGATGTTTTATATTAAAGTAAAACTTTTCTTTGAATATAAAGTGAAGAGCATATCAAACATACATGCACATATTCCCGATCACAGCTGCTTGAGGACCCCTCCCCCCAATATAGATTCCAGGGCCTGTTAGACTTATTTCAAATAAATAATATATGGATGACACAATTGTGATATAATCTATAAATCCTATCAATTCAAAAAATTTGCTTAAACTAACATTTTATTGGCTTACAAATGTGTTACTGAGGATGTGTGAAGATGCTAAATTGACTATGTGAAAAAACAAATAATGTGTATATTTTACAGATTAAAGTGTAAAATTCACAGATTAAAGCGTATAATTTACAGATTAAAGTGTAAATTTTACAGATTAATGTGTAAAATTTACAGATTAAAGTGTAAATTTTACAGATTAAAGTATAAAATTTACAGATTAAAGTGTAAAATTTACCGATTAAAGTGTAAAATTTACACTTTAAAGTGTAAATTTTGCAGATTAATGTGTAAAATTTACAGATTAAAGTGTAAAATTTACAGATTAAAGTGTAAAATTTACAGATTAAAGTGTAAAATTCACCGATTAAAGTGTAAAATTTACACTTTAAAGTGAAAATTTTACAGATTAATGTGTAAAATTTACAGATTAAAGTGTAAAATTTACAGATTAAAGTGTAAATTTTACAGATTAAAGTGTAAAATTTACAGATTAAAGTGTAAATTTTACAGATTAATGTGTAAAATTTACTGATTAAAGTATAAAATTTACAGATTAAAGTGTAAATTTTACAGATTAAAGTGTAAAATTTACAGATTAAAGTGTAAAATTTACACTTTAAAGTGTAAAATTTCCACTTTAAAGTGTAAATTTTACAGATTAATGTGTAAAATTTACACTTTAAAGTGTAAAATTTACAGATGAAAGTGTAAAATTTACAGATTAAAGTGTCAAAAAAAAAGTAAAGTGTGCAAGTGGCACTAATACGCTTCCGTACTCGTATATTTAAATAAGCTTAATATCTGCAAACTCGTAGAAAAAGGTGAAAAACCAAATGAAACAGACGGACAGATAGAAGATAGAAGATGAGGAAAGGAACTAGTGTATTCCTATTTTTTATTCGGTAATAAAAGTATATACATGTCAATAATTAAAAGATTATTATAATTATATGTTTTAATATATATTTTTCTAATAAAGAAAAACATACCGGTTTCTCTGAGAGATGTCTTTACGATATAAAGAACATAAACGTTATAAAAGACATTTATTATTTAGAACAACAAAAGATAATCATTTTGAGCGAGTCTCCTTTGGTTTAAGTCAGACCTAAGGGGTTGGGTTTGATTTCATCTAGAAATGAAAGATTTTTGGACAAACAAAACAATTCATTGCAATTATTAACTGCCTCAATATACTACAAATTTACATTTGCTTGCAGCAAGTAGACATACTTGTAATTATGTACTAGCTAGTATTCTTCTTTGGGTGATTGTTTTAGCTTATTCGAACTACTTCAAAAAATTCTTTATTTTGCTTTGCAGTTATTATTGGATATGTTTTCCCTGACTTCCCAAATTTAAATATTCCTATCTCATCTATAAAAACAATGAAAGAGATCACCAAGTATGTATTTAAAGAGATACCATCAATTCTAGACAGTTCGATAACAATTAAGTTGTACGAGTGAAATGTGTAAGCAAACGAATTGTTCAATTGCTGCAGGTTTCCCAGAATATATCGACAGTAATACTTGTTTTTCTGTGATATTGATGTTCTATTTACACGGTTTTAATTTTAATACTGGTTGCGTGAAAATGACAGAAAGGGACAGATTAGCAAAAACAACTTATATCCTTCGTAAGAAACAAAGACATCTCTTTCTTTCAAATTAAAAATTATATATCTATATAATTTTAATATATGCACTTTACAGAAGAAAAAAAATATTTCGCTAAAGATATGTCCATGAGTTCGTTAATGCACCATCCGTGTTAGGTTGATACTACATGTAAATTTGTTAGGTTTATCACAATGATTCTGTCACCCATATGATAAAAATGACAAAGTCCATGTTTTGCTCTGAGAGACCCGAAATAAGTGCCCGATCAAAAAAGTGAAATGAAATTCATTAAGTGGTATGAGAGGAGTTGCAGATGAAATGGGTACCCCAAAGCGTAACAGACGGACGGACGAAATGACGTACAGAAGGTCGGACATTCCAATCAACCTCTCACTTTTTAAGCGGGGATATTATGAGAGAAAACATCATCAAATTATGTTATTTTTTGGTTGTCTTTTATTTCCTTTTTTCTCAAGAAATAAGTGATTCAGTAAAAAAGATCAGACATGATGTACATACTTGGAGAATGATACTTTTCTCTCAGGGATTGTCTGTGCTACGGATTATTTGTCGATTTTTCACGTTCACCAACCAACTGCAATTATCAGCAATCTACGGAATTGAAACTTCTATTGCCTTCAGTAATTTACTGCAACATTAAAGTAGAAAATAAACATCTGGAGCATTTAAATTTGATCTTTGGCTGTGATTACGTGGTATTCTGCAATTACAAGAACGACTTTATTGACAATTGCTTTTATTATACCTCTACAGATTTTTCACTATATAAAAGTAAATCGATATATTTTGCTGATTTCCTGAAAATCACCGTGAATAAACCTACAAATTCCCTACAAAACAGACTGATTCCCTGCAAAAAAAAGCTCGTTCATGAACTGATACACACCTATTCGGAACACTTAGCATTTTCTTTAAACTTACGACAAACTTAGAAATGTTCCGAATAAACTCATGAATATTCATTAATGAATCGAAATGCATCGCGAGTCAACTGGTCCCATATCAATCAAAAAGAACCAGTTTACTGGTAGCAAACGACAACAGAAATGGCGAGTGAATATAACTTTTTCAAATGTCTTGTTTGTACCGGTATAATAAAACAGTTAAAGTATATCATTGAGGCGCAAGCGCCTCGGGAAATAGACTTGCTCTTGGGGAACTGGAATCTTGCTGACTCCCTCAATGATATACTTTAACTGTATACTGTTTGACCTTGAAGTAAAGACAGACTTTAAAATTAATGTTTTATACCCCCCCCCCCCACGTGAAAGGTGGGAGGGTATAATAGTGATCTGGTAATTCGGGATGTCCGTCCGTCCGTCTAGTTGTACGTAGGTCCGTCTGTTAAGCTTTGGGGTACCTAACTCTTATCCGCAACTTCTCTTATACAACTGAATGTAATTAAATGAAACTTTGAAAAATTCTTTGTTACACAGTACCATTGTGACCTCCTGTTTTATTTTTTGATCGGACACTTATTTAGGGTTTCCCACAGCAAAACATTGACACTGCCATCCTTTCTATAATATTGAAGGGTACCCATCTCTTATCTGCAACTCGTTCTATACCACTGAATAAAATTAAATGATACTTTCATAGATTCTTTATTATATTATTCCATTATGCACCTAGCTTCTATTTTCCTTTTTGATCTGACACTTATTTTGGGTCTCCCGGCCAGAGCAAACTTTGGACTTTCCCATTTTAGTCATATGGAAGGATGGGGTATCATTTAGTGAGCTCAGTGCTCACAATACCTCTAGTTTTTTCTTAAATTAACAATCAAACATAAATTAACAATCAAACATTTTAATTTACTTACTTTAAAAAACAAGATGTGTTAGTGAAACACTATGCACCCGGCGGCAACAAAGTTCAAATTAAAGAACGATTTGTAGCAGATAAGTCAAAGTCAAGGTTACAAGGTCATTGACCTTGATGTCATTTGAAAGAACTTCATTATTGGAGTATGCACACCGAATATGAAGTATCTATCTCTCATGGTTTTAAACTGATTGCAAAAGTTCGTAAAATCTATTTTTAGCACATAGGTCACAGTCAAAGTCAAAAAGTCATGACCTTGGGGTCATTTGTAAGCGCTTCATTAGTGAAGTATGCATACCAAATATGAAGTCCCTATCTCTCATGGTTCAAAAGTTTTGGCGAAAGTTCGAAAAAGCTTTTTTAAGCAGGTAGGTCACATTCAAGGTCACAAGGTCATTGACCTTGGTGTCATTTAAAAGAACTTCATTGGTGGAGTATACATACTAAATATAAAGTCTCTATCTCTCATGGTTCAAAAGTTATGGAGAAGGTTAAAGTTGACAACAGACAGACAGACAAACAGATAAACAGACAAACAGACAGGACAAAAACAATATACGCCTCGGATCTATCGACCCAGGCGCATAAAAAATAATTTTATGCTTATGACAATACGAAGAAAATGTGATGCAGTGAAAAGAAAGAACAATAATTTACATTACCCCATATTATCCTCTAATTTTCCCTCTTCATAATTGTTTATTTTATGAATCTTTAATGTGAATTTAACGCCCTTCAGAACTGATATAATTTTTCAAGCATTACAATATAAAAATATTTTTTTAAAAATGACGCTTATTTAAGGACAGATGATACAAACAAACTTTTGTCAAAAATTATGAAAATAATAACTTAGGTCATGTTTTAATGAATTAAATGAATAAGTTTCACGTAGTTTTCAATTTTTTATTCAAAGTTGAACAAAAGTGAAATTTAAAGTGAAAAATATTTGTAAAGAATAATAAGGATGGTTTCATAAGGGTAGAATTTTGAACATCACAAATGTTTACAATTTCATTATATTCTAGAAATTTATTATTTGCATTATTTGCAATGAAATGAGGTCAAAAAATATATACCAATCCAGGCATCCATTTTTTTTTTGTTTGTATCATCTGTCCTTAAGGGAAAAATTAATTGAAGGATTTTTTTACACTTCAGTACAATGTCCTCTGGACTAAATGCCATCTCTGCCCTGGTCTGGGAGGACATTATACAGCCCTACTTCCAATGCTTCTCTCTGAGACAAGGGTCTATTGTCACCAGGAGTACAGGTTAGTATTGTCACCAAGAGTACAGGTGAGTATGGCTTGTTGATCCGTAAATTACAAACTGTTATTAACCAAAATAAAGTTTTTTTTTCTTCTTAGAAAATAAATAAATATAGTTAGAATATATCAATTTTCCTTGTCTCCGAATGATTTCGTTTGTTTCTGTAACATGTAACAGTTTCCCAGAATAAGATATGGTCTGATACTTTCTGTTATTTTGATAGAGCAAAGCACTTGGTAAAAAAAAATATAACTGATTCGAGGTTACATATAAATCTTAACCATGTTTTCTCATCTGATAGAAAAAAAGGGAGATAAGTTTATTTGAAATACGAGTGAAGAAAAGAAGAGTGATCAACCTCACAAAACCTGTAAACAAAACGAATAGAGACATGGACGAACCAACAGATCCCTGGAAACACAACAGTTAGGAATAGGTACCGAGTTCCTAGGAGTAGTAGGCATTTCCTATTCACCGTAAAACCAGCCGTGGGTTGATTTAAAAAATACAACTGGCTTTTAATCTGTAAACGTGACGGAGACAGTCGAGAGTCTGGTTGGACAAGACAATAAAACACTGTATACAGTTATAATAACCCTGGTTGCAATTATGGTTGGGTAGCATTTTGACTGGAATGTACTAATTATATGTATTAGCCCATAGTTTGCTTATTAATTTTGACTTCAAATTGCCCCGTTTACGTAATTTGAATAGACAGCTCATGGCGAGCGTCACTGGTAAACTTGGGGATGTTTTCTTCTCCTATAGGCATTTCATCCCAACGATGGTGTTTCCAGTAATCTGTCTTTGTCCTGTTAATTCATGTTATTTACAGGATCTGTGAGATTGAGCACTGTTCACCATTTAATGTGTTATCACAAAAATATATAGAAACCAAAATAAAGCAATTCATGATTTTAAGTTCATAACTGATGTGATATTTATTTTATTTCCAAACTGAAGTTCCTGTTTTTGGTATTATAATCGTTGGGATGTCATTCCTGACAATGAATTTACCTGGAACAATAACACAGGTAAACTTTAATGGACTGCAGTATATAATCAGAAATATTAAAGATCTATTTGACCAGCTTGTTTACTGATCTCAATCTTCACTTTTTAATCATCAGTACGTATATGATACTAGTACATAGTACTTAAATTCAACTCTTGATCATTTTTTTTTTCGGAAAGCTGCATATTTTTGTTTTCGGCAATTTGTTCATCTCTAAAATTTTAATAAAAATAAAAAATTATCCAATTTTGATTTTTCTATCATTATCGTAAAGGATTAATTTAAACATATAATAATAGTATGTTTTTAATCATTGAAAACTCTGTGATACGCATTTGTAATTATTTTGGTGGTAGATTACTTTAGGGACCCTATCTGCAACATCGGGACCTCTCGTGGGAGTCTATCTATTAGGAATGATTTTCCCATGGGCCACAGCTAAGGTAGCATCAGACAGCTATGCTTACTTGGTTCTCTCTCTCTCTCTCTCTTTTCTTTAACATATAATTTTTTCAGACAAAATAATGCAAAGTATTTACAATTCTTATTTATTATTTTGATAAAGTCGGATTTTATCAATAAATATTATTTTATTCTTTAAAAATTAAAGTATATTTTAACTTTTCCTTTAGCTAATATGTTGTAGCATGTGTCTGTATGTTTTAACAGTCTGCCGTTGTGTCTGGGGTTCTTGCCTTTTCTCTATGTCTGTCTATGACCATTGGATCGAACCTATATCCCACCAAGTATCCTCAACTCGACCCTATCCCTACATACGGCTGTCCTGGATTCAACTCCACACTAAATCCCCAATATAATGTCTTAAACCATTCCGTCAATACCACGATTAGTGAACAGTATGATAAAAGACCGAATGACGACAAATTTGAACCTTTTGATGCATTAAACCATACTTTGATTCCTACCACTGGACAAAGCGAAGATGACAGGCATGTATAGTACGGTCAATTAATTCTGGGATGTCAAAAATCAATTTTATTAACATTTTATGATTACTGTTAATTGAAAAGATTTGTACCTGTCATTTCAATCATCTACGGGAATTGAGTGCATAAAAATATTTTTCGTATTTATGTTAACATTATGATTCCCACTGAGTCCTGAATAGCCAAACAACTATTACATTTTGTAAATAATTCTCTTTGAAGCACACCTTGGCTTTTCCGAGTCTCGTTTCTATGGTACCACGTGATCGGTGTCGTCACTACTGTCGTTAGTGGAGTCATTCTTTCTGTTGTATCAGGTTTGCAAAGTTCATCATAAAATTAAATAAATATTTTTACTTCCAGACAAAGGTCAATGATAACATTTTCATGTCGACAAACTATGGACATTTAAATCTTCATAAAGATAGAATTTCTCTTTTTTCCTTGGAAAATAAAATGTATGCACCAAGCGAGAAAAACAGTATTCAAGACCAAACCCTCAAAACTTTGGTTTTTATGCATCTGGTATTTTATATTCCCTGACTATACCCATTCAAAAGCAATAACTTTCTTATACATGTACATAGAAATATTTTCGATACAAGCAAGTCCAATGAATTTGGTTGTTAACATTCTGTCAGTGGAAACATGTCGAACACACTATTAAAGTCAATACTGTTCTTGGGTCCAGTGACAACGGATTTTATTTATTTGAGAAGATTTATGTTGTCGACTGGTAACAGGCATGAGAATTTAACTGGAACTATGGATAATTTATGCTTTAATCTGTACATAGCATTCTTTGTGTTTATGAATTTTGCATGTCAAAGTTATAATCAGTTCATTACGTTTAGTAGAGCGCTCGCTCCATGATCTGGGGGTCTTGAACAAATTCGAACCCAGTCGATAAAAACTAGGCAACCGAGTAAAGGTCAAAATTTGAATCCTGTCATCAGTAGACTAGTCTTTATATGAGTAAAATATAATGGAATTGGATACAAACAACAATCAATCATTACGCTTACGATAGACAGACACATTCACTTTGTCTGTCTGTCTGTCATATGTAAAAAATATGCCTAGAACAAATGTAGAACTTTCTATGATAATCACACGAAATCGCTATAGATACGAAAAGTGAAAATTAAAATTGGACAGAGAGGAACATACATTTTTAATAAGCTATGATTAATAATGCTGAAAGTGAAAATAAGTTTATATTTCATATTTTAGAACTTTATTTTTTACCAAATTAACAATTTCTGTCCCTTTGCATAAAATGGAGAAAAATTCTAAATTTAATAGATGACAACTTGATAATTCATTTGCTCCGTCCCATTAGGTGGACTTTCGGACATACCATGTGAGGAGAGGTTTGTCTTCCTTTTCGTCAGAAGACTAACTTGTTACCGGAAGCGATTGAAAATCAAGCAGCCATTGGCCCATTATGCAGAATTCAGGGCTTCCTTTCGGTCAAAATACGACGAAGAAAATCGTGCATCTTTCCGGTCCACAGGAAAACCCATTGAAAATCGCGTGCAGACCAGAGCAGGACGAGTTTAATGGTTTGGGGAAGTAAAAGAAAAAAAAAATACTCACCATTTGTAGAATGCACTGTATCTTTTATCAGAAAAACTGTTGAACAGAAATAGAAAAAAGTGTCATTTTAAAAAGAGAATAAAATTATTAATGAATTAAAATAACATTTTCACTTTCTTTCTATTTTTCATAAATAAATTCATACTCACCAGCAAATATAATCCCCAGAAGCATGATTTCATTTTTCAGTAAAAACTGTCTTTCGCCTGGTGCTCAGCAATGAACTGATCAGCTGAGACTGTGACAGATAACTGGTTGTTAGATCGACATTGATCATTCGGACACCTTGATGCGTCCATGTATTTTCCGATACAAAAGCAAAAGTAAACATTATCGGTAAATGGAACTGAAAAGTGCTATTTTATTTTGATTAACAGCGTTCAAAATTTAAACCGTTTGATTACTCAGTAAGGTCGTCCACATCCCGTCTGTGATTCGGACTTAATATTTACATCTCTTTTTTTTATTTCAAAAATTTATTTTCTTTAAAGATAATAGAAATAAATGTAATAATTACTTCATTCATACACTTTTTTGATATTTTTACTCTTTAACGTTAAAACAATGACTGTATTTTGTCAATGAGATATTATCTTGGGTAAGTAAAAGTGCATATAATCTGACACCTTCAGGAAACTTGATGTATATCAGTACGTATATATTTGACTTGTAAATTAATTAATGTCCCCCACTAATGATTTGAGGTGGAGGAACACGAAGGTCGAAGCATTTTTCCACGCGTGGAGCATCCCTCTTTAGGGAGAGTGCTAAAATAGGCTTTGCCTGCTGCCCGATCCCATTCACTTTATTTTTTAATAAAATTTTGTATAATTGATTAAAAAAAAAAAGAAAATCCCTTTTACAGGAAAAAAATCTTATCTTTGAACACATACTTATAAACTGATACGTGCAAAATTAATTCGAGGAAATTTGATATACTATAAAAAGTCGTTCCCCGAATATGTTCGCTCTTTCTTTCATGTATTAATTGGATAATTACTTAAGTTTGAATAACGAACAACCTTGTATGTGATACTTGAAAGGATTCTAAGTAAGGCTTGTAATTAATAAACACTTTGATTCAATCAAACAAGGAATTCTGCTATGCCCACCGGGAGTATTCTTTTTTATGCGCCCGGATCGATAGATCCAGGGCGTATATTGTTTTTGTCCTGTCTGTTTATCTGTTTGTCATATCTTTTGAACCATGAGAGATAGAGAATTCATATTTGGAATGCATACCTATATGCTAAAAATAGCTTTTTCGACTTTTCGATGTAACTTTTGAACCATAGCAGATAGAAACTTCATTTTTGGTATGAATATTCCACTAATAAAGTTTTTTTTTCAAGTGACACCAAGGTCAATAACCTTATGACCTTGATTGTGACCTACATGTATATGGTAAAAATAGCTTTTTCAAACTTTCGCCGTAACTTTTGAACCATAGCATATAGAGACTTCATATTTGGTATGAATACGGATTATCCACTAATTAAGTTCTTTCAAATGGCATCTAGGTCAATGACCTTGTGTCCTTGAGTGTGACCTATATGTTAAAAATAGCTTTTTCGATTTTTCGCCATAACTTTTGAAACATAGGAGATATGGACTTCATATTTGGTATGCATACTCCACTATTCAAGTTCTTTCAAATGACATCAAGGTCAATGACCTTTTGACCTTGACTTTTACCTATATGCTAAAATAGCTATTTCAAACTTTGTTGCCGCCGGGCGCATAGTGTTTCACAAACACATCTTGTTTAAAATGTTTATTCTCAATATTTGAGGCAACACTTCGTATAGATACCTTACCTGTTGTGCCAGGAGCTCCATGAATTGGTAATTTATTGTCCGCGAAAGCGAGGAGACATTAAATTTCATTCGTCTGTCCGTCCGTCACAAAAACTTTCCGTTTAACTTTTGATTTAGTGCAGTTATGACTTTCATATTTCGCATGTGTATTCCTTGTGACAAAACCTTTCTTTGGGTACCACCAAATTTGACCTTTTGACCTTGATCTTGGAGGTTTACCCACTTTTACACAAAAATTCAAAACTTTTACTTTGGCCATAACTTTGAATGGTAGGTACTAGGACTTTCATATTTCACATATGTATTTTTGTTGCAAGGCCTTTCATTGGATACCAACAACTTTGACTTTTACATACTTATGAAAAACTTTAAACTTGACCATAACTTTTGAATTGTAATGGCTAGCTAGGGCTTTTATACTTCACATATGTAATCCTTGTGAGAAGACCTTTCATTGGATACCAAGAACTTTAGCCCTTTGACCTTGACCTTGGAGTTTTAACTACTTTTTAAAAACTTTAACCTTGGTGACAACTTTTGAACGGTAAATACTAGGAATTTCATATTTCACAAATGTATTCTTTGTGGCAAGACCTTTCATTGGATACCAACAACTTTGAGCTTTTGACCTTGCCCTTGGAGATTTACGTACTTATAAAAAACTTTAATCTTGACCATAACTTTTGAAAGGTAAGGGCTAGGGCTTTCGTACTTCACACATGTAATCCTTGTGAAAAGACCTTTCACGGGATACCATTAACTTTGACCCTTTGACCTTAAGAGTTTAAACTACTTTTTAAAAACTTTGACCTTGACCACAACTCTTTAACCCTTTGACCTTGACCTTGGAGTTTTAACTACTTTTTAAAAACTTTAACCTTGGTGACAACTTTTGAACGGTAAATACTAGGACTTTCATATTTCACAAGTGTATTTTTTGTGGCAAGACCTTTCATTGGATACCAACAACTTTGACCATTTGACCTTGCCCTAATTGGAGATTTACGTACTTATGAAAAAACTTTAATCTTGACCATAACTTTTGAACGGTAAGGGCTAGGGCTTTCGTACTTCACACATGTAATCCTTGTGAAAAGACCTTTCACAAGATACCAAGAACTTTGACCCTTTGACCTTAGAGTTTTAACTACTTTTTAAAAACTTTGACCTTGACCACAACTTTTGAATGGTAGATACTAGGACTTTCATATTTCACATATGTATTCTTTGTAGCAAGTCCTTTCATTGGATACCAACAACTTTGACCTTTGACCTTGACCTTGGAGATTTACATGCTTATGAAAAACTTTTAACCTTGACCATAACTTTTAAATGGTAAGACTAGGGCTTTTATTATTTACACATGTAATCCTTGTGAGAAGATCTTTCATTGGATACCAAGAAATAAATTTAACCCTTTGACCTTGACTTTGGAGTTAACCTACTTTTAAAAAACTTTAACCTTGGCCATAACTTAACCTTTGAACATTTAGGGTTAGCGTTTTCATCCTTCACATATATTTATTACTTGTGCCAAGACCTTTCTTAAGAAACCAACAAATCAGACCCTTTCACCTTGGAGTTTGACCTAAAATTTATCCTCGACTATAACTTTTGAACAGGTGGTGCTAGGGATTTTGTATTTCACAATCGTATTTCTTGTGAGAAAAACCCTACTTTGGGTAATAATATATTTAATTTGCATTTAAGAAAAGTTTACTCTTCCTTATGTTGCCATACTGCATGGGTCATCAGTGTTTCACAAACACATCTTGTTCCTTATATTGAGAAGAGATAGGGCTTTCATATTTTAAATGTGCATTACCTGTGACAAGATAATTCCGAGCATGCTATGATTTCTTACCCCCTTGACCTTCATGATTGACCTTATCTTAAAAAAATCAACTTCAATGATAATTTCTAAATAAATGACATATGATAGGGTGTTCATATTAGACACAATAAATTATGTCATAAAAAATAACATCTCACCCACAAAGACACCGAAAGCGGGGGACCACAATTCTTTGAATTTGCTTGTTTTATTTATAAATCATTGAATATTTCCATACTATAATATACTTGAAAAAAAAAATAAACATCATTGTTAACATTTCGATTATGAATAATGCAAATATTACGGACATATATCTTTATATATTATTACCCGTTGTATATGAAGCATACTTTATTCAAAAAATTTTACATGAGAAGAAAATGCTTGCTGTTCGTTATGCGTTTGCTGTGGCCTTCAACTGCATTTAGATATATCGACGAAAAAAACACTTATGTCTGATATATCCTGGCCTTATACTGGTATTTATATACCTATTTCAGTTGTATCATTTGTTTTACCTATAATTATGAAAATTTCTTAGTTTTCATAATTAACAATGGTAAAAAATAATATATACTTTAATAGCACTTTACTTAAATGTCCATACAGATATATCCTGGTGATTTACGGAGGGGAGTTTCGTTGTCGCGTAAACAAACAGGTGGGACAGTTATGGTGTATTTATATATTGGATATATTCAGATTACTGTATCATTTGTTTTACCTATAATTTTTTTAAAGTGAAAATTTCTTAAGTTTTGCAATAGCATGAACATTGCATGTTGGCAATCTAAATGACACATCGATTATTTTCCTTATTATATGAAAAAAAAATTTTAGAAAATGTTTGTACAATTAAGATATATACTTTATTTCGTTTTCATAGCACTTTACAATTAAATTTCATGAAATGCATCACTGCTTAACATTATTATCTTTCTATAACTTAAAATAATTTTTAAAAGTCATAAACATTCATTTATTTATGCAGTTTATGTCTTTAATGAAATGTATTTTTTGCGCCTCTATCGAAGAGTTTCTCGAAACTTGCGTAGATTTAACAATATCATGTTTTTAGTTATTCTACATTTCTTTCTCATTTCTTAACCAATAAAGTTATAAAAAGTCTAATTTTTGTTTTAATTCTAGATTTCATTGTCCATCCTGTTACACTGTTTTGTCCATGCTGTTACTGTTTTGTCCTTCCTGTTACCCGGGTCCTTACTGTTACCAGTATATTTTCCTAGTTTAAATTGCTTTGGCAGAACACCTGTTTAATTAACTTTCTGTAATTGTTTATTCTCATTACCATAATAATGTACAAGTATGTTTTTTTCAACTATAGTGCATAAACATTTTGCAATAAGGTTTTTCATGAAGAGAAACCCGTAGATTTTGCTTCTGATTGGTATATGGTAGTTTGACATGCTTTTAAACGGTCATATATTAGAAAAATGTCAAGCATTTTGGCATTCAATGATATTTTTTAAAAAAAAATTAACAATATATACAAAAGATGATTTGATGAACATTTTGAAATAGAGTTTTACAGCCCTTTTTATGAAAGTAACAGGAAGGACATTAAAATTTAAATGACTAAGATAAAATGTCAATACATGTATTTTTTAGAGAAATATTTTCTTTTTTGCAATGCGATGAATTTTAGTAGTTTAATACTGTATTATTCAGATAGAGTTGAAAAAATCATAGTCAAACCACTTGCATTTTTCAAAAATTTGTCATTCAAAAAATGGACTTCTTTTGAAAATGACCCAGATAGACTGCAAACAGTGTTTTCTTAATAAAACTGTGCATACAGTTCAAAGAGCTAATTTTTAAGTAAGCTGAAGATGACTTTGGTCCGTACCCGGGAAAAAATAAACCTTACCTGACTGATGAAAAAAAACTTGTACTTAACGAATAATGTGTTATTCACTATTCAGACATCAAAGAAGATAAAAAATCTTTTCAACAATACCATTTTACAAAGGAATAAAAACATATAATGTTATTTTTCGTGCTCAAGGATGCGTCAATATATACAATACAGATTGTCTCATTAATCTACTACTCAATATAATGCACTTTATGGCAATATTTTGCCATCTTTTTAAAACATTTTTGGATTAAGTGGTTCATACAAAAAATATTTGTAAAAGCGTCATAGCATGCATTCCAGTTATTGCACCTGTGGAACCTGGTTAATTGGTTTGAAAAGAATTAAAGTCGAGAGACAAGCTCTTCTTTAGTCATAAAACACACAAAAGATTCTGTACTTTTGAGCATTGATGAAGACGATCAGCAAATATTATCTTCCCGTTAAGATTGATTCTGAACCAGGTATGAAGTCTAAGAACAATCCGGGAATTGTTTTGAATGATGTCCTAAAAAATGTTTAAAGCACTGCCAATAGAGAATTCACGTCATCAAACACGCGGTAGTGTCAAAAGGAGCCAGTAACATTGTAAAGTTTGAATCAGGTTAATAATCAAATCAATGAGGCACACTAACTGAAGTACGACATCAAAAGGAAGTCGATCTGACTGCGTGCGCAGACGCGCAAAAATGTAAACAGCGTTCGTAAATGACGTTGATTTGAAGAAAACTAACGTCAGAAGAGCTTCTGATTCTGTACTAAAGTCAACCGGCACTGTGTAAAAGAAAATGCACGTACACATGAATATGAACACAATGTATATGTACACTATAGGCCAGAATGTTATCCTTTTAACACAAATTAGGGATATAAACTGTAGCAAGTCTACAAAATATCCTATACAGATCCGAACCAGAAAAAATCCGCCGCTGTTTCCGGTGTACGGTACCGCGCTCCAAACTGACATCGCCTGCATCGTCATATCCATAACTGTCCATCAAGACAGAAGAATTCCAAAGACAATTGTTAAAACACACACTGATTTACCTTGAATTATTGTATCCCGTTACAAGAACAATGAAAGTCAGTATTTAAAGGCATGCATTTATTGTCAAGTCTTAATTGATTGTTTCCTTTTCTCGTTGACTTCTCATGTTAAATAACACAGTTTTAAACCTAGATAGGTTAAACCTTCATAAAGTTTGCATAAAATTTTCTACTATATTACCCTCTAGCAATGAATAATGGTTACTCGAAGTACGTTTAACAGAATATGTCGAATACAATATTGTCAATGTGTATAATAATTAATTCCGAATAGACTAACCCCCGCTATAAGCAATACACACAATTAGTAAATGTTTAAAAAATGCAGATATTTCATGATTTCTTGACCTTGATGTTTTCTTTATCTCTATTTTAAAAGATTCACAACACTATATATTCTACATTGTACGGAAGAGTACGGCGCCACTAGGACCATTTTTTATTTTTTCATTTCCACACTTAACATTGTAAATTTTACATATTAAAGTGTACATTTTACAGATTAAAGTACAAAATTTACAGATTTAGGTGTAAATTTCAAAGATTAACAGATCAATAAACTGCTAATTTTACAGATTAAAGTGTAAATTTTTCAGACATCTAAATTGCAATGTCAGACTAGTCCCAATTATCTGACGTTTTCGAGGCTTTTTTAAAAAAAAAACAATTTTGATACTTTTCGTGCCAGGTTTCCCGGTGTAACGTTGAATTTTGACCCGGGTTGAAAATTGACCCGAGAGTCATTTTTCAACGTTGAATACTGAGACCAAAGGTGTTGAATTTAGACCCTAGTCCATTGAAAACTGAGCCGGGTCGTGGAATTTTGATCATGAAACCGGTTCTAAATTCAACAGCATAAAAACACATATTTATGACTTGGTTTTAAATCTATAGGAGTCGGGAACGGGGGGACTAGGGATGCTTAGCCCCCTTTTTTAACAAAGTGATATTGGTTTAGTCTCCCCCTTTCACCAGACACGTAACAGTGTTGTCAATGAATCGAGGAGTAAGTGGTAGTGCTTGAAAAATATTGGATCCTACCCTCCCCCACCCCAACCCCCTTTTCTTTTTGTTCTTGTCATTTTTTTTCAGATTTAATCTTTTTTTATTTTTGAATTACAATGTACCCCCCCCCCCCGCGCACTTTTAATTTGCTTCCGATGCTAATGTAATCAATACACACTTAATTCAGTAATTCAGTTATATTATTAGAATAAAACATAAACAAAAATATCTTAGATTTCGGAGTTACATCATGTACATGTAGCTTGAAATCCCAATATTTCGTGTAATACTGTAAAATCACATATTTTCGTTTAGTCAAATTTTCGTGGGTTTAGGAAAAACTCTTGGTTCGTGAGGATTTGATTTCGTGGATGTAGAATTGTTGAGTAGTTATCTATGTAATATTTTACGTTTCGTGGTGGACACGAATTCGTGGGTCTCTTCATACCTCAAAAACTATGAAAATTAAACCCCAGGAAAACTTGTGATTCAACAGTATTTATTCAAAACATTTAAGTACATTAATTTTGTATTTGTAAATCCTGAATATTAGTATACATAGTTACACAATATACAAATCAATTTTGTTCAGAAATTTGTTTATCTATATTTGCTTTTTGTTAACAACACTTCATTTGTTTTAAACTTAAAATTCGTAATATTAGTATTTAGGAAATGGTAAGAGTTAAACGCATGATGCACTGACGTACATTTTTATGCTTATTTAGTTAATGCACAACATTAATAACTGATAATGTCCAAAAGTACTAAATTCTACCTAAAAGTATCCTGAAGTTGATATTAAAAAAAACCTGTAGTTCCTTATCGACACCGTTTTTGCAGTCTTTAGAGACCAATTATTCCTTCAAAACTTGGAATTTCGATGGGCACTAATTGTGCTCCTTTGTTGGCCAACCTGTTTAAATGTACATATGTCTATATACACGGGATGACAACTGTCATCAATCAATCAATTAATCAAAAATGTTCAAACTCTGAGGTGGGGTCAATATTCAACAGGGTCAATTTTCAACTTATTGAGGTCATCAGGGATAAGAAAAAAATTATCAAGCTGTTGAAAAATGACCCCGGGTATAAATTCAATGACTTTTGGTCTCAATTTTCAACGGAGAAAAAACACCTCGGTTCAATATTCAACGTTGAAAAAATGAACCTCGGGTCAATTTTCAACTCGGGTCAATATTCAACGTTACACCTGCACGTAAAATATCAAAATCGTAAAAAACTGGAAAACGTCAGATATTTTGGACTGTTAAACACACACCGAAAGCAATCTGAACATTTAAATTTTTCTCCGAAAGAAGTTCATTAACGAAAATGCCATCTTCAACGTCTATTTTTTTTCGGGAATATATTTAAAGAGCCACTGTCTAGTTTGTTGGATATGCCAAGACATCAACGATAAATGGAAACGTGATATAATTGCATAACGGGCATCCAACTTATCGCTATGTCCCTGGCATATCCCACAAACCAAACAGTGATTCCGTTTATTTTCTTTTCATTGTGAAATAAAATCGTTTTAATTTTAGTTAAATTACATGAGGCCTCCCATGTCAATTTCAATAGTTCCCACCCACTGACGTCATACACACCGACAGCTGGACGCACTTGATCTACATGCATATTCTGCCTTCTTAGCTCTTGACCTTTTACTTGGCGAAATTTACATTCTGGTTGAATTATCAAGAAATCAACTCATCGAACATTCAATGAATTTTCAAAAAGAAAACAAAAAGAGATGGAAATATAGGAGCATGCACTACCAACAATGTTGACTTTAAATGGGATAACTGATATACTTGTGTCATGCACTTGTATGTCTGTAGCCTATCTCATTTAAGAAACTGTTATCACCAATAATTTATTGTATTTGTATGGTCAATATACAATCGGTTTCACAAAAGTGATACATTTTTCTGTATGAAGCATTTCAAGCTTGTCAGTGAATAAAGGGCTATGCAAAAGCACTTACACCAACAATTGTTCTGTCATTTTTCATACTTCTATGTATTTCTCTGTTTACCCATTCATGATAAGAGGCACACAGTGAGTGTGTGAAGGTACAACATATTGTCCTGTAGGTATTGCAGCTAACAATTTCAATAGAAGACTAAATTCATCACTGCCTACTCCATGAGTCACGACTTTCAGTCCATTTTTTTTCTTGAAATTGCTCATATACAACAAGTGTGGAAGTTAATAAGGACAAAAATTCACCATGAAGTTCTCCTGTTAACTGTTTATTATAACATCTTATTACCAAGATGAAACAAACATTGTTCAACCATATTTATTCCTGTGTATAGTTTTGAAAAGAAATATAACATAGATTACAGAATGTTTTGTTTGTTGGACAAAGTTGTGTTCCATGAGATTCAATATCCCCTATCATCCTCATTTAAAGAACTTTATTCGGTAATAACCATTATTTGCCCCCCAAATCAAACTTTGATGGAGATATATTAAATTAAGTTCTTAAACAGGGGAGTATATGCTGACTTCAAAGCACTGATTATTTTCATAAGTAATGACGCCATATGTACGTAGACGTCACAAACATATAAATTTCAGTTTTTTTATGAATTTTACAGAAAAATGTACATATTTTGTCGATATTTTGAGTAGTGTGTGTTCAGGATCAATATTTTGATATAATGTGTAGAATGATAATATCAATGAAATATGTCATATTGTTCCTGAACAAACTTGATAAATTTTAAAGCTAAAATTGTTGAAATTTTGTTTTTGTCCTCTTTCTGAATATAAAATCGAACTAGTTTGTGACGTCATAAAACAAAAATTGTGAATACATTGCTTTGACACTATACTATTTTCTGTTAATTTATATTTCTCATACAATTTAATATTGAATTCAGCACATTTCAGGAAGTTTTCAAAATTTGACTTTTGTGGGGGCAATATATCATGTTTTATGTTTTAATGCTAGATTACTGTAAACCAACTTTTATTCGCGACAACTTTATTTCGCGATTTATTGGGGTTAAACTAGTTCACAACGATTAATTTTTGCGATCAAGCCTTTTTTGATCTGATTGACAAAGAGACTTTGAGGACCGGTTCGCGGCATGAAATATTCGCGATGACGAGGCTCTGGCGAACTTCGCGAAAATTTCTCGCACGTGAATAAAAGTTGGTTTACAGTACATGTTGCATGTACACAGAAACAACAGGACCACTTCCATACTAAAACATTGTCTTTCAAGATGGCACGTTTAATGGATGTTTCCCTGACTGACAAAAAGTAACGTCTTGTTATGAGTAAAAACTTCTTGAATGGACATTAAAATCAAACATATTCAGCATATCTCCTTCCTATGAGGAAGACATAATTCTACCATCTTGAACACACAACTGAAACTTGGCCTTTACAATATAATCATCTTTAAGAAAAACCTTGAAAGTCTCTTAACAAAAAATCTAAAGAAAAACAAGTGTCATAAAGAATAAACTACCTTGTGAAAAACTCCCTAACATGTTAACTATGTAAATAGGATTGCTAACAAAGATGCATGCAAGATACATGCAATTCTCCTTTTTAGTTTCATTGTTATCTAAATACTTTTTAAAAATATTTACAAAATTCCTACAAAATGCCATTTGTCTTCACAGTAAAACACACAAGAAAATATTGAAAAAGAGTTCTATTATGAAACATATGAAATTATGAAACATATGCTAAGTTCAATGCATTACAGGCATTTTGTGCTGCTGCTAGTCTTGCCGATTTTTTGGATGTTCCGGTTCCTGTAAAAGTTTGTCCATCAATTTCTACGGAGATCACGAATGTTGGGGCGTGCACAGGTCCAGTCTGGGACACCACGTTGTAACTTAATCCTGGGTGTCTTTCATTCAGCACCATTAGAGCATTCTTGGGAGCACTGTTCTTCTGCTTCTTGGGTTTAGGGACATTAGGAGGTCCTGGGTTTTTTCTCTTTATCCCAGTGAAAATTGTGGACTCCTCACTTAGATTTTCATAACCTTAGAAAAGAAATTTAAAAACAATTTTTTCTCTATAAATTTCTTGCTTATAAATATTATCACTGATGAATTTCAAATTCCTACATTTTTGCATTCTTTATTTCTTGAAAGAAAAGAGGCCCATGGGCCATAGCACTTACCTTTCTCACAAATATGCACATACATTTATGCTAATAAATAAAACATATGGCAGCATAAACTAATTAAATTTAGTTACCTTAGCAATATCAATTACAGAATGTTGAAATTACACCCCCATCAAGTGCGAGATATCAAATGAGATTTGGATGTTTATGTATTTGACCGTTTGAAATTAGCTCATGTTCATAAGAACCAAGACTACTGTAAAATTCATCAAAATATATATGTTCAGTGTATGTGCATACATGCACTCCAAGGAAACTATCTATGAGAGAAATCTACTTCAACCTTGACTCAGGTGAGCTAGAAATATAAATAATTTTAAACAAACCTGGTACATAGAGGATGTTGAACTTCTTTAACAGAGCGTATTTACAGGCCTCCAGTTTGGCTAGCCTCTGTGACCTTCCCGTCCCTGTAAACACTTCCCCGTCCACCTTAACATTACAGCTGTAGGCCGTCTCCTGCTTCTTCTTCTTTTTATTGGCTGGCTCTGGTGTGATTGCCAAAGTCTGACCAGGACCGTCCTCTGTCGTAGAGGCTTCTGTCTTCACGATGACATTCTCCTCTGTTGTGGTCACTGTGCTGATATCAAACACCAGTCCTAAAAAACATCAACAAAAAAATAGCATAAATAAAACTAAAAAAAAACTTGGAAGTTAATAGCTCCACAGATATTTATAATTGCACATTCTCTTCAGAAGTGGAGGTATAGACTTACAGTGGCTGTTCAACATTTTAAATAACATGTTAAATAATGCTGATTAAAAAAATCTCATACTCCTATGAGCATAGCATGTACAGGAGCAAAGATCTAATTAAATGAAGATCACATGAATAGTACTTCAAATGACAATAATGCAAGAATCTTTGTTGTTGTTGGAACCCATAGGTTTTCTTTTCTTTAATGTAGTGTAACAGAGAGAAAACCTATGGGTTCTGACATTGAACCTTTGTTTTCTGTGTCCCTAATTACCTTTCCTGAGTTCATTGATATGCATGACTGGGTTCTTGTTGGACAGTTTTGGTTGGTTGACCGGAGCTGCCTGCTGTTGCTGATTGGCTGTTTGTCCAGGGTTTGGATACTGGACGTAAGACTGATACACTGAGTTAATGTTTTCAGTCTTTATTTTGCTGGCATCTGCCATTGGCTGATCAGTCACAACAGTCTGTTCCATTCTTCACAAAACCTGTATATTCATAGAATTCAAATTTATTACTTTTTTTTTTTTTGCTTTAACTGATCATAAATTCACTTTTACTCCTATGTCAATCTTGAATCACCCATTGTGGACCCACTCTAGCATCTGGGGTCATGTCTGAGTTAAACTTAAAGCTGAACATGATTTGTAAAAAGAATGTGTTCGCCATTTTAGTTCCCGAGTCTCGCTACTCTACAGACCCCTATAAATAGGGCAGGAGTTGGTCATTGTTCATTGTAATCAGTCAACACCGGTGTAGACGGATGTATGCTATACAGGAGTTGGTAGCAAGAATAATAACGTAATACTTCGTCTAATGGCAAATGCAGGCAAGTAAGATACCAAATAAATTTACAATTATAGTCGTATAAGTCAGTGCAGTAGGCTATACAACAACACAGATAAACGTAACTGCAATAAAATGTAAACAAAGGTAGTGAAAATCACGAACACGGGTCGCCATTCCACGCCGATACTCTTGACAATAAAGCAGTCAGGTGTAACGAAAGCGACAAGAATACCCTAGTATTGATGTATCGTAGATAATGCTATCGAAAATGGCGTATGCCTATTTACGAGTCGTGTTCAGCTTTAATCTACACTACCAGTACCGGAAGATGCTTTCATATAAATATAAATGATTATGTCTCTGTTGTCCTTGAGAAGATTTTACTAATAAATTTCAATATTAAACTTTGATTGCCAATGATGGTTCCAAGTTGTACCCTACCCCCATTGGTCATAAATTGAACATATGTCAAGAAGCTTTCATACTGTTACAAGTTTCATCTTTTCTGGCCCAGAGGTTCTTAAGATTATAAATTGATCACACCAAATTTTCAATTTTTTTTATCATCTACCCTTAAAAAGATGGAATGATTTTTATTTCAAAAATTTTGATTCCCCTTCACCCAATGTTTCTTAGTGCTAAGTTCAGTTGATATTGGCCCTGTGGTTCTTGAGGAGAAAAAGATGAAAATGCGAAAAGTTTATGATAACAATGACAATTTCAATCAGAAACGCACTCTTGAGAACACCTTGCGTGCAACATAATGTTTGGGTTATTTTTAATGACTTGATCGCTTGTAAAGGGCCTAGTTTATTCAGTGTACAAGTCAATTTGTGGGCAATGTCACTGTGAATTCAATTACCGATTCATACATAGGCACTTCTGCCATCAGTGGAGGATAGGTCTCTTCCGTATAGACAACTTTTACAGGGTCAATCTACTACTGAATCTAGTGTCATACTCTTTTCCCTCTATAACATTATCAACTTCCTGTAATGAATGAAATCTATTTTGAATATGTTTTAAATGTTGCCCCATCCTTTGGCAATACAGGAACAGATCAAATATGTCCAATAGCATTTGAAGGTGGAAACATTTCCACAGGTATGTTACAAACAATAAAGAGTGTAGTGATAAAAATGAGTGTTACACTGAAAATGGGAGATATCTCGTAGAATGTGAAAATTGTCTATTGTGAAACCATTCAGTTATTCCTCAGGAAATTTGCAAACTCCTGTGGTTATTCTTCATCAATAGCCTTGAAGGTGCCTATGGTTATGCACAGGATTCAATAATTTTATCCCTAAAACAAGATAAACAATAACCAGTGAGCTTCAATATGCTCACTGGTTATAGTTTATCTTCCTTTACGATCTTTTTAAAATTAGACTTTTATTTTTCTCCTCTACTACATGTAACGTTATATGCTTCAATGTATTGAAGCGTAGGCCTATACTATAGTAGAGGAAGAAAAATACAAGTCTAATTTTATTAGATTGCATTCCTAATTTTATTAGATTGCATTCCTTTTATAGATAAAACTGATGACTCCTGTGGGTTATCATGCCCATATTCATTGTTGTGTATTACATTTAACAAATAATCATTTATACTCTTACATTCTTAATGCCCATAAACAATCTTTTGTACCTTTCACAGTCTAATCTATACATGTTGGTCAATAAATGAACGTGCAATGCACCATGCATGGCAAAGACAACCCGCGTTATCTCCCCTCCCCACGGCCAAATAAGAACTTCACAGTCTTACGTACCATCTCAAGTTTACATAATATCTACATATTTGTCTCACTCTTGTAATGTACAATCATGCCGATACTTTGAAAATTTGAGACTATTCGTAGAGCATGTAAAATTCTCAAATGGCCTCGTAATGCAAATCTGCACAAAGGTAGCATTTGTGCATTCGACAAATCTATGCGTGGTCATTCCAAAGTTTAATAATTGACAATTACAACAACAAGAATACCTAAAAACAGGAAGAAATTGTCAATTATTAGGTGCTTTGTTTCTTAAAACCACCACGATTTGTTAACCTTTCCTCCGATCTGAAAGCTTAATGGCGTTGGAATGCGGTAAAACTAGTACTCGCAAATGCCGACTTTCCCAGGATTTCCAGTTTTTATTGAATGCTGTGTACTAGATTTTTGATTAAAACAATCCGAAATGCATAAAATTATCAACAAAAGCACATAAATTTAGCTCTTCTGGACTGGTGACAATGATAATTCAGCATAGTAAACTTATTTTGAGGGTAATCTGGAAAACTAGATTTACCGTTTGCCGCCGGTGCTTCAAGATGGCTAATAACTCGAAAGCCGCAATCATGTTTTTTTCTTTCTTTTTTTTCTGGCAATAGTAGAAAGAAAAAAATTTGCAAATATTTTACAATATGATAAAAAAACCCAGACATTAAAAAATTACATTGCTTTATAAAAACATCAATTTACGAGACGTCGTTTTGGTCTTGAAGTACTGGCAAAAAGTTGATATCACCTACTAGTATTCAAATAGGTGATATCACCTATTCGAATAAGTGATATCATTTTATCAAATTGAAAAGGTGATATCACCTATTCGAATAAATTTGTATTTAATGGTAGAGGAGGAGTTGCGTTCGGAAGAGTAATTTTTTAAAGTTGGTAATTCCAAATTAAAAGTTAATTTTCCAACTTTAACATGTTTAAAGTTCGTAATTCCAATTTTATTCTTGGCTTTAATTTACCAACTTTAAAGTTGGCAATTCCAAGTCTTGGCTTTAAAGTCGGAAAAGCCGTTGGAATTACCAACTTTAAAGTTGGAAAAGCCAAGATAAGAGTTGGAACAGCCAACTCTAGAGTTAAAATTAACAACTATAAAGTTAAAAGCCAAGATTAAAGTTTAAGTTGGAAAAGCCAAGATTTAAGTTAGAAAATCCAAGATGCAAGTTGGAAAAGCCAACTTTGAAGTTGGAAAAGCCAAGGGTCAAGTAGGAGCCAACTTTAAAGTGGCAAACTAGCGAAGATAGTTGGAAAAGCCAACTTTAAAGTTGGAATTTCCAACTTAAAACATATTATATCAGGTACTAATTAGCTGCAATAATGTAGCCCTCTCCGATTTTTTTTTTTTTTTTTTTTTTTTGGGAGAGGGCTACAACTCCATAGGATCTCTATAATGGCGCAGATGCGGCAGTGGATCACTCCCGCACGGATTTCGGCTCAAATTATCAGTAAACGGCTATTTTATTATCATCTCTTACCTGAAATTCAAATATGTAATTATGCAAAACATAAATCGATCCAAAAATATTCACAACAATCCATATATCGGTTATTTTTCGTGTGTGTCAACAGCTTAACTTGAATTTATCCGCCATGTTTACTGACCTTGATGGATTGTATTTTGGGACAGCCAATGAGAATTTAGGTTCTATAGGAGCGGATCTACAAGGAATTCCCTTATTTTAAGCATATGTATCGCTGTTTGCGCAAAAATAATACTTGAAATGGTTTTATTTATCGTGTTTTTGTAATATATTATAGCACAATCGTTTATAAACATCGACAACTGCTTTATTTGGTTGTTCCAAATTTCAAGCGAAAGCATCACTACGTCACGCGTGAACTGTCATGGCTGCTGAATATTGCAGCTGGGAAAGACACAGATTTATTTCACATGGTTTTAGAGTTTAAAAGGCTATGTTGCTGACAGTGAATAAAAATTCCGTCTTATAAGAAGTAAGTTTAATGTAAAAATAATTTATTTTGCCTCCAATCACCCGTATCAAAAAAATATATTTGCACCATTACGGAGATGCGATGGAATTGTAGCCCTCTCCAGAAAATATCAGATAAAAAAAAATCGGAGAGGGCTACATTATTGCAGCTAGGTACTAATATGCTTCCAGCTAAGGGATGTGATGCATGGGTACCTACCTATACATGGCATATTATAGAAAGAATGGCAGTGTCCATGTTTTGATATGGGAAACCCAAAATATGTGTGATCAAAAAGATACGTAAAGTTAGCTACTAGTAACTGGCTACTAGTAGCTGGCTACGACAAGTGGGAAAAGTTGGCTACTAGTAGCTGGCTACGAGAAGTAAGTAAAGTTAGCTACTAGTAACTGGCTACTAGTAGCTGGCTACCAGAAGTAAGTAAAGTAAGCTACTAGTAACTGGCTACTAGGAGCTGGCTACGAGAAGTAAGTAAAGTTACCACAACTGGCTCGAGTAAATGACTTGAACCTTTTAGTACCTTTTGTGTAAAATTATGCAAACTTGGGATACAAATGTTGATATTCTTGAAGTAGCTGGATTTTTACATCGCTGATATCTACTGGTATTGCTGATAAAAACAATATCTGAGCTTTTCCACATGATAGCACTAAAGTTACCAAGATATCTGTAGTAATAAACTCAGCTACTGGTACCTTTTTTGTAAAATTATGCTATTTTGGGAGACTAATCTTGATATTCTTGAAGTAGATGGATTTTTACATCGCTGATATCAACTGATATTGCTGATAAAAGCAACCTCTTAGTTTTTCAACATGATCTGGTGCTGATGTCACCAAGATATCGTTAGTAATAAACTCAGTTACTAGTACCATTTGTGTAAAATTATGCAAACTTGGGATACAAATGTTGATATTCTTGAAGTAGCTGGATTTTGACACCGCTGATATCCACTGATATTGTTGATAAAAACTATATCTGAGCTTTTCCACATGATCTGGCACTAAAGTGACTAAGATATCCTTAGTAATAAACTCAGCTACTGGTTCCTTTTGTTTAAAATTATGCTATTTTGGGAGACAAACCTTGATATTCTTGAAGTAGCTGGATTTTAACATCACTGATATCCACTGATATTGTTGATAAAAACAATCTCTGAGCTTTTCCATATGATCTGGAACGAAAGTTACAAAGATATCGTTAGTAATAAACCCAACTTCTATTACCTTTTGTTTAAAATTATATTTTTGGAGACAAATCTTGATATTCTTGAAGTAGATGGATTTTTACATCGCTGATATCAACTGATATTGCTGTTAAAACAATCTCTGAGGTTTTCCACATGTTCTTGCACTAAAGATACCAAGATATCGGTAGTAATAAATTCAGCTACTAGTACCTTTCGTTTAAAATCATGCTATTTTTGGAGACAAATGTTGATATTCTTGAAGTAGCTGGATTTTTACACCGCTGATATCCATTGATATTGCTGATAAAAGCAACCTCTTTATTTTTTCCACATGATCTGGTGCTAATGTAACCAAGATATCTGTACTAATAATATACTCAGCTAATAGTCCTTTTTGTGTGATATAATGCACTTTTGGGAAAGAAATGTTAGCACCATTGAAGTAAAATAAATTTTATATAGCTGATACATGTGTATCTTCTAATATCAGAGATAAAAAGATTATCTCACGCTCTCCACATGATCTGAAACTGAAGTTACCAAGATATCTGTACTAATTATTTAACTCAGCTACTAGTACTTTTCGTGTAACTTAATGAAATAATTACTTAGCTGATATCTACTAATAATGCTGATGTAAATTTTCTCCTAACTTCTCCAAGGATCTTACACTTGAATGACCTAGATATTTGAAGTTGTTAGCTTTTTTGTGTGTAATAAAAAGCTAGCTTTGGATATAAATATCGACATCATTTAACAAACTTGATTCTTGCAAGCAGATATTTACTTATATTGCTGATCTAAACATTCTTATAGCTTCTCCACTACATTTTGCATCGAAGTCACCACGATATCTGCAGTTATACCGGTGTCTTTTGCTACTAGTACATTTTGTGAAATATAGTTTTTGTCGACATTTTTCAAGTAGCTGGGTATTTAGAGAGCAGATATCTACTGACACGGCTAATCAGAAACTTCTCTTCACATAACACATTACCGATGATTTACGTTTACGACTTACGTTTATCTTTTGATATCTTTACAGAAACTAATATATTTTTTGAATCATTGATTCTTACTAAGCTGATATTTATTTGTATAGCTGATGAAGTCATTCTGTTAGCTTCTCCTCATGACCTGCTACAGATATCTTGGTACTTTAGTGCCAGATCATTGAAAAAGATCAGATATTGTTTTTATCAGCAATATCAGTGGATATCAGCGGTGTAAAAATCCAGCTACTTCAAGAATATCAACATTTGTCTCCAAAAATAGCATAATATTAAACCAAAAATACTAGTAGCTGAGTTTATTACTAACGATATCTTGGTAACTTTAGTGCCAGATCATGTGGAAAAGCTCAGAAATTGTTTTTTATCAGCAATATCAGCGGTGTAAAAATCCACCTAGTTCAAGAATATCAACATTTGTATCCCAAGTTTGCATAATTTTACACGAAAGGTACTACTAGTGCCAGATCATGTGGAAAAGCTCAGATATTTTTTTATCAACAATATCAATTTATTCACGATATTTTGGTAACTTTAGTGCCAGATCATCTGGAAAAGCTCAGAGATTGTTTTTATCAGCAATATCAGTGGATATCGGCGATGTAAAAATCTCGCTACTTCAAAAATATCAAGATTTGTCTCCCAAAATAGCATAATTTTAAACAAAAAGTACCAGTAGCTGAGTTTATTACTAAGGATATCTTAGTAACTTTAGTGCCAGATCATGTGGAAAAGCTCAGATATAGTTTTTATCAACAATATCAGTGGATATCAGCGGTGTCAAATTCCAGCTACTTCAAGAATATCAAAATTTGTATCCCAAGTTTGCATAATTTTAAAGGTAGTAGTAACTGAGTTTATTACTGACGATATCTTGGTGACATCAGGACCAGATCATGTGGAAAAACTAAGAGGTTGCTTTTATCAGCAATATCAGTTGATATCAGCGATGTAAAAATCCATCTACTTCAAGAATATCAAGATTATTCTCCTGAAATAGCATAATTTTACAAAAAAGGTACCAGTAGCTGAGTTTATTAATACAGATATCTTGGTAACTTTAGTGCCATATCATTTGGAAAAGCTCAGAGATTGTTTTTATCAACAATACTAGTGGATATCAGCGATGTAAAAATCCTGCTACTTCAAGAATATAAACATTTGTATCCCAAGTTTGCATAATTTTACACAAAAGGTACTAAAAGGTTCAAGTCATTGACTTGTAGCCAGTTACTAGCAGCCAACTTTACTTACTTGTCGTAGCCAGTTACTAGTAGCCAACTTTACTTACTTCTCGTAGCCAGTTACTAGTAGCTAACTTTACTAACTTCTCGTAGCCAGCTACTAGTAGCCAACTTTACCCACTTGTCGTATCCAGCTACTAGTAGCCAGTTACTAGTAGCTAACTTTACATATCTTGATCAAAAGGTAAAATAGGAGGTACACAATGGCATTATGTATATAAATTTATAAGATTCTGTGAAAGTCTCATTAAATTTCATTCAGCGGCATGAGAGTAATTTCCAGTTGAATGTAAAACGAAAGTTTGTATTTCATAACGATGATGTTAAACATGATATACGTACCCGCAAAAAATCTACTCTTCAATGTACATTGTAGATAGATCTACACACGAGTGGCCATTCCAGTCGAACACTTGGCGATTTCCAGCGGTTCACCGACGAGGTTATAGAATGAACCAGTGGCTAGGAATAGTAGCTAGGGCCACCAGAACTTGTAAAAGAGGAGACAGGGCGGAGTTCCGTTTTGTGGGTCTAACAAGATCATTGAACAGCTTTTCCTAGGACATATATTTTGCCTCGGAGTTTTCGCCTTAGCCGCCATCTTGTAGGGCAAAGTAGTGATTTTTCCTCTTTGAGAAACCAATTTTTAACATGCTTGCAAGAAATATATGGGGGGAAATATTTACAATCTTAAAATTATGAATTAATAGAGGCTTTAACAAACGTATATTCATGAGAAAAATAATGTCATCTTTACCTCAGTAATTCAGTATAATAAATTGAAATTGATTGAATAATGATCTTTTCACGAAGAATAGGATGTAGCAGGCCTAAAACGATATTTAATATAGACCCCATTCGATCGGCCCCAAATCCTCCAATCGGTTACTTCTATCTCGAAAAAACACGCGGACGTGGAGCCTTTCTCTGCCTTTTAATGATGTTGTAAATATTCAATCTTGCTGCCGAAGACGCCATATATTGAAAGTGAGAACACAAATCAAAAAGTTAAACACCTTTTAAGTTGTCTAACTCTTTTAACTCAAAATCAAAGTGAGGCCAAACTTAAGAAAGGAAAGTGAGACTGATTGACAATTTTTATGGCACGCCTAACTCGAGTCCAAAAAATGAGACCGTTTCAATTAATGTTGATCTCAAACGTGAGTGGACAAGTTTTATTGCCCCGGAGGAATACATGAATAAAAAATTCAGAAACTTCTCTGAACGTCTTTTATAAAAATATAAACTTCAGTGTAATTGTATGTAAAACAAAATGTTTTAACAAAATAAGTTTGCAACTGATCAGAAAAAAGGTGAAAAGGTGGGCATTGTTCCACTGTTATTGAAAAAGCAGCTTTCTGTGATGTAAAAAAAATCTATCTTAGGAAATGGTGGCATAAAGTGTTGAAAAGTCGTATGCTTTATTATTGATTTGACAATATTTCCATTTCTAATTTTTTTCTCTGTGATAACTGTTAGAAAGTTGGGGGAATCTATTTCTTGATAATTCTGTCGGAATTTAAATTAGGCAGGTCGATAGGTCAGCAGCTAAGGAAGTCTAATACGCATGCAAATCTCGTGCACATCTGTCTCTATGTCTGCCGCTAAGGAGGCCAAATATGCATGTAAATCTCGTGCGGCTGCCTTTGTGTTTGACGTCAGTGTGCGAGGACTATTGAAATTGGCATGGAAGTCCTCGTATAATTTAAATCTATTAGTCTAGATTTTTAATGTCTTAATCTACAATTTTATTTCACAATGAAATGGAAATATAAGGAATCACTGTCTAGTTTTGAGAGTATGCCAGGGACATCAACAATAGTGGGAAACATGGGATAATTTTAGCATAACGGGCTTCGCCCGTTATGCAAATTATCCCATGTTTCCCACTATTGTTGATGCCCTGGCATACTCTCAAAACTAGACAGTGATTCCTTAAAACAATTGTAATTTCAAATGTTCTAAAAGTTCCTTTGAGTTTTAATGTATCCACATCATCACATCATTCTGATAAACACCAATTCTGGAATATATATTGTTGCACAGTACTGAAGATTGTCACTCATTACCGTTAATATTTTAGTGAGGAGTAGAGGAAGAAGGTGGGTGGAACATTTACTGGAACCCGCTATGTTCATACATATTTATTTGTAAGACTTTATTACGATGATAAGAATCGTAATATCAGCTTTATGGAAGAAACAGGTTGGAGAAAATATTCCAACACCCTGAGTCTATCAAAATGTATGACAGATACATCGATACATATAATCATCTTTCCTCGTTTTCCGATATAATTATAGTCTTCCACATGGAATATGAATGGCGTTCCAGGATTTCTTTTTTTTTTCCCCACAAAATCCATCCAAAAATATAACTTTTTTTATTGCCCATGACATGACAATTCAAAAGTACCGGTAAGTTTCATATAAATGAATCAACTGTTACTGTATATTTAGAATTCTTACTGGCAAACATCTTGAGCAAAGGCGGACACATGTAGGCAGTGGGAAACACAGAAAGATTTTAACAATAATTGCATTTTTTTTTGGATAAATTCTTATAGATTGAAATTATTTTCTTTTATTATAAAAATGAAACATGACTTTTCAATAACAAACAAGGACAAATTGTTACAGTAGTTTAATATACATGTATGAAGTACCCGTTGAAAATTTTCTTCAGTGAATCCAACAAAGTTATGCAATTCGTGCTCACATATCTTTTAATCCTAAAGAACTATTCATCATTTAATACATTAAATTCGCAAAACACACACACACACCCTCCCTCACATACACACACATAAAACAACTTATTAAGGGTTCTCATACCGGTAAAGCAAGAGCCTTCTGTAGGAATATACAATGAAAGTGAAAATCAGTGTACGTACTATTCCAGCAAATCTTACTCACCACAGAAAAACGTATGGACTGGCATATTATGATAACAACACAGGGACTTGAAATATCTAACTGAATTACATGTATATACATGTAGTCTACCTCATGTAACAACAACAAAAAATTACAAAATAATTAAAAACGTATTATAAATCATTTCATCAATCTTTAATGATCAAACACTGCTTGACTTTAGAGGTCTTGGTAAATCAGTAAGAACACTTATGTTTGGTATCAGTTGAATGTCTTTGACATAAAGCACAGAGAAGATCCTGGTAACGGCTAATCAGTACATCAAACCTTATCATCGGGTCTCCCGTCACCAGCCTCCGGCCTTTGGCAAAGAAGATCAGATCCAACACATACAGCTGGAAATGTCAAGTTATACAACATAAATTAAATATCCAGAAAAATAGTTTATACGTGTGGTTTTTTTTTTTGTAAAACTGTTTGCATCAGTAATCAATATAATGCCCATTATCTAACTTAAAGTATGACCCCTAAAAGAAAAATGAAAAAAACTTACTTGTTCCCAGGTGCAGTATGTCAGCTGTAAAGCCGGTTCATTCTTCAGGGTACTCCTCAGTATCTTACAACTTTTTTGACATCCAGGAAACAACCTGTACGCGTCTGCCAAGGCGATGTATTGGAAGCCATTGACAAGAACGTATGGAAGAATAAACCCCGGATGTAGGACAAGTCCCCCAGTCTCTGTTCCAGAATCGTCTCGAAATACGTCATATCTGGAGGAGAGAAACTGGCAACAATCAGTATCCGAATAATTTCTTTACAACCAGTCAATATGACTTGAATGCTCAAAAACTTTGTCTTGGTAATATTCCACTAAAAAAATCGACTTACCCTATATCGAACAAGTCAATGCCTAGCGCTGGATATATATGTCCAGTGCTTATGGACGATGATATTTGACTTTCTGAAGTTTGCGGCGCACCCTCTCCTTCCTGTTTGATTTCTATTTTATTCTTTCTTTTGATCCGTATTCCCTTCTTTCGCCCGATATCATCGCTTTGTTTGACTTTTTCTAGAAGTTGAGTTGGAGTCGAGCTAGGTGCTCCTCTTGAAAAACCTGCTTCCATGTCGATCAGTTCATTTTCACTGACACTTTTACGCCTTCTGTTTTCATTTTCCCGAGGGGTTCTCGATTCTACGTGTTTCTTACTTGTCAGTATATGGAGGATTCTTTTCTGTTCCTCGATAACATTTTGGATTCGAATAGCTTTTTGCAATTCTTCAGCTTCACAGTCGACTGAACAGACACTCTTTGCAGTCTTTGGCTTTCTTTTTCTGCCCTTCTTTGCTTTCTTTTCCGTATTGCTTTTCTTTCTTCCCTTGCTTTTCTTATGATTTTTTCCTTTATTTGCGTCTAAATGATTAGATTCTGCATCAACAATCTCAGTTCCAATGTAAGAATCAACATCTATGACTGTTTTCATATTGGAACCATTTTTAACTTTGCTTGTTATCTTTGTTTTTCTATTTTCCTCGGCTATACTTTTTACATGCGATTCTTGAAACTCGTGAGAGCTTTTGCTTTCATCAGGTTTCTCCTTTTTCTTTTCTATGCTTTTGATTGTTTTATTAAACGTATTTGCCATGTCATCGACAGTTGGTGAATCCACTCTAAATTTGTCGTTGAAGTCTTTCTTTGATACAAAATCGGTCTCCTGCGGATGTATAGAGAGATCTGAGTCATTAATTACTGTAACATCCTCGCGAAGTTTCTCATCAATCACTTCTTCGTGATCAACATTTGAGTCTTGCAGAAGGAATAACTCGGTAACAGTTTTCTCTTTAGCTGGGGTAACTGTTTCGTCGTTTTTAATCATTTTATTTGGATGTTTGACCTCAGCTGCGGTAGAGGGTGTGTTTTGCTTTTCTTCTGTTTCCTGAACATCCTGTTCTATAGCTTGCATCATGTTGTTTTGTTCTAATTCTTTGTTTTGTTGAGCGTCAACCATCGTTGATTTTTGGTCACTATGAAAAGAAAGAAAGTCATTCACCCATCTCTTCTTGGGATGAAAAGTATCACCATCATTTTTAGTTGGAGTAAGGTCAATGTAAACGGTTGACTCGTTCATGTCAGATTTAGGTCTTGCTTTTTCCAAAGGTTTGCAAACCTCAACGGAATTCATGCTCGTCGCATCACTTCCTTGCACAGACACTATCTTCAAGCCAGTGTCGTCTTGCTCATTAGTAAACATGCAATCAGTAAAACTGTCATTATTTGATTCTAGGGCTTTTTCTGAAGAATCATTCCTGTCACTTGGTAAACCGCAGTCAGCTTTTGGAATGTTTAGTTGGATACGGCCATCGCCTTCAAACGAAACCCTTTTGGTTGTAATAGTTTTCTTTAAAAAAGCCTGATTTACTTTGCACTTAATCTTCCTGCCAGCTTGAGTCACTAAACCTCTTGCTGAATCTCTATCTGTTTTCATTCCATGGTGTTTTACCTTCTCTAAATTGCTATCTGAGAAACACCGAGACTTCGTGTCTGATTGTCCATCTTCTGAAGACTTTGATACATCAGAAGTAGGTGCCTGTCTAGTTGTAGCTGTACAAAATGATTCACTGGAAGGTAAATCTGTCGTTGCATTTGAAGAGTTTTTCAAGATAGAGCCATGATTTTTCCTTTCTTTGCTGGAAGTCTCATTTTCAGTATCATTCACATTTGATTTACCTAACAAATGTTTCTTTCTGTCCTGAACACCATTCGTTGACTCAACACCCCTAACTTTATTTTGCAGACTTGTACCCTTGGATACCGTCTTTAGTTTCTGAGCTCCTGTTATGACTGGTAGAACAACAGTATGTTTCGACCAGTTCGGTCTGCTCTCTGTCTTCCTTTCTGATTTTTCTTGCATATTTCCATCCCTCTTTGCTTCTTGACTAGTCTTTCCATTTGTCCGTATGTCTGACTCCTTCTTCTGTCTCTCCATATTAATTTCTCTAATAGCTTTCATTGACTCAATACTCTGTCTAAAAGGATTAGATGACACAAGATCCATGAGTGTTTGCTCATCCACATTTTGACTTGGAAACTTCTTAAATTTATGCCTCAGAGAATTTCGACCTGAATTGCTGCAAGCTGTTGGCTCCTTACTTTGGTTTATTTCAGGATAATTAGTTGATTTCGTCATGCTCTTTTGTTGCGCTGTACCGTCTGCATGACCACCTTTAATTATCTCAGATTTTGAAGAACTATTTGCGGACACGGTTGCAGCAGTTGCAACAGCTGGTAAATTGTTTGACTTGTTTACGTTTTCTGGCGACGGTTTTGTTCGGATTGATGCTTTTCCTTGACTCGAAGATTCAGTGAATTCCCATTTGATGTCTGCACCATCTCTAGGGCTTTTGATTCTTTGGCGCTTCTTTTCTAAGGTGGCCTTGCTCGTGTTACATTCTGGAGTCTTCACAGTTGCTTTAGTTTTGGGAGTTTGCTCTTGATAATTGCAATAAAGGTTTGGGAAGAGATTGGGTATTCTTTCTGGATTTGTTTTAACTTCCTTGAATTTTACCTCAAAGGCCCTGGTCAAATTTCCGGTTTGACAGATACCACTTTCCATTTTAATCTACAAAATGAAACTTAGTGGTTCATCTTTACAATAAAATTATTCCCTCTTCCTCTCTTGCTATCTCTCATCATTTGGTATTTGCATGTATATGTAAAGCACAATGAAGCAAATTAAGGATCTGGATGTGTTTGTGAAGCAGGCATGCCCCGTATTGCAGTTCATGACCATGGTTAATTTTTTTTAAGTAGGCCAAACTCTAAGACCAAGGTTATGAGGCTAAAAGCATTAGTATAGAGAGGGTATAGAACTACAGAATAGAGAGGACTTGTCAAAAAGATGGCTGATATGAAATAAAATAGCCTTAGCACCAAGAAGACATGTACAAAATGAAAGTCTTTCAAAGATAGATAAATCAAACTCCAAGCCCAAGGCTTGGGGGCAATAGAATAAATCATTTTTGATTTCAGTCTGACTCTAACCTTACCATTTTAATTCCCTGAAGTAAAATGTTGGTATTTTCAGAAAGGACCTATCACGAGGAATACATACGTGAAATATGAAGGTCTTAAAGTCCCTCCCATTCAATTTCTATGGTCATGATAAACTTTTGTGGACCAATACAAATTGACAGACAGACGAACCAAAAATATTTTTATCTGAATCTCCGACTACTGATGCATAAAAAATGAAAGCAAGTTCTAAGTATGTTACCTTTATCTCGTTCTCTGCTGTTTGGGTTACGTTTAAGTCCTTGCAGTATTTATTAAGGAACTTCATGCAGCTTGTAAAAGACACCAGCAGATCACGGGTTGTGAGATGTCGCCACTGACCTCCTGTCAAAAAATACATGATATTGTCTTTAAATAACTGCCTCATTGATCTGCAAATTAAAACATAATTCATTAAGCAGTCATAAATTATTATACCTCATTGTATCAGTGTACCTACCCCAGCCACCCTGTCTATTGTATTGCCAGGTCGTGATCTCTCTTGCCTCTGCAGCAGAGCAGCAACGACTAATGGTATTGTCGAATTTGACCACGTGACGTCCACAAAAATCCACCAGCCTCTTTCGAACAATAGGTACATTATTTCCCAGAATGTGCAAAGGGATATACCTTCTGATATTTCCAGTCTGATTTTTACCTTCATCAATAGCTGGTACTAGAAATTCCTGTGAAGAAATTACCGTATCGAGAGTTGCATCCACGAATATTTTCTGAAACTTTGTAATTGTGAAACTCACTTCTTCGTGAGCAGGTGGATGGCCTTTCGTTGTTGGAGAGCAACAAAACTGTCTGTCTTTGCTAGGAGATATATGCCGTTTCAAAACCCTTTCCCACAAAGAAACTTCGCCATAATCAAGTTTATTTATTTGAACCAGAAGGGTTCCAATAGAGACATATCGAAATTGTCTAAGGAAGGCAACATGGTCACGTGGTGTGCATGGATGCATGAATTTCTCTGACTTTGGGTAATTGAGAATGGATTTCAGTTCCCTAAGAACAATATCACAGCTTTTAGTACAGGAAGGGAAGAATATTTCCTTGACATCTGTCCAAACCGCCATCTTTTGATTCCTCGCATTGGAAATATAAGGCATGTGCTGAAGGTGACGCCTGATGTGTTCGCGTCTCTCTGCGTCATTGTAATTGTTGTCATTCCAGTTGACGCTGAAGTCACTATCTTTTTCGGTAGTCAAAGTCATCGTGTAATTTACATTTAGCAAATGTAAATTAATTTTTCAACATACAGGATAATTACATCTGAAAGAAAATATATAAAGCCCGTTATGCATAAATTATCCCATGTTTCCCACTATCGTTGATGTCCTCGGCATACTATACTAACTATACAGTGATTCCTTATATTTCCATTTCATTGTGAAATTTAATTGTAGATTTAGACTTAAAAATGTAGACATCGATTTAAACTACACGAGGACTCCCATGCCAATTTCAATAGTCCTCGCCCACTGACGTCAAACACAAAGGCAGTCGCACGAGATTTACATGCATATTTGGCCTCTTTAATAGCGTCAGACACAGAGACAGATGTGCACGAGATTTGCATGCAAATACGCCTCCTTAGCTCCTGACCTATCGACCTGCTTAATTTACATTCCGGTAGAATTATCGAGAAATCAACTCCGCTAACTTTCAAAGAGTTATCACAGAGAGAAAAATTAGAAATGGAAATACGGTATTTAATTTTATATCGATTTTTTTCCAGTTACTGGTATATGTAAAACTACATGTACACGTACTATTGGTATCTAAGCGTCTCCAAGTTTTCGGAATATTGGCTCTCTGCATGCTTTCAATTCCAGTAGGAATGTGGGGGACAAACTTATGCTTCGGCTAGCAAAAGCGGTGTTCCTTGTTTTCTTTGATTTAAAGGATCGATCATTAAATAAAATACTAGCTGCATGGACAACCAAATTATAAATTTACTAAGGAGGGTTTTAAGGGGCTCATTACATCCACGATTTATTTTTAATGCATTATAGCAACACTTTTTATGAAGATTTCAGATATCGAAATGGAGGTTATGATACGCCGAACGAGGGTCCGTGTTGAGACTTCGAGTCTTGGGGACTTTTTCACCGAACAATTTTACATTTCATGTGAGTCATAATTTTGAATGAGCTTAATTCATGATTATAACTATATATTTTATGATTTCATTTTAAATTTGAAAGTTCTTGAATTAAAAAAAAACCATTTTCATTATTGAAAATATTAATTGATGTCAATCAAATAAAATTTTAGGCAAATATTGTCTTTTTGTCGGTTTTGATTTGATTAATTCTTTTCTACTCAACATAAACATTGCATATTATGGCATGGAGAGATTTCGAACGAACGACATTTAACTCCGGACACGACATTGTCCAGACTTTTTACTACCATTTCTAATTTTGATATCGTAAATAATATATATCACTTGGTGGGATTTCTTATATGCATCCCTGGGTCTCATGTTAAACTCACAAACATCTCTTTAGTTTAGCCCACAGTCTATCATTTGTTCGCTATGAAATCTCTGTCGGAAAATCGTTTTAGGGGAAAAAATGGCACTCTGATTTCTTTAATTACATGTATATGAATTACAAATCAGTAATTTCCACCTTCGCCCGCTATGCAAATTACCCCATGTTTCCCACTAGCGTTGATGCCCTGGCATACTATAGTATACTAACTAGACAGTGAGTCCTTAAGAATCCCATGGGAGAATGGTGGGGTTTTCATATTTTCACAATGACAAATCACTCATCATAATCTATAGCATATATTCCACGTTAAACAACGTATTGGAGAAAATAATTCATTGTCAATATTCGTGGGATTTATCCCATTACAAAGTCACGGAAGAAAAAAATCCATGGGTGAAAATATCCCATCTGACATTTTTTTCTCCCATGGGAGAAAAGTGGGGTAGTTGGTGGGACTGAAAATCCCACCATTCTCCCATGGGATTCTTAATTTTAGGACTAAATTTATAATTCATATCTGTAAAAAAGAGAGATGTTTGTCCTGGTTCAACATGAAACCCTGGGATACTGCTAATAAATCCCACCAAGCGATATAAAAATATTTAGGATATCATAATTATAGAAACGGTAGTAAAAAGTCTGGACAATGTAGTGTCCGGAGTTAAATGTCGTATATACTGGTGTCTCATAATATCGCGGTACTTAATCCTTTTGCATAAAAAGTGTTATTCCAATTTTTTACTTTAACTTTCATCAAATACTAATCATAAACCAATCTATGGCCTAACTTTTTAGTGTCAAATTATTTCTCAAGTTTGCATTGTTTAATTTGTTGTCTATATCTAAAACGGGATGTCTTATTTACCTCCTAAATTGTAGAGTCTCATAGTATCGAAAACATGAAAACTTGTGGCTGACATGGACTTCAATTTTTATTTTTATATTTACGGTGAAATTCTACATTAAAAATAAACATTTATACAAACTAAAGACTTTCGAAACATGAACTTTATTCTGGCTTATACTAAGTTATAAAATCAATGATCTAAATATGATATAAACGGTAATGGAAATCTGTAAAATTACGTTTTATTTGAATAAAAAATTACTGACACATGTTCCATACTTTTTAATCGTCACAAAAGTTTACATTCGGACGACAAACAGGTAGTATTTAAACAGAAAGGATATGAGCTGTGTATCTGAATTTTTGGAATATAGCGCGATACAATGGAACCCGCGATATAATGAGAAGCGAGTATACGTATTGTTTTCCACACTCACTTTGAAAATTACATAATTCATTACGTACAATAGTAAGCTTCAGCTAGGTTCGGTGTATGGCAAAAATACTTTCCATCTGAACGCCTAGGCCTAGTGCAAAGAGATTTTTGCGTTTAATAAAAAAATACACCGAAATAAAAATTATATAATTCATCTTGATGTATCTAAAGCCTATCTAGATAGAATCGCCTTTGAGTGGGCCTAATACGTATTTAATTAAAAAATATAACAGCAATTTTTAAAAATAAAATCACTTACCACGGGTAATTGCATGATATAAAGTAACGAATGGTTCCGTCTTCCAAAACAGCAAAATGATCGTTGTTTTGAACTTATACGTTAAATTTCTCGAGAGCGCATTCCAAAGGTATATCATTAAATTTGGCGCCATTTTTACTTTTCAAAGATATCTACTTTCATATAAATTTTATACCCGTGTTTCTTTTTCGACTGTGTTTTTGTGTCAAAAAGTTATAAATATATATAATTTTATAGAATATGCAATGCTCAAATTCGTCAATTTGTGTAAAATATGCTTCTTGAATATATAAACAATATCAATATTATCACGTGGTCTTAGAAAAATATGGTGAACATAAGTGGAAATGTCTGCAATGAATTATGATATGACGAGTATTATATATGAAAATCATAAAAATGTGGCAGCATTTTGCAGCAATGCTCAACTGATAAATCCTTCCACATTCATGTCACGTAATTGTTCAGGTATTTCTTTGAAGGCCCCACAGATACTGACCAGTAAACTTAAGCAGTTACTGCATGCCATACTTTCAACATGGCGACTGGAAGCGATATCGAAATGAAAGATTATTGAATGACACGCATTTATTATTAGGTGTTTCATTTCAAACTCTTTTCGTATATTTTGAAGTAAATCTGGACAAAGGATAGGATTTCTTCAAACAATCGCTGTTATGCAAAAGGTAAACATATTTATAATCTTGAAAACGAGGTTTGTGTTGATTCATTATGCAGACCTCAAAACATGTGGTCGAGATTCTGTGTTATGATGACCGATATTTCTGACGACATCATCGTTAAATTTGCATGAGAAAAATGTCCGATTACTCATTAGTAAAAATAAAAGAATGCCATTATTATATATGTTTGCAAAGAATAATTAAATTGAGAGAAATGGTGTGGGCGAGGATCCTGCCTTTTCTGACAGATTAGCATGGTATTGAAACCTTGTTTTATAACTTTCAGGAAATTATATACTCTAACTTCAAAGCGAATATGCATATATAGAAAAGAAACACTGAAGTTCTGAAGAGAAACTCAAAGCTTAATCTTATATTATCTTGCACTTCTATGTTTATCAATTTGTTTACATTGTCAGAGTTATTGTGCTAATTGTTATTGTTAGATTTTGATTTCATGGTTAGCAGGCCTAGTCCAAAAACTATTTCTACCAACCTAGCTATTTTTAGCTACCTTGGTAATTAACCTACTGCATGTAACTATTTCACTTACTTTCTGCTTTACTTGCATTTTGTGGCCAAATGTGGGGAGGTGGCAATATGTTCGGGATGGCAGGTACCAAATTTCTTTATACAGTCGCACTGACGATGAAGACAGTACAGAATTTGGAAAAAAAAATTATTACCTTCTAATAAATCACTATCGTAGTTAGGCGTCACTATCTGCATTCAGTTCCATTTTCTAGAACATGTAGGAACTGAGGATCAAAGCTCATACATGCCAACTTTCCCAATTTTTTCGTGAGTCTACCGATTTTGAACCCTGTCTACCGCTTGTCTACCGATTTATTTTTTTCCCACCATTTCTACCGACATTTCGAAAATCCGGATTTTTTACCGATTTGCTTTGAATAATACAGTATTTCCATGTGCAGAAAACATGGCTGTTTCATTGTTTATCGGTAGGATATCTGTTTATTGCCGCTGATAACAGGTAATCAACAAGGTGTCAACTGTGCTACCGGTCATTAAAGTGGTTTTAATTGCTCCTGAACCTCATTAACAGTGTATTTTAACCTGGACAATTAAGCCAGATGTGGGAAATATTAGAAATACACACGACAGGATACAAACTGACAAACTTGTGAGAGTTCACACTTTACAGCAAACGTTGACAATATACATATAAACCGTCTATAAAAGTTTCAAGTTTTGAAAATATGGCATTCCTCATTAAATTATGATCTACTTCATGGAAAAAAGACACTGCCAAAATCCAACATGAAAAGATGTGCAGAGTGCAAGTACAAACCATTAGGAGTCATTCAGAAAAAGAAAGGAAAAGACCATGATTTGGAAGACTTTGAATGAAATAGTTTAAAGTGACTTCTTAATATTCTCTCTGACTAAAAAAAATAATTCTGTGTCTGTGACAGTAGCCTTATAAACTTTGTAATTTACCAACAGACAATGAACAGTCATCACATGGTAATGAATTAACTTGCAACAGCTTATTTGAAGAGTGTAGCATCCTTACATATCTGTTTGTGTATCACATTCTTTGAGACAAGGAGTATATTTATCCTAATATAAACATATTAAATAATTTTGAATAAAGTATTTTTTATAATTTCAAATGATATTATATTTGTGCTTTTGTTGAAGTTGCTATATAGAGAAGAAAACACTTTTACAAGTAGTGATAATATATGATACAAGGTAGTAGATTGATATTTAAAAAAACAACCTACAAATAGCTATTTTTCACGACAAAATGCCGCGAATTAAGAACATTAAAAAATGTCGTTACGCGCAATCTCCCCCAAGAAAATTTTCAAAAGTTGGCATGTATGAAAGCTGAGTGGTAGGCTAGGAGGCCAAAAATGTCTTATAATCTGATCTTCTTGCATCTAGTCAGATAAAAGGTTTGGAAACTACTCTTTATGCATTGCCTCTCCTTTAAATACTTGCACACAGATCTGGCCATGCAGTTTCAGAGCATGTTTAACAACATGCATAATATATTATTCCTTAGTTATTCTGGCTGGGACGATATATCGAGATATCGATATATCGTGATATATGTGAGGACGATACACATATCGATACATTTGAAAAAATATCGAAATATTGCCCAAAAAAATCTGACCTCTGTTTTTCTTTGTTTATTTAACATTTGGGGTTTAATATATAAAATGAATAAGTTAAATATAGATATAGATATGAAATAAATAATAACACCACTTGAGTAAAATATTTTTGTTTTACAACATATAAACAACTACTGTATACAGGGTTATTTTCGACCCCGTTTTATTTTCGCCCTATAACACTTGCGGACAATTTTGCCCCGTTTTAAATTCGCTCTGTCAAAGTTTTGTTTAAGTACCTATACTGTATTATATGAATTTGCCCCATTTTAAATTCGCCCAAATGAGGCTAGGGCGAAAGGGGTGAAAATTTCCCTGTATATAGTATTTTGAATAAATTATTCTCATTTGCAAAGAAATAATTTGTTTATTTCAATGCAAAAAAAGATTTTATAAGCAATTAAACATATCGTGATAAATATCGTATCGTGGCTCAAATATCGTGATATGTATCGATATAGAAAAAGTTGTATCGTCCCAGCCCTATTTAAGTTATAAATGATTTATTTATATTTTGAACATGTTGAAAGACAGGTAAAAAAGTAAGTAGAAGTAGCTAAGTGTCAATAGGTCTAGATGCCCAAGTATAAAGGTAGAAAATATTCACTGGACTAAACATGGTTAATGCAAAGTAGAAATTTATTTGTAATGGGTTTCGGGTATGTTGGCGTGGTAGCTCTGTGGTTAGAGCACCTGAAACATAAGTGGGAAGTCCTGGGTTCAAGTCACATTCTTGCTGACATTTTTCCCCACCTGTTACATGTACAACTTACCCTATATGTCAAATCAGGGATATCAAAATGCATATTATATATAAGTTTTATATGCATTAAAGTTACAATAAAATTTGTAGTCTCTCAGTTTGTTATTCAAGATTTTTGAAACTTCATGAAAACTTAAACTGTTCACTTAAAATACACATTTCATTGATATGTTTTGCAGGTAGAAAGTAAATGGAGATGTCGACTGAAAACAATGATACCTCAGGCACTTCCGTTACAGAAGTAGCTCCAACTCCGGCAGTTAATAGCGGTGTATCCAGTTCTGAAACTCCAGCCAATGGTGTGGAACACACCGATGTCAGCTGGCCAACAGAGGTTTGTTTAATAGCTAAAACGGATGGTTCATTTTTGAATTTCCAATCTTGAATCTTGGAAGAAGTACACTATTTTACCAAGCAGACAAAATTTTGTTAGTAAAGTTGGACAATTCTGAATTTTGTTCTGAATATTTTTCTGTTTTCTTCTAACACATATATTTTGAGATGCATCAATTAGGATTTGTATATTTTTTGTTGTTACTTTGAGATGCATTAATTAGGATTTGTATATATTTTGTTGTTTACCCATTCAGATTTAACTTTAAAAGGTAAATACAGAAAATAGGCTGTGACTCTTCCCAAAATTGTCCTTATAACGATTAACGCCTGCATTTTCTCTTCCAGGATAAGAATCCTTTCAGTGGGTTTTCCGAGGAGCATTTGAGCAAACTAGACGAGTTTCTTTCTTCAGAAGAGGCCAAGAAAATCTTGCAGCAGACATCTGAGGGTGATTTCTCGAGCACGATGGCTCAGCTGGAAACCGCCCCGCCATCCACTACAGCAGAGGTCCTGGGAGAGGATCTACTAAAAATGCTGGATGTAAGGAGGAAATTGTTTATAGTTCATACACTGAAAACTTTAATGATTCATTGTTATTTATTGAGGTTACTGAGTTACTGAGGCCCTTTTCAATATTTTCAGAAGGAATTCTACTAAAATTATGTTCTATTTTACTTGTTATTTTTTTTTATAACATTTGAAGAAATGTTTTTTGCAGTAAACTTTAAAAATGCAATTTTCACAAAGAATCAATAAAACAAAAAGTGTATTACATCTTGCCTTCATTACAGTTTGATAAATGATAACTAAGTTATATGCTGTTTTTCAAAAACAGAATGGAAACACACATTCAACTAATTTGGATCATCCTTATTGTGTGAAAGTGTCCAAGCCGAATATTGCAAATGCTGTGACAACTAACTCTAAAGTAGTAGTTGTACCCAATCCTGGAGTTCAGTCATCAGTGGTGCCACCTCTCACTGTTGAAGCCACAAACACAAGCACCACCCCAACCACCTCCCCAAGGAAATCAGCGAGAATTTCTCTTCGTCGAGACCCAGAGGGAGAGTCAAAGGAGGAGAGTGAGGCAGAGTCTTCTACTACTGGCTTCGTAGGAGCAGTGCATCCTGGGATTGTTCAGCCTGGATTTGTGGGAGCAGTGCATCCTGGGATAGTTCACCCTGAACATGCTGGTGTAGGAAGAGGAAGGGGACGGGGCAGGAGGAGTCTAATACCTGAAGACACACCCACTAATATTAGGTACACGAGGAGCTATTCAATTTTTATATTTAAAAAAATGGCATTATTTATTCAAAGCTGTTGTTGTATGTCTCAAGAGTTTTATTTGGGGATACAAAAGACAAAAAACTTAAGATGTTGAAAATTGATCCTTTCTGTATAACTTGCAGGAGATCTAGTCGAGTGAGTGATAAGGAACAGAGGGACTTAGCAGAGAAGATCAGACAGGAGAATCTCCTACAGGAAAAGGCAGCCTTAGAGGCACTGAGGAAACAAGAGGAACCAGAGGAAGAGACCGTTAAGGTTTAAAACATTAACTTTTAGTGATATATAATTAGAGTAATACATGGAGTTTATGCCAGTTTTATTTCAGGCTGTTTTGAAAGTAAGTGATAACTTAAAATCTGTTTTTGACATAATTATCCAGATTTCATATCTGACTTTCATTTTTGTTCTGTAGACGGGGCCAAGAAGAGGAAGACCTCCAAAGACTGAGGCCTTAGACACCTCAGAATCAGCACCTCGAGGCATTAAAGCCTCAGTAGCCAAGAATAAGAGGGTGGGTACATGTATAAACTTCACTGTACATTATAACTTGCCTTTATATCTAAATTATAGCTTAACTGTCACAGACATAAAGTGTGTCTGTAATTCTAATAATAAAGTAAATCTGAATGTGAAAGTCAGTGTTTTATAAGTGTTGGTTGCCTTTATTTGTAGGGGAGGAAATCCCAGCAAGAATCTCAGAATGAAGAGGAGAGCAGTGAAGATGAAAGCATCACTCCTAAAGTAAATAATTTTGTTACCAAAAAAATCCATAGAATTTAGCTAGAAGGATTTATGTATAGATGTATCTTGCAAAGTAGAATATTTTTGTCTACTGTGATGCAGTCTTGGGATGCATCTTCAGAATTTCACATATATTGGAATCTTGCGAATTTCAGAGAACCTCTGCCAGGAATGCAAGGGGGAGAAAAGGGAAAAAGTCTGAAGAGGAGACAGAAGAATCTTCAGCAACAGACACAGATAAAAACAGCAAAGGAAAAGGGAAGAAACAGCAGGATTCTGAGGTGGAGGAACCTCCAGTCCGGAGAGGAAGAAGAGGGAAGAAGGACCAGGCGACAGACAGTGAAGCTGAGTCCCCGAAGGAGCAGGGGAAGAGGCTGACCAGGAGTGGGATGAGGGACCAGTCAGACACAGACAGCACTCCTCAGAAGGGGAAAAAAGGAAGGAAAAAGGGGAAAGGAAAGGAAGAGGAGGTGGAGGAAAAGGAAAGTCCTAAAGGAAAGAAAAAAGGAAAAGGGAAAATGAAGGAAGAAGATTCTTCAGAGAGTGAGGATGATGTGCCTTTGAAGGATATTAAAAAGAATAAAGGAAGCCCGAGTGAAAAGTCGCCCAAAAAGAAAGGGAAAGGACAGGGTGAGGAGGAGAGTGATGAGAAATCAGACTCGGTAAAAACCTCAGTCCCACAAACTCCAGGGAAGAAACTAGCTCAAGATAAAGACTCTGAGGATTCCCCAAGGAGTATTTTTAAAATGTTTGAAAGTGGATTAATTCAAGAGGGACAACAGGAGACTGTTGAAGTTTCCCAGCCTGTTGTTTCCTCTCTTGTGACAGAGGTGTTGGAACTGCCCATTACCACTGGTAAAAAATCAGAACAAAGTGGAGACCAAACACCTGCAGATGTGGACGCAGCAGGAACAAGTGATCAAACGAATGCGAATGATTCTGGGGAATCAGAACAGCTCACATTGGAAGTCGAAGCCAAAGTAGAGGAAGTTAATTATGAGGATTTTATAACATCTATGGGAGAACCCAAAGTTACTGCCAAGAAGGAGACAGCAGACAGTGAGACAAAACCTAAGCCTGTGAAAAAGAAACCGCGGAAATCAGAGGAAGTCAAGGTAGATCAGAGCATGTTAGATTTGTTCAAACCTGACTTGGATGTGTCCAGCAAAAGAAAGGGCAGTGTGAGTGGGAAAAAAGAGCTGCCTTCAGCTACAGAAACAGCTAAATCAGGGGAAAAGACAAGTGACGCTAAGAGAAAACTGTCGGTTTCTGATAAAGGTTCAAGTCATAAATCTGCAGATACTGGAAAACCCAAGAAAGACACTGGAACAGAGAAGAATCATAAAGATTCTAAAGACACGGCAATAGAGAAGAGTCGCAAAGATTCTGAAAAGGAAACATCATCTCATGAAAGAATTCGCAGAGATTCTGAAAAGGAAAAGATTAAAAGGGATGTGAAGAAAAGTAGTACTCATGTTAAAAAAGAGAAAGATAAAAGTGAAAGTGGTGATAAAAAAGACAGTAAAGATGTTAAGGTAGGTAAAGTGGATAAGAAGGAAAAATCTGACAAAGAATCTAAAACAGCAGAAAAGAGTGCCATAAAGAGTGAAAGTTCAGAAACAAGTGAAGACACAGAGAAACAAAAACAAGTGAAAATAGACACAAAAGAAGAGAAAGTTATAAAAGAGGGTGAAAAACTGACAGTGAAGGATTCAGATGTAAAGAAAACAAAGGATGAAAGTGCTGATGTTGAGGAAAAAGACTCAATGAAAAGTAAATCATCTCTTAGTGAAAACAAAGAAGAAACACAAGGAGAAAATGAATCTCTTCCTGATGATAAAGCAATTGATAAAAAGGATACAGACACTGATCAGGAGAAAAAAGTCACTGAGGGAAAAATAACACAAACAGAGGAAGTGTCTGAAAGTGTGGAGAAGACAGAGGAAACTAAAACACCACCCAGTGAAGATGTGGAGGCTTCTCCTGGTGGGCGGGCTCAGAGGAAGGCGAAGCTGAAATTCCTCAGGGAAAAGCTGCCTGAAATGACTGAGAAAGAGAAAAGACCAATCAAAAAGAAGCAAGTCAAGGAGAAAAAGCCAGCCGAAGAGAAAGAGAAGGAGGTGGACAGTGGTAATATTTTATTTTTAGTTTATCCATGTAAAAATTATAAGGAATGTTAGAAATGTTGAAGTTCAGCTGGATTTTATTTCTTGGTTTACAGTGATAGCTTGCAATGAAGGATAACTCTGATTAAAACAGTTATCTTAGTGTTTTCCTTAAGAACCGGCAACCGGCCAAATTGACCGCTTCAACTGACAAAAATGCCGCTTTGAAATAATTTTTCTTTTGTAAGGTCCACAGAGATTTTAATCATAAACCTCAGCCCCTAGCCTGTTACAACTGATTTCTTACCCTTTACTTTGAAATAAAGGGAAAACACTGTTATCTTAATGAATTTTCTCAAGGTCAACCATTTTACATATACATATTAAGGGGGGACCTATGTCCGAAAAGTCTTTGTGTGAAATTTTCAAAACTTTGACATTTCTTTCCTGACCACCTTCTCTTAATTTTTAGGTATTAAAAACAATACCTTTATATGCTTATTTTTACACAAGAGCACGTGCAAAAACAGTGTGAAATGCTAAAAATAGGTTATTTTAGACATTATTGTTTTACCCCAAATATCCGCTAAAAAGAACCAAAAATGTCAAATTACATTCGAAATCAACATGTTTTTAATTTATATCACTTGTATCTTTAAAATGAAGGCAAATTCATTGAAATTCATCCCGCATGAAAAATTATAATGGAACAAAATGTAAGTATCACCCCGTTTTTCTTGTCGTATTTTTTACAATTCCGACATGCATAACAGGTAATATCTTAAATATATCTTATATATATATTATATAAATTAATATCTTTTGTGTGAAAATGTAATTCATATTTTTTGAAAGAAATTATTTATTTCTTTATTTTAACAAAGAGAAAAGTATACCTTTATGATAAAATAAACGATAAAAAATGACGTTTTCTTTTATTTTCGTACTCTTGTGTCATAAATATTGACCTTTCTGCACTAAAAAAAAGGGTAAGTAAGCACTGACAAACATCTGAATATAAAACTGTTTTGCGAAAAACGAGTATTTTGTTTTGATTAAAAACAATTTAAACAGATAAATTATTTTCTTCTTCATTAAAATCATTCTGCCCCCCCCCCCCATTTCCCCGTCAACAACCAACACCTATTAGAACCTAGGAATGATTTTATACAATAAAAACTAGATGTACTATAAATCAATAAGCAAATATAGGTACAAGTACATTTCTTATTTTTTTTTCTTACGGGTGAAACACAATAAAGGGGACAGTAAGGTTGTGCTTGAGGGTAAAAAATTAATATCTTTATTTTGGCCCAAATTTTTTTTCTCTAAAAAGTAGATTATCTCGATGATCTGAATCATAAATGGTTTTGTGAAATTCACATTAGAACTTTGTTTTTTTACAAGCTGGTAATAACCTCATTTACACAGGTTACGGACACTACAAGTGTTGTTGTTTTTTAAATAAATATTGAAAACTGTTTATAAACTTTAATTTTTTCAACTGCTCACAAACAAACAACATATAAAAATACAAAATATGGACAAAAGTTGTACTAAAAAAGGTTGCATTATACTTTAAAATGAAAACAGTTCTTACTTCGTTCATTTTTGTTTAAAATGGTAGTATTTCAATTTATGTGAACTCTTTAAAACCAATATAAATAAAGAAAGAACTATTTATAAATTAAAATTTTATGCCTTTTTTGAAATATAAATACTTCCATTAAAATAGGAAATATCATTTTTATTATTTTCTAAAATAATTTGATAGCTTCATTAAGTTACGGACAATACAAGACCCAAATATATATGATTGGCTTTTGGTTTGTGGTAAAAAAAAAAACATTTTATAAACTTCTGAACTATTAGAAATCAGATTTAAATGATTATCAAATACAAAATGCATGAAAATTAGATTTTGTTTTAAGTAAAAACAATTCACTCGCAGAACTAATGCCAATAGTAAAAAAAAATCCAGTTTAAGAAATCCTGAAACTTCCTTTTTTCACATAACTATATAACTGAAGTGCAGAAGAAAAGTTCTCTAATTCATTAAAGTTTTATGAAAACTATTTAGAATATAGGTACACTGATCAACGAAGTCAATTAACCAAATTTAAGGGTTACGGACACTACACAATACTTAAATTTTTCACAGGCTTGAGGATGAAGTTTTTGTTTTTCAGCCCTTTTCCTAACTTTTTTCAGGATTTTATTTGTCGTTTCTGTTTCTCCCGATTTTTTTTATTCTTCAGATCTCAACTTCATCTGATAAAAGCATACCATAACCAAACGAATATACTTTGAATAAATATATACACATGTAACTTTATACAGGTGTAGCTCACTTATATTTCTTTAATTTATTTTTTTATTCTATGAAGCATTGTATTTTTCTTCAAACAGTTACAATAATTTATCTGAAATTGGTGTAATTTTAGTTGTTTTCTTTTTTGAATTTTTTTGTAGTGTCCGTAACCAAATTACTTCCCTGCTGTTTAACATTTTGAATGCAAATTTACTTGCATTTAACACATTTTAAGATATTACCTAATAAGCAACTAGACAATTGAAGCAATATATTACAAGAAATATGGATTATGTAACTCATGATAATAATTTTTAGCTATTTTTATGTCATTTTAGGTGTCCAGTCATTATCTTAAGTACTAGCAGTCAAGAAAAAACCACCTAATCTAAAAGAATTCCAGCCAATAAACACCTTTTTATCTCTAAATTTAAGAATACACCGGTTCAAAAATTTATCTGTAAATTTTATGGAGAAAAAAATAAAGATATTCATTTTTCAACTTTTGGGTTACGGACACTACACTATACAAGTTATTTAAAATAGGATGAAACTTAACCTTAAATAGAGGAATTCTAACAAGATTTTCTTAAATGTAACACCAGTTGACTTAAACAATGAAAAAGTAATGAAATGATATTTGACTTAAATCCTAGGATGTCAATAGCATCTGCCAATATCAAGGTGATGCAACACCAAGGATCTTGTGTATGGAATGGTGCAATCTGGGTTTCCCATTAGTTGCATTATCAAAATGAGGGAGAAAATAAAGTACATTGATTAACTTGTTAAACAAACCTCTGACCTTTGTGAATACACTAGCATTAGTGTTTTAACACAGCCTGTTTCGAACTGCCTCAAGTACAGGTTACGGACACTACAGGATTTCGTAGTGTCCGTAACCACATTTGTGATCATAACAGAGAAACAGTGGTGATGATCAGGAAAATTACAACACGTATCAGCATCTATATAAAATGCCTCTCTAGGAAATTTGTTAAGATATTTATAGAGCCTTCCAATTTCACAGAATTTAAGTGGTTACGGACACTACAGTTTTTTGTATAAACTTAATTTTCCACATTAAAACATGAAGTTTCTTTACAATGGTTACATAACCCAATTTTTTTTCTGTAAGTAACAGAGCATTAATACTGTGTTTTTAGACAGAAATCTGAAAAATTGAATAATATGGACATTATCTTTATTTGGCATAATGAGAGGGGTACAATTATGTGAAAAATGTATAACATTGCACCCCTGTTACAATTTTCTTCATATCTTCAAAAGTTGTTATTCAATTCTGAAAATTCAAGCACCAAAATAACTTGTAAAATAAATTCTAAAGTCTGATAATGATCATTGTCATGAAAATATATGATATTTAACAATTATTTCAATTGAAAAATGCTGTAATTTCAAAGCGCAACCGCATAACGCTGAAAAATAGTCATTTTTGGGGTACATTTTTTGTATTTACTTAAATTCTGTTAAGGCTAGATCAACAAAATTTTGCACACAAGTCCTTTATAAGTATTCCTATAAATGAATTACAATAAATTGCAAGTATTATAAAGAAAATAACATTTCTTAAAATCGTGTATAACAATGTGGTATTCTAAATGCGCCCTATATTGTGTTTCACCCGTTAGTTTTACCTAGAAAATACAAATAATGGTAATCATAATATTTAACATATTTCCCTGATTTAATCCGCTTTCTTTGCTGAATTTTATCTCTTTTTTGCACTATAATATCAGCATATTATCGAAGTATTTTTTCACAACTGAAATTGCTATGAATTATCAACCAAAGGAAGAGAATTCTAATATTAACAAACTCCATAAATCAAATAAACTGTTATTAATGATGAATAAATTTTCTTTTAGTAAATTGTGTATGTTATTGATTATTAACAATGTTATGCCTATATCACAGTTGCATAAGTCAACAGGTAAAAACAAACGTCACTATGGTGACGTCACATAACGCTGCCTTGACGTAGAACGACATAGGTCCCCCCTTAAATTTACTTAAAGAACATGCATTAATGTTTAGTTATTTCACTTTAAAATGCATTGACCAATGCAGATTTGAATCTCATTTTCATCTGAGTCTTGCATTTGAAATAGTTATTATTGCAGAAAAAGTTTTTCTCAGATATTGTAATATTTATGTACTTGTTTATTTTTAGATGACAGTGATGAGTTAAGCTTTGAGGATGATGAGAATGACTCGGATTATGAGGCCCCAGGAGAAAAATACTGCATCTGTAAACAGCCCTATGGCAAGAGGTAAGCAGATAAACAAGGATGTTCCTTAATATCTGCATTCTTTGGACATATTTATGATATGTTGATGCTTGTTTTCTTTGTACAGGTTTATGATCTGTTGTGACACCTGTGAGAACTGGTACCATGGTTCCTGTGTTGGCATCACTAAAGCTCAGGGGAAAGAGATGGAGAAGAATAATGAAGAGTATCTGTGTCCTCCTTGTAAAGGTCAGAAACAATGATACTGTATCTAGTTATATCATTACGAAAAAGTAGGTCCTCTGAAACATTTCACTGTAACATTTACAAGGAACTTGAAGTAGGAAAAGTAACTTTTATTATGTTAAAGGCTTAGAGTACTGACGTAAATCTTTAATCTGTTAGCAACCACTTCTATCAATGCACTAATACCATGTTTAAAACCCTCATGTGTACAATGTATTTTCATGGAAACTATATGAGTATAATAATTGTTATACTTTATGAAACAGAAAAGCAGGCTGGTGGCAAGGAAGAATCTGCTCAGCCTGCAGACAGCACAGTGTCCAGTGATAAAGAGGAGAAACACAAGAAAGGAACCAAAGAGGAGAGACCGGGAAGTGGGGAGAAGAGGAAGGAAGGAGATCCTGAGAGACACAGGAAGGGGGAGATGGCAGGAAGGAGGGACTCGGACAGGTCTGATGAGGGGAAAGGCAAGAGGAAGGCGGAGCATCACACCGAGTCCCCCCTCAAAAAACTCAAGGAGGTAAAAGTAATCACTCGAATCATCAATGTTACCCTTATCCAGGATTTTACATCCCCATGAGAATTTTCGAGGGTCACCAATATCCACAAATTTACATCCCCATGAACAATGAATTTATTGACATATTTATTCTTTGAACCTTCTGTAAATACAAGTTGCCTATGATAATATGTCCCCACAAACCAACAAAACTTTCCTTGCCCATGAACACTGACCCAAAGGCCTCAAATTAAAATCATTAACGGTTAGAAAAGAATGAAAAAAAAATTATGCCAGTAAATTGTTTTAAAAAAATTTCTATTTTAAAACATATATGAGAAACAAAAGTCAAAATAAGAACTGCTTGACAGGCCAAGTCACTTTGCTAGTTTTACAACTGTAGAAATGAATGCTCATTTACTCCACAGGATAAGCTTGAGGGAAGCAAGTCCTCCACTCATGTACGGCCTAGTGATGAGAAACGCAGGCATTCCCTGGATTCCAAGTCTCACTCCAAGATAACACCCACAAAAGAGAGATCTCACTCCACTTCAAAAGACAGAAATCACGGGGAGAAAAAGTCTGAGTCAGTGAAGAAGGTATGGTCATTTATATGTTGATGTGTTTTTATTGCCTAAGAGAGAAGAAAATTTTCATTTTTCACAGTTGTCTCCTCTGCAATAATCAGTATATATTAAAAATATATATAGTTGGAAATAAGTTGTGTAATTTATTTGAGTTCCAGCATAGTTTCTGACAAATGTTATTATTTCTAATAGTTTTGAAATACAATTTAAATATTTAAAAAGTTCATTATGATTTAAAAAACCCTTCATACTTTTGTTACAGGACATTGCAGCTCAGAGATGTGTGAATACTCAGTGTAACAAGTATGCCAAGAGAGAGTCTGTTTACTGTGGTACGGATTGTATACATCAGCACGCCAAAGACTCTCTGAGAGCACTCAATAGATATGACGCAAAGCGGGGAAAAACTGTAAGTAATAAAACCAATTAATATGAAGTACATGGTTTGTATTAGATATGTTTATTTGAAAAGTCAAGCTGAAGTTTCCTGAGAAGATAAAAAAAATATTTTCGGAATTCTCACTGAGGTGTGAGATATATAATGAAAATATTATTTGTCAAAAAATTCTGTTCCCAACAGATTTTAATAAAATCTGTTGATATTGTACATCATGGAGATGTGAGACTTATAAGTAGATATTTTATTTTTCTAAGATTTCCATTCCCAATAGATTTATTATTCCTGGTACTATTTAACAGCACGGTCCCCTCTGGCGTGTTCCTGTTAGGGAGAGGAAGACAGGGAGGGTGTACACTGGTACTAACGCTCCACTGGAGAGTGTACTCATCACCTGGCTCCTACAACACCCCACGTTTGAAGTGATCCACCCCAAAAGCTCAGCCAGTGGAGGTAAGAACTCATCAGCTGTGTAGAACAATCTAACATTAGTATTAGCACCTAAAACTATGTTGCTGAGTAAATGTTTTACTAAGATTTATCTCTCTGAAGTACTTGTAATCAGGTCTTTTGATATACTGGAAAACAGAAAAAAAATTGGTTAAAGGGGCATTATTCAGATTATCAGACTTCTTAAAAAAATATTTATTTTATATCTGTTAAACTGCTTTGTCATTTATTCTTTCACAGGTCATGGTAAATCCAAAGATCATCATAAAGAGAAATCCAAGCATCAGAAGTCCCCCGCTCACCATGACAGCAAGGATAAACACCACAGCAGTAAAGACAAGCACGGTGACAGTAAAGACAGACCCAGTCACAGTGGTCCAGCCCTGGATAAGGTGTCTGAGGAGGCTAAAGGCAAGAAAGAGGACGGGCCCGATGTCGTCCGTCTCAATGTCAGGAAGTCACTCAGAGACGCACTATTAAACAGGTGAAGAGAATATGTTAGGACTTAAAAAGAATCAATTTTCCAGAAAATTTTTACCTCTCATTTTACCCAGACTTTACATGTATCGCTTAGTTACCTTTTTAAGGAGTGGCATATTTGTGTGAATCCTTGCCAGAAGTAATTTATTTTAATTTAATCAAAGATCCAGCATTCTAACTTACGTCTTTGAAAGTTCAAAGATTTAAAAATTTATAAGCACAAAAGAGTGAGAAAGTCAGTTCCCACTCCTTTTTAGACTGGTAACATTGCCCTGCTAAATTACCAGTACATGTAATTTCATTTCAACAATGTTAACCTTAAAGATTTGCTTATATTTTCTGTGAATTCTGGATACTTGTATTACATTTTTAGCACAGATAATAAATGAGTTATAATTCAAAACCAATTCTTGTTTGCTAATGCAGGGCTGAGGGAGCTGATGACGTGATGTTGTCGACTATTGAGATTCGAACCATCGCGCTGAAGATAGAGGAGGAGCTGTTTGCTGTGTTTCAGGAGACAAGTCACAAGTACAAGGCCAAATACAGGAGCCTCATCTTCAACATCAAGGACTCAAGGAACCAGGTGACCATAGATCTAAAGACCATTACTGTCAATGATTCTGCTCATTATGTAGAATATGCATTTACAGAATCGATGACTGGAGGTATTTTTGTAGGGTATATGTTTTTAGAAGAATATAGTTGTATAGCACATGAAAGGATTTTTTTTTTATAGAATTAGATATAAAAGAAAAGAGTTTAACCTGTATAATGTAGATTATCAATTGTTCAATGCACATTTTTGCTTGATAGTTATTATTGAGAAATTTTTTCACTTGTTTAATTATTATTAAACACAATCTTTAATAAAATAGATCTATAAATTGACAATAAAATATTTGCGAAGGGAAAATACTAAATGTATTATATTTAGTGTGTATGATATTTGGCGGAAATTAATTTTTGAACAAGTTAGCGTAGATTTGATTTAGTGCATTTCTTATTGTTCGTATTTATGTATATATATTGAAGACATTTAGCGTGTATTTGAATTAGCAGGAGTTCTTCTCCACCAAAGCTGCTAAAAAGAATACATAGCCAAATGTAATACATTTACAGTAAAGTTTTCAAACATAAAAGACAATTTACTTTAATTAATGAGCACCCACTTGTAAAATATACATGTATAATGCTTTCTCGCTAATTTCCATGTGTATAACAATAGAATAAGTTTTATGGGTATTTACTTCATGTACAGTATTTTGAACAGAGATATAGAAATGATGTAAGGTACAAAACAGTCAAGTTACATTATTGTTTAAAAATAATCTGTTCTGTTTATTGCAGGGTTTGTTCCGTAAGATCCTGAATGGGCACATAAAGCCCAGTGAATTGGTAAAAATGACTCCTGATGAGCTGGCATCCACCAAAGCTGCTAAAAAGAATACATAGCCAAATGTAATACATTTACAGTAAAGTTTTCAAACAAAAAAAACAATTTACTGTAATTAATGAGAACCCACATATATAATGTATCAGACCTGTTTCAGTCCCTTACTGTCCATCACAAAAACTTTAAGCTTGCCCATAACTTTTAATTGAGAGGAGCTATGGCTTTCATATTTCACATGTGTATTCCTTTTGACAAGACCTTTCTTTGGGTACCACCAAATTTGACCTTTTGACCTTGACTTTGGAGTTTGACCCACTTTAACACAGAAATTTCAAACTTTTACTTCTAACTTTTGAATGTAAGGTACTAGGACTTTAATATTTCACAAATGTATTGTTTGTTGTAAGATTTCATTGGATACCAACATCCTTGACCTTTTGACCTTGACCTTGGAGATTTTCGTATCTATGAAAAAACTTTAACCTTGGCTATAACTTTTGAACAATAAATACTCCATGGCTGTCATACTTCACATTTATAATTCTGAAGAAAAGATCTTTCATTGGATATGAATAACTATTTACCCTTTGACCTTGACCTTGGAGTTTCAAATACTTTTTAAAAACTTTAACCTTGGTCACAACTTTAAAACAGTAGATAATAGGACTTTTATATTTCACAAATGTATTCCTTGTTGCAGACATTTCATTGGATACCAACAACCTTGACCTTTTGACCTTGACCTTGGAGATTTACTTACTTATGTAAAACTTTAGCCATGACCATAACTTTTATGAGGGCTATGGCTTACTTCACATATGTAATTTTTTTAAGAAGACCTTTCATTGGATACCAACAACTTTTACCCTTTGACCTTGACATTGGAGTTTTATCTACTTTAAAAAAAAATTTAACTTTGGTCACAACTTTTGAACGGTAGATACTAAGACTTTTATATTTCAAATATGTATTCTTTGTGACAAGTCCTTCATTGGATATCAACAACTTTTACCTTTTGACCTTGACCTTAAAGATTTACGTACTTATGTAAAAACTTTAACCTTGACCACAACTTTTGAACGATTAGGGCTAGGGCTTTTTTGCTTCGCATATGTAATCCTTGTGAGAAAACCTTTCATCAACAAATTTGACCCTTTGATCTTTACCTTGGAGTTGACCTACTTTTAAAAAACGTTAACTTTGGCCATAACTTTTTATGTAAGGATTTTCTCCTTCAAAAAAATCAACTTCAATGATAATTTCTATGAAATGACATATGATAGGATGTTTATATTAAACAATATGTCATAAAAAATAACATCTCACCAACAAAGACACCGAAAGCGGGGGACCACAATTCTTTGAATTTGCTTGTTTGATGTCATTATATATGTTATCCAAATTTGGTAGAAATATTTTAACAATAAATCCAAATGATTTGTATTAAATTTTTTTAAATGCCACGATTTTTAGCTCACCTCGATGAAGTCAAGATGAGCTTATGCTATACCCTCGGCGTTGGCGTCGGTGTTAGCGTCGGCATCACGGTTAAAGTTTTAGGAGCAGGTCCATTCCCAAGTAACTGTAGGCCCTACCCGGACCAAACTTGCATGGATGATGCATCTAGGGATGGACAGTACCAGACTTGCTTCGGATGCTGGATCTGACCTACATTCTCCAGATGAGTGACCAGGTCAAAGTTTTTGGAGCAGATCCATTCCCAAGTAACTATAGGCCCTACCCGGACCAAACTTGCATGGATGATGCATCTAGGGATGGACATTACCAGACGTGATTCAGGTGCTGGAACTGACCTACATTTTCCAGATGAGTGACCAGGTTAAAGTTTTTTGAGCAGGTCCATTCTTAATAAACTATAAGGCCTACTCGGACCAAACTTGCATGGATGATGCATCTAGGGATGGACACTACCTGACTTGCTTCGGATTCTGGATCTGACCTACAATTTCCAGATGAGTGACCAGGTTGAAGTTTTTGGAGTAGGTCTATTCCCAAGTAACTATAAGCCCTACCAAGAGCAAACTTGCATGGATGATGCATCTAGGGATGGACATTACCAGAATTCCTTTGGATGCTGGATCTGACCTTCATTTTCCAGATGAGTGACCAGGTTAAAGTTTTTCGAGCAGGTCCATTCTTAATTAACTATAAGGCCTACACAGACCAAACTTGCATGGATGATGCATCTAGGGATGGACACTACCAGTCTTGATTCGGATGCTGGATCTGACCTATATTTTCCAGATGAGTGACCAGGTTAAAGTTTTTGGAACAGAATAATCCCCATTGAACTTAAAGACCTATTTAAACTGAACTTGCTTGAATATTGTTGTCAGGATAAATACTAACTGTTAAGAAAATATGATGTGAGATTTGCATTACTTAAACTGATAACATTCGTTGAGGTGAGCTTCATAATCTTTGATTACCTATGTTTTCAAAACTTATCCAGACTTTAAAAATGGAAAAATTTGATCACGGAGCAGGTAAAAATTTAGTAAGTTACAAACAATAAACTAAATAATGTTCTGCAGTCATATTCTCTGTAAAATGGAGTACAACTGAAAAACAACCTAAAAATTTTAATTTAGAATTGTCACATCGATTCGTATTCCAAATTATGGCTCAATATTTTGCTTTGTTTAAAAGAAATCAGCCTGAGAAGATAGGTAGTCCTCATTAAAATGGTAAAAACGATGACGTTTTAGAACGTCACGGAGCAGCTGATAGCGATGCAATTTTGTCTTTTACTGAGGAAAAATCCTGAATAAACTAAAAAAAAAGAATTGAAAGAATCAAAAAAATATGTCACAAGCGAGCTGTGCATGTGTGTACAAAAAGTACATACAGTATTTGAGTAACAGGGACTTTTTATCAGATGAGGACAATCTGTGAAGAAAAGGTTTAACTGTAAAAATCTTAACAAAAACTTGAAAAAGTTGGAATGTCAAGGAAAGACATAGGCACTTTAGAGTCGCTTACCCTGTGAAAGCCGAGTTAACTAATAAAAGAAATTAAAATCCTAACAAAGGAAATTTTACAACGAGAGCAATTCTTAAAAATTAAATGTCAAGTATTAGAAAAAGGATTTAATGAGTGAGTATTGAAATATACTTTGTGAAATATATAGGAATAGTATATTTTAGAAATTTTTGACACTGTATATTTTGACGTTACATTGCCGTGAAGTGTGCTCCACGGGTACAAAACGTTGATTTTAAAATGAAGTAAATTGATCTCTGTTAAATCGAACGGAATGAAACTTCACACATCAGTAAAACAAATATTTTTACATATTATATTGTGCTTATTTTAAATTTGTAGTGAATAATATAACGAAGATTGACATCCTCAACGAACTTTTCGAGCAACCTTCATATATGAAAATTCCACTTGCTATGATTGCCCCATTTTGGATCCTTTGCTGCATGAAATTTCAAAGTTTCTTTTGTTTTCAGTTGATTTGATATTACTGAAATAATGATAAAAGTTAATTCTAATGTATCTTAAAAGTGTACACTTAAAAATGTATTGACTGTTTAAATAATTTACAAATCACCTTTATTGTACATTTATATAAGAAGTGACTGCATTGCATGAAATTTAAATATTAGTTCATGTATAATTCCTCTGCTGAAAGATGGCTGAAATATTGCCTACTTGGCTTAAAACAACAACAATCAATCAATCATGTATGATTCCTAAAGAGAATTTGGACAGTAATTATATCTGTTTAAGAAATTTTGGTTTAATTAACAGCAACTTGAGATGATTGAGGCCGTGGAGAAAGAGCACATGATGGAGGGACAACACATCGTGAAGAAAACACACAAAGGCGAGATTGATATGGACGAAGATCTCAGCACACTGGAGGTAAAAATAGAGTACATCTTTAGTCACATGTAAAGGCCACACTCATATAAGGAAGTCTCTCTTCCCCCAAGTTGTCAGGGTTTTTTTTTTTTTAGGAAAAAAACAGGTCCTATGGATAAAATGCACCAATGCACATGCACATTCTTATTTTAACAGCACAAGTATTGTGAAGAAAGTGTTTGATGAAAAAATCATAAAAATTTATTTCATTTCAAAAACAAAAGCAAATTCAGTTTACATGTATGCTACATAAACATGTATTTATTAAAAAGTTTATTTTGTATTTCAATAGTTCTTTAATTATATTTTTAGTTATTAGTTGAAGTACCTATAAAATATATTTTTCCCCAATGCATATTAAAATATTTTGCTGACAGTGCATTCCAAGCACATGTTTGTACATGTACAGGTTACATAAACAAATTAGTCCAAAGGTAATAAGTGTCACACATATAATTGATAGTTGATAACAGGTATTTTAACAAGGTAAGTACACATTTATTGTTAAATAGATTTTATTGATTATGAATGTGTTGTTTAAAATGGCAGTTATATTGAAATAACCTTGGCGGAATTTGTTGCACAAATACGACCTTGATAAGGTTCAATTGGAGTTTAAAAATGTTGGCAATGATTTTAACCAGATAAGAAAAAAGTTTGAAAAAAGGTTTTGGAAGAAAATATTTACTGTATAGCAGGTTATTTTGGCTTATTTTAGCGTTTTGGTTTTAACCTGCTAAAATTTTAATCACAAAAATAATATTCTTCTAAGTGTTCTTTTGCAACGTGTTAAAATCATATTTCTGCTAAAATTAATTACAACAAAATTGTTGGTACATGTATACCTTTTAGCTAGCTGAATGCCAAATTTTACACATAGCTGTCAAGAAAACCTGCTGTATGGTATTTATTTTTTAATTTCAAATGATGAAAAATGTATATATTTTTAAAAAGTATATTTATGCCCCGCCATGAATATGGCCGGGGCATATAGTGTTTGTCATGTCCGTCTTCCGTCCTTCCGTCACACTTTGCATTTAGCTCTGTTCAAAGCTAAGTTTCAAAGAAACTATCCAAGATATTTTCATCAAACTTCATATGCTGATAGATATTGATGATAGCTATGCAACTGCATCAACATTTTTTGACCTTGACCTTTCCTTTGACCTTGACCTCACTTTTCTTAAATTAGTGTTTAGCTCAGTTTTAAACATACCATTCAAGATGGTGTTATCAAACTTCACATGTTGATACAAACTTGCACAGATGATGCATCTAGGGATGAACACTACAAGACATGCTTCGGATGTTGGATATTTAACCTACATTTTCCAGATGAGTGACCAGGTTAAAGTTTTTGGAGCAGGTTCATTCCTAAGGAACTAGAAGACCTACTTGGACCAAACTTGCATAGATGATGCATCTAAGGATGGACACTACCAGACTTGCTTCGGATGCTGGATCTGACCTACATTTTCCAGATGAGTGACCAGGTTAAAGTTTTTGGAGCAGGTCCATTTCCAATGAACTATAAGCCCTACCCAAACCAAACTTGCACGGATGATGCATTTAGGGATGGACACTACCAGACCTGCTTCGGATGCTGGATCTGACCTACATTTTCATTCCCAAGTAACTATAAGCCCTACCTGAACCAAACTTGCATTGATGATGCATCTAGGGATGGACACTACCAGACTTGCTTCGGATGCTGGATCTGACCTATATTTTCATTCCCAAGTAACTATAAGCCCTACCTGAACCAAACTTGCATGGATGATGCATCTAGGGATGGACACTACCAGACTTGCTTTGGATGCTGGATCTGATCTTTATTTTCATTCCCAAGCAACTATAAGCCCTACCTGAACCAAACTTGCATGGATGATGCAGCTAGGGATGGACACTACCAGACTTTCTTCGGATGCTGGATCTGACCTATATTTTCATTCCCCAGTAACTATAAGCAACTATGATGCATCTAGCCCTATGCCTATATTTTCATTCCCATTTAACTATAAGCCCTGCCTGAACCAAACTTTCATGGATGATGCAAATTTTACATTTTTATTCACATATAAACCAAACTTTTTATTAAATTTTCATGTTGCTTTACTAATATATCCTCGGCGGGGCATTCATGTCCTATGGACATATTTCTAGTTTTCTTACTGTTTGTGTACTTAAAAAAGCGGGCTTCATATTTTAGCGCTAATTCATGATTACGCCAACAACTCCATACCCAGTGAATGCATTAAATTTTGAATATGCCAATTTATGTACACCTACAGTATTTACAAAGGTAGTGAGGATCTACAGTAAACTTGTTTAGTACAAAAACAGATATTGCAAATCCATGGATATAGCAAATGTTATCTTGGATTCCCAGTTACAGTAAATAAATTTAATGAGTTCCCTATAGGATATATTAAAGTAATTTCATAGGTCCCAGTGACTTCATTATAACTGAGTTTTTACTGTATGTTATACATAACAATCATTTAAAAAATTGGGGAATATGCAATAAACTTACAATGTGTTATTAATGAAAATCAATCCTCATAGAGAGAAGAAAAAGATGTAGAAAGGGGGGGGGTTGAATTTACTTCCTATGCAGCCTATGCACCCCAACTTTTGAAGAATTTTCTGATCAAAGAGGAGCTTCATATAAACATGACTTTACAGTACATACTTGTACATCTCAGTTAACTACTAGTAATTCAGTCAAGACAGATTATTACATACACTGTACAGTACATCTAAGCACACTAGAGCTAAAGACAGGAACTCATTGCTTTTTAGGATTGATACCTGTACTTGGAATGTGTGTACTATATACAAATTTCTATTGATTTTCCTAGGATAAAGGAGTAGGGCGAGAGAAGAAGCATGATACCTCACAGGAAGAAGAGGCTAACACGGAAACCTCGGACGTCATCACCGACACCACCGGGCAACATAAACTTCACGTGTTTGACCTCAACTGTAAGATCTGTACGGGGAAGGTGGCACCACCGGTGGAGGAGACCACCCCGAAAAAGGAGGTGACCGTTGCCAAAAAAGTCGAGGACTCACCCAAGGTGAGGCATTAATTAGAAAAGTCAAGGAAATCTTTCTAGATTAATGGGTTTGCTTTGGTATAAGGGCAAATTAATTAATCTGACATAATGAATGAGGTATAATTATTTTCTGTAGCATAAGAGAGTTGGTTTTTATTGGGTTGGCAGGTTGTTGTTTCTTAATTAGCAAGATTGCAAGATTAGCAATGTACTCTAAGACTTTCTTTAGAATAAGTTTATTTAATTAGGTCAGCATCAAAAGAAATTTATTTAAAGTTGTACTCACTTATATTTAAACTATTACCACTGTATTTTTTATTCACAACCAGATATTGTTCTCTTATGTTATGACCTAGATCAGTAACATTTCTAATGTTATTTACATAGTGTAGGTTCAAAGCAAGGTATGAATTGTTAGGATATCATTTTAAAGTTAATATCAATTCTCAATAAACAGCCACCTTTTGTAATTAGGTCACCTGAGTTTACTGTTATCTGTTTTCGTCTGTGGCTGTGCGTCGTCTGTCGTGTGTTAACATTTAAACATTTTCAGCTTCTTTGAAACCACTAAACCAATTTCAACCAATATGGGCATAGAGCATCTACAGGTGAAGGGGACTTAAAATTTTGAATAACACTGCCCCTACCCTCTGGGGCCTGAGGGGTGGGTCAAAGGCCACTGAAATTAATGCAATCTTTAAAATTCTTCTTCGTTACTCCTGAACATCAAGCAGCCAAACTGTTGGCATGATTGAAATCAGCATTGAGCCTTCAACCAAAATTTTGAAATTCTTGGCCCCAGGGTCTGCAGGGGTTCTGGTGTTTAGGGCGGGGCTCTAATGATCATATAGTGAAAAATAATGCAATAATTCTTTGAAAATCTTCTCCTCTGTTCCTGGGTATTATGAAAACACACTAAATGCATAGTTATGATAAGGAAGGTTGCCTCTACCAAAATTGTGAAATTCATGGCCCCAGGGTCAGGGGTTCTGGTGTTAGGACGGGGCTTCATTGATCATATAGCGAAAATGCATTAATTATTTGAAAATCTCCTCCTCTGTTCCTTGATATTTAACCAATGAACAATGTACATGAGTATGATGAAGAGGGATGCTTCTTCCAATATTATGAATTTCATGGTCCTTGGGTCAGGGGTTCTGGTGTTAGGGTGAGGGTCTATTGAGTACATGTATATATGTATGGTGAAAATGCACTAATTCTTTGAAAATCTCCTTTGTTACTGGGTAATAAACTGATGATCTAAGTACAAAGTTATGATGAGCAAGCTTAAGGGTCCTTCTTCCAGAATTGTGAATTTCAAAGCCCTTGGGCAGGTTGTCTGGGTGGGGAGATTCTAATGATTATATACTGAAAATGAATTAATACTTTGAAATCTGCTTTTTGTGGGTATTGATCAAACATTTATAATGAGCAAGGGTGCCTTTTCCAAAATTGTGAAATGTGTGGCCCAAGGGTCAAGGGTTCCTTTGGGGTTGGGCACTACTGATTATATAGTGAAAATGCATATTTTCTTTGTTCCTCTGCTCTGTCTGGCTATTATTAAAGTAATCAAAGTAAGCATGCCCAGCATGTACATGTAGCTATAATGCGCAATGGTGCCTCTTTCAAAATTGTGAAATTCATGGCCTTTGGTTTAAAAGACGAACCAAATACGTTTGTTGGAAAGTTGTTACATGAGGTGACGTATAAGGCCCATGAACCTCTTGTTTAAAAATCAGGCAATATAATGAATTTGGTGATCATGGTGATGAACAAAATTGGTTTCATCTGTGAAACAGATTTTGTATCTCACAGAAGTAAGAAATAGAGTTACCGTTTTCGATATTAAAACATTTAATGCTTCTTCATTAGCTCTATTGTTAAGAGACCAGAAGATTTTATTTTATAATTTACAGAAATATAGTTTTAGAATTACATACACAATTTCAAAATAAATATATTTAATTGCACTAAAATCTGGACGTCTTACACTTAAAAAGTAATAAAAACATCCAGGGTTGATATTTTGTTCTATTGGCTGTAGTATTTAACAATTTTTAAATTTAAATCATTTTGTTGTTCCTCCTATTTCAAAACAGATTTTGCATCATGCAATCATGTCAATGGTTGAGCCAATATTATCATCATGAACTTTACATGTAACAACAACTACTGTTAAGATGAAGCCTTGATGTGTAATTATAAAGTGAACAAAAATACTAAATAACAGTTTATGATTAAGCAAATTATTTCTTATTTACAAGTATTATAATTTTTTTACCAAACTTTCCCCCATACAATGGTGATAATTTGCCCTTTAGTAACACCTGTGGGGTATATTGAGGTAACTGACACTTTGTAATGGGTGTTTTTTTGAAAACGCATGGTGAGTAACAGTATGCATATATAGCATTATTTGCATGGATGATACATCTTAGGATGCACACAAATGGACTTGCTCCGGATGCTGGATTCGACATACATTTTCCAGATAATGGACCTGGTAAAAGTTATGGGTGCAGGTCTGTTACCAAGAAACTATATGGCTTATATAAACCAAACTTGCACAAATGATGCATCAAGGGATGAAAACTCCCAGACAGAGACTTGCTTCAGATGCTGGATTTTAATTATGTTTTCATTATGAAGAACTAGTTTGAAGTTTTTATATAGGTCTATTCCAAAATATCAGATCAAAATTGCATAAATTTTGCATTTTTGGATGTTCACTTTTTGTTGGTTGTGTGACTTTGCCTTACTTAAAGACAACATTCATTGAGGTGAGCTCTGTAATCTCTGATTACCTGTGTTTGATAGAGTAATGCCCTTTGGACTTGGAAAAATTACAATTTGGGGGAGGGGGCATACTAGTAAGTGTTTTACAAACATCTCTTGTTCAATTTACTTCTTTGGACATGACTTCAGTTGTTATTTTCAAGATTTTTGACAAAAATTTGTTTGTATCATTTGTCCTTAAGTCTAAAAAAAATAAACATGACAAAAAGGAAGAATTTCTTTCACAAAGCAAAGAATTACAGTACAGGCAACGCAGATCCTGTATTTCCGGCGCCCCGGCGCAGTATAATCACAACGCGGTATTTGACCAGGTGAGACAGGTAAACCGCGTTCCCTCCACGGGAAATTCATCACCTACCTGTCCCCGCCGAGGTTAAATCATCATTTAATTACTGACAATTAGTATCGTAAACAAACGGGAGTTAATTATCTCCCTGAATTGTAATTTGCAAATTTTCCCAGTAACAATAAAAATTAATGACACTGTATGTTTATTAATTTTTATTTATTTTGCTATGATGAATAGAAATTAAACTAAGAAAAAATATGTTTATTTTTGTTTCTATTTATCAATAATAATTTGAATTAGAATTGAAAATTTTAATAAATTTTTACATTACAATTGGTTATTATTTTGTGTGTGTGTGTGTGTTATTGAGAGTCTAACAAGAAACAAAATTAAATACTAGAAATATTAATTAGTTTTTCACAAAAAATTCTCCATATTATATGCGAATTGTAATAATGCTGAACTCAGACTGTGCGAGTTTCGATAAACGATTTTCAGCATTCATTTGAAAAAAAAAATGTACATCTTCATATTGTTTATATTCTTTTCCCAAATTTAGAACACTTTGCTCTAATTTATTTTGCTTTAAAAATTATATAAATGTGCAGGCAAATTAAGTGTCAAATTACCGGAAAGCATTCAATGGCGAGAGTTAACTTGCAGTTACATGTATTGGGCACGTGAACTCCATACCAGATATCAAGAAAAAAATATCGTTCAATAAAATAAGATAGGATGTGCAGGTATGGTGATAACTTCACAGAACAAATTAGATTTAAAGGGGGGGGTTTACACTCAAATTTTTAAAGCGGCAATACGGCTGCAAATCGTGTGCTTTTTCATTCAAATTTACCCAATATATCATTCAGGAATAAGGTAAAAAGTTGAAGTAAGCATTTGAGAAAAATTAATATTCTCTCCTCATGTAAAATTAACGTAATTAAAATCTGCTGTAAAATCAAGGGTCGTACAACTTAGTTCTGTTTATTTGTACCACATGAATTCTAAAATGGCACGTGCATACAATGTAGGGTTTACAATTATAATGGAATATTAAGTAAAAGCAACTCTGAGAATCAAAATATCTTAAATTTCCGGTAAATGATTAATATTAAACATATTAGTCTGCATTCAGACGAATTTAACTTGATTAAGTTCAAATGTTGACGTTTTGTGTATTCGGGTGCAGGACTCTCTCATGGCGGCAAAATGTCAAACAAAATATCTTTCGGCAGTTCCAATACAGTTTGCTTTTCAAATTGCAATAATTTTTATATGTCATAAGTGCATTTTTACGTTGAGTTTACACTGATTTTTTTTTACTTTGAAAGCCATGGAGATATGAGAAATGATAGCATGTATCAACAAACCTGTAGGGTAGAACCTTCGTGAGCCCCACGTGAATGTCGCGGAGATCTCGTTTCTTCCACAGGCACCTGAAGTATGGATAATACCCCCCCCCCCTTTTTTTTGTTAATAAAAAAAATGTAAGAGTGTATAATATCTCAAAAATATAAAATTTCCCCGTCAAACACATCTGTATGTCGTTATATGCAAGCAGATTGTACTTTTTCTCACGTTTAAAGAATGACCCTATTCGGTAATTTTTATTATACCGAATAGGTATTATATTTTTGAGATATTGTACACTCTTACATTTTTTTTCATTAACAAAAAAAGGGGGGGGGGGTATTATCCATACTTCAGGTGCCTGTGGTACAGCTTGATGGCCTACTGTTCATCATAAAATTAGAAGAATTCGACATCGTGAATAAAAAATATCAATAATAATAAACGATAATTGTAAAATTTCCTAATTTCATACTCATATCTAATATCAAACAAGCAGAAATCTCGCAGGCCGACTTTTTGTCAAAAAAAAATCTACGGTATGTTGCACGTCACATGTACAGCAGCAACGACTTGAGTTTGTTGTGAAAAAAAAAAATAATCATCATTATGAAATACATGTATAATTTCAAAAGTAAAATACTCATCCTTGTCTGTCCCTTTCAAAATCTTAAAAACTATTCATAATTATCGTAAATATAGTAACAATTAATTAGAGCTTCGATCACGGTCAAATGGTAACAGTAACTCTAATGCCGTTTGTTTAAAAAGTCGCGTGGTCTTATTTTTAGCAAATGTACATTCTGTATCCTATTGTGAAAAATTCGCGATAATGATCGTTTTGTAAATTTAAAATTACATACAAGTGTTTGTTTATTTAAGTAAATTGAGATTATAATTAAACAACTTAAAACAAAATATTAGATTATTGCTAACATAATTATGTATTTCTTTCAAAACTATTTTTAACACCTGTGACCTTGAATGGAGGTAACAAAGCAACCCACAAAGCAAGAAATACTCGGTTATAAAAAGGAAAAGAGAACAAAGAAACTCTTAATACTTGTCCAGGCGAAGTTGTTACTTATCAGATTTTTTTTATCCTTAGTTATTCAAAAGTGTTACCAGCTTATTTTCTCCTTTATTTTCATTTTAATTTTTTGCCGCGTCTCAAAATAAGAAACATTCTTAATTTTTACGAGTGAAAACAAGATTTCTGAAATTCATTCACCTCTGCAACACAAAAAAGTACACAATCTTGATTTATTTTATTGAAATACAATGAAAGAAAATTTCATTTTTTAATGACATGTTTGCAATACAGATAATTAATTAATTATAATCAAGCTGATATTGTTTGCATCGAAGTGGCTTCTTTTTTGCGATGGTAATTTAGCGGTAAATATCAGAAGACCGAAAGTTAATTTGATGGTGGCCACGCGTGTCAAACAAGGTGAAAGAGATATACACAGGGACAAGTAGCTAAATGTCAATCAATTTCAAGTACCCAATAATGGACCTTAATTTATTTGATTGACAGGGGGATCTGAAGGTGGTGCTTATTATCTCGGGCTTTAAGGGTATAGACAAGTTACACAGACACCTGAAAACTTGAAGCAAGGCAACTTGCTGATTAAAATAGGCTGATTTCTGTGCTGTGTGTTCAAATTATTTTAGTCATCACAATTTCAGCTCATTCTTGCAGTATTATCTAACTCCAAAGAAAATTCAAACCTTAGAAATAATAATATACATATAATAAAACACTTATCCACTGGTTGTGAGTGGGATAGCTCTTTCATCCAAGCCCTTGACAGGAACTATTCCCCTCGGGCAAGCCCTCGGGGAATAGTTCCCTGTCTCTGGTAAGATAAAAGAGCTATCCCACTCACAACCATTGGATAAGTGTATAATATCCGTCAAAATTACAATACCATAGAGCGGGTTTTGGCGTTTGTAAAATTTGGTGTTTTTGCGTGCTCAGAGGTATGCCAATATTTTTGGCGTAATTTATTTTAGAGGATGCAAGGTTTCAGTTCTTTGCAGATGGAGACTAAAAAGAGTACTGACTATTTTAGCGATCAAAATTTTAGCGGACTATCATCAAAATGCCAAAATTAGCACCCTACTAAAAAAGCCTGCTATATGGTACATAATAAAGTCATAGGGAATGAAAATCAGTCTGCTGTAAATGTAAATTCATTATGAGCATGTTTGCTATAACCATGTTTTACTGTATGTATTTGTAATATTCCCAGAGTGTTAAAGAAAAGGCGAAGCATAAGAAAACAGAGGAAGAGCAGAAGAAAGCCGAGATGGTTGTAAAAGAAGTCCTAAAGGCCATCCAGAAAGCTAAGGCTGAGGTGCCACTGGCCGACTCTACCGTCACAGTCAGGTAAGGGTAGCACTGCGTACCTGTATACTGTTTAGGGGATTAATTTCACGGGTTGTAATTTTCACGGTTTTCTCTCATCGGACACGATCGCGGTTTCTTGAATTCGCGGAATTCTTATGTTACAGAAGTTGTCTATATCCGTTTAATCCATACCATAGCTACATGTAAACGACATTCATCATTCTTATGTCTTTATTTCACGAAAACAGGTTAGGTTAACATAAAATAGTTAGACTTAATAAATAATTGACGATTAACTAAAACAGGTGCAGTTATCAAAAGTCCTTGACTATAAACGTCATTTGAATGACTTTTCTGTATGCTATTACAATAAGTGCATGTACACCCCAAGATCTTCAAAACAACACGGAGAAAAACCACTGGACGGTAATAATTAAATATGATAATGCAGGTCGACAAAATAATATCCTTCCAAATCTTCAGTAAGTTCGATAGTCATCTGAATGATTTTATAAAATCAAAATGTCGATAAAAACTATAATATGCATGATAATGCAGGTAATGCACACACTGTGAGTGGTAACATTAGTTACGCACGGTAATCAAAACTCATGGCCCACGTGTTTTGATTGATGAAACATGTAGCGTTGGCAATTAAAAAGCCTTTTAACAAATACAGGTTATTATCTGTTGACTTGAATTAATGTAAAGCATGCTAATTCAAATAATTGAATGACAAGTACTACTCGTAATTACTGAAATGACCATGCACTGTGGTATATGTATTTAAACCTATCGTAGTCTATTCTCAAATTTCCAAATAAAACATGGAGATTATTGAAGAATTATTCACTGTTTCTTGAATTCACGGATTTATTATCACCGTGAATATAGCGAATATTAACACCGCGAGTTATTTTCCCCCTATACAGTACCTGGAAATTGTTGTCAAAGGTTTTTAAATTTGCCATCTTTTAATAGGCAATCTAATAACTGGAGTTATTTTTAGATGTGAGCAATATGAAAATTGGAAATGGGACAAATATTTTTTTTAATGAGAGTACATCTAGATAAAAGTAGCATGACTGAAATGAAACTTTGCCATCATGACTTGTGTGAAAGGCTTTTGAAATGTTAATTGATACGGAAAAAGATTTTTTTTTAAGAACTACGAACTCTAACTCTTGATTCCCGCCTACATTTTGCACCCATTAAATTCAATATTAATGGCAATTTGGCCATTAAATCTTTGTTTCATACAAAGAACAGTTCTATGGTTATTGATTAATCATTTTTTTTAATTCCAACGCTAGATAGTAAGTTATCATTAATTCCAGCTCTTGAAAAAAGGGGGGTAGACGACATTTTCTAGTGAAATCGAACTTTCAAGAATCACCATATTTGAAATAGTCATAAATATGATAAAATTTATCTCATACCTTTTCTTATGTTTTACGCAAATAAATAAAACATATGAAATAATAAAATACAATTATTTAGTTGTAAATAGCAATAATTTAATTCTGTTTGTATTCTTGTCTCTCATTGGTTGATTTCCAAAAAGGAACGCATAACATTTTGTATAATCTGGTTTGGTATGGGGACACACCCCCTTGACAACCAGCTGAATCATCTGTATCCATCAATCCCCTCATTTCCAGTCCTTTGGATTCATGAAAAATTCCAGAATTAATGAATGTACCTTTAACTTCAAACAGTTGCTCGATCTTACCTCATGTAAACAAGCATCATGGCTGCTAGATCTATGTATCAGTTTTTACCTCCCCTTGCTTCCCTTCACTTCCGTTACTACGGTTGTATTATTGCGCCGTAAATTTGAACTAATAAAAACAACACAATTTTACATCCCCAGTTGTTTAATTATTTTAAAATTAAATTATAAGGAATGACTCTAATTCTTGGCCAGATTATCGAGTATAATATGGTTTGGGTCAGTTTACGCTTTTTAGCTCACCTGAGCCGAAGGCTCAAGTGAGCTATTCTGATCAAAATTTGTCTGTTGTCGTCGTTGTCGTAAACTTTTCACATTTTCATCTTCTTCTCAAGAACCACTGGGCCAATTTCAACCAAACTTGGTACAAAGTATCCTTGGGTGAAGGGGATTCAAGTTTGTTCAAATGAAGGGCCAGGCCCTTTTCCAAGGGGAGATAATTATGAATTAGAGAAAAATTAATGGCATTTTAAAAAAATCTTCTTCTCAAGAACCACTGGGCCAGAAAAGATGAAAGTCATGTGGAATCATCCTCAGGTAGTATAGATTCAAGTTTGTTCAAATCATGACCCCCGGGGGTAGGGTGGGGCCAAAATGGCCGATCAAAGTTTTACATAGGAATATATAGGAAAAATCTTTAAAAGTCTTCTTCTCAAGAACGTCTGGGCCAGGAAAGATGAAACTCATTTGGGATCATCCTCATGTAGTGTAGATTCAAGTTTGTTCAAATCATGACCCCCGGGGGTAGGGTGGGGCCAAAATGGCCGATCAAAGTTTTACATAGGAATATATAGGAAAAATCTTTAAAAGTCTTCTTCTCAATAACCACTGGGCCAGGAAAGATGAAACTCATTTGGGATCCTTATGTAGTGTAGATTCAAGTTTGTTCAAATCATGACCCCCTGGGGAAGGGTGGGGCCAAAATGGCCGATCAAAGTTTTACTTAGGAATATATAGGGAAAATCTTTTTTAAAAATCTTCTCAAGAACCTTTGGGTCAGGAAAGATGAAAATCATGTGGAATCATCCTCAGGTAGTATAGATTCAAGTTTGTTCAAATCATGACCCCGGGGGTAGGGTGGGGCCAAAATGGCCGATCAAAGTTTTACATAGGAATATATAGGAAAAATCTTTAACAATCTTCTTCTCAAGTACCACTGGGCCAGGAAAGATTAAACTCATGTGGAATCATCCTCAGGTAGTGTAGATTCAAGTTTGTTAAAATCATGACCCCCGGGGGTAGGGTGGGGCCAAAATAGCGGATCAAAGTTTTACATAGGAACATATAGGGAAACCTTTTAAAATCATCTTTTCAAGTACTTCAAAGCCAGGCTTCGTTATATTAATAGGGAATCATCCTCAGGTAGTGTAGATTCAAGTTTGTTCAAATCATGACCCCCTGGGGGGGTGTGAAATTCAAGCCCCCCCCCCCCCCCCCAATGTGATCTGTGTTTTTTCCTAGCCAATTGCTCAGGTGAGCGATATGGCCCCTGGGCCTCTTGTTTATAATCCGCTTCGTGGATTATAAAGCGTAAACTGACCCAAACCATATTATACTCGATAATCTGGCCAAGAATTAGAGTCATTCCTTAATTAAAATTGGTGAGAAAGCAGTATTTTTTTCGTTTTTTGTACATAAACATATGTTCCCACCCGTGAAACACAAAAAGCTTTGGCATAAATTTGTAAAATGACAGTCCATATTACCTGTAAAAAGGAGTTTTTGTTTCACGGGGGGGAAAGATTTTTTAAAAATATTTTCCGTTTTCCGTTGATTCTATAGTGAAAAACACAAGTTTTACCAAAATTATAGAGTTATCTCTCTTTGGTATCCCAAATAAGTAACGTTTAATGAAAATTCATATAAATATCTAAAAAAAATTTTGAAAATCATTCGAATATGTTAATTTTTGAGAATTGACTTAGAGGTAGGCGGGAGAACAATACTATCGTTCGTAGTTCTTTGTTACAATACTTGGAATGATTAAACTTAATTTGTTCATTGATTAGTTTATATTAGACATCTGATATTACTTGGTTCACAGATCCCCTGATTCGGCCCTGCAGTCCGGTCTAGAGAAGCCAAAATTCACCCCGTCTGGGCCTCAGCTGTGGAAGGGGTTCATCCAGATGCAGGATGTGGCCAAGTTTGTAACCACAGCTTATCCAGTGTCAGGACATGCAGACAAACAGGTCAATAGTCATACAGGCTTTTAGTCCCAATCGTATCTGTAAAACATGCTCTTAGCCCTATTAGACAGTAAAAATAATCATCTTTTTAATTATGCAAGTATCAAGTTCACATAACATTATTTTGCTCAAGAAGACATAACTTTGTAAAGCCAAAAAAAAAAAACTTTGCTTCAAGAGTGATGTTCAAATAATGTTTTCTGTAAGTTGTCTTTATGTTTTATTGTTTTGCAGGATCTACCAGACACAATCCATGTATGTGGAAGAATTGGACCAGAACAGATCTGGGATTACCTGGCAAAAATGAAGAAAGTAGGATCAAAAGTATGTACATTAAGCACCGTGATGAATCAAATTAATGTTGAGGCCTTCTCTGGTATGAAAAGAACATTATTGTTCAAGTGTTGTGGCCTATGGGCCTCTTGTATTAAGAGGCTAGAAGAGCATAAAAGGTTTGTGCAGATTTAAAGTGATAAAAAGATCTTAATACATTAAAACAAAGCACAAAATATGGTAAAATTTTAAATGAACTTGCAGTGAAATCTAAATATTAAATCATTTTCTTTGTATTTTAAAATTTGTGGAGTATGTTGTACTGCAGCTTGGGTGAACTGTGTTTTTTAGGACATAGTTATATTGATGTTTACGTGAACCTTATGTTTTAGGACATAGTTATATTGATGTTTATGTGAACTTTGTTTTTAGGACATAGTTGTATTGATGTTTACGTGGACCTTATGTTTTAGGACATAGTTATATTGATGTTTATGTGGACCTTATGTTTTAGGACATAGTTATATTGATGTTTACGTGGACCTTATGTTTTAGGACATAGTTATATTGATGTGAACTTTGTTTTTTAGGACATAGGTATATTGATGTTTACTTGGACCTTATGTTTTAGGACATAGTTATATTGATGTTTACGTGAACCTTATGTTTTAGGACATAGTTATATTGCTGTTTACGTAGACCTTATGTTTTAGGACATAGTTATATTGATGTTTACGTTGACCTTATGTTTTAGGACATAGTTATATTGATGTTTACGTGAACTTTGTTTTTTAGGACATAGTTATATTGATGTTTACGTGGACCTTATGTTTTAGGACATAGTTATATTGATGTTTACGTGAACTTTGTTTTTTAGGACATAGTTACTGGTATATTGATGTTTACGTGGACCTTATGTTTTAGGACATAGTTATATTGATGTTTACGTGAACTTTGTTTTTTAGGACGTAGTTATATTGATGTTTACGTGAACTTTGTTTTTTAGGACATAGTTATATTGATGTTTATGTGGACCTTATGTTTTAGGACAAAGTTATATTGATGTTTATATGAACCTTATGTTTTAGGACATACATTTACATGTAGTTGTTCTGATGTTTTTGTAAACTCTGTGTTTTAGGACATAGTTATTCTGCGGTTCATCCCTGGGGGAGATGAAGAGAAGACTCATTATATAAACCTGTACTCCTACCTGAACAGTCGAGCCCGCTGTGGGGTGGTGGGAAACAAGGCTAAACACATCAAGGACTTCTACATCCTCCCCCTCGCCTCACACAGTCAGATCCCCTCCGTACTCACCCCGTTTGATGGCCCAGGTACAGTACGCTAAACTTAGGCATATAAAATCGCTAATAAATTTAAAGAAAAGAGTCAAAATTTCATTATGGCAAATGAGTTAGGACAAGAAAAATTTCATAGATAACTGAGAATTAGAGATGTTGTTATAATGCATGAAGAAAAAGTGGTAAGGCTTCACTCCCATATTTTCAAAGTATTTGAGGTAAGGAGTTCAAGATCCTGACACTCAGCTGTACTGTTGAAAAACAAGTTTAAAACATCATCAAGGTCATTCAGATGTGACAAACTTCTCTTCACACCTTTTATCCTGTTATCAGAAATTTTTGAATTAATTCATCATGTTCTCAAATGAATTGTTGACATTTTAAGCATTTTAAAGGGAGATATGTAGAAAGTATAATATATAAATATGGTAGGGGATGGTCAATTTAACAGCATATATCAAGCACTACTGAGCCAGGACTGAGCATAAACATAACCTGTATGGAAACTTTCATATGTAATGAAAAGATTTACTATATACAGGCAGGGTTCGACACTAACTGGACCGGCGGCCCGAGTCCACCAAAAAATTGGAAGGTCCACCAAATGTTCTGGACTAGGTGGACCATCGGTCCACTTAAAATTTAAACAATGTATTTTTTTTTTTAAAAAGTGAAATTCCAGGTTTTTTTTTTTTTAAATCGAAATTGGTAACTCAAATTATTAATTCCTCCATATCTGTATTTTACAAGAAATAAATATACATGTAAATAATGTTAGAGGTAATCAGGGAGACCTAGCATTATCAATAACATTGAGACGCAAGAACATTCAACGTAGACCTTGAATAAGAAGCATGAAAAAATCTGTGCCAAATTAGCCAGTCTCTCTTCTGTTTATGTAATGCACAGAAAGGTGTGAAAATTATACTGGACAACAGGAAATCGCTTCATGCCTGAACACACACTGTTGGAGATAATTAGAATTGATTGACAGCTGCATTTTCGCATTGTTTGTTTGGTTTTTTTTTAGATGTTCAAACGTGTAATTTACATTTTATGAACTATGATCTGCAGTTTCATTTTTCCCCTGATATATCACTTATTTGAATAAATGTAGAAAATAATTAATACACATATATGTACCTATGTCAGTTTTGCATCGCAGTAAAAAAAAGATCTAGCCATAGATACATGAAAAATTCATTTGTTTAATATTTGAACAGATTAATTAATAATTGGAATTTTAAATTTAATCTACCTTTGGAAGGGAAATAAATGCAGGTTTTCACCATTGTAACTTGATGATTATCAAAATATTTTTTGGGTTTGTGGATTTATACGTTTTTTTTTTTTTAAGTTTTACAATATTTCTGAAAAAAATCTGACTAGTCCCTAATTGAAATGATTCTGTTAAATGGTTAGATTTGTGCCTCATTAGTCTGACTGGAATCAGTATATATATATTAAAGTTAGTTTTAATTAATGCCTTGCATAATGATTCAATCATTAATTCAAACACTTATGAAGGTCCACCAATAATTTTTGACAAGTGGACCTGTGGTTCACCAGGGTAAAAAAGTTAGTGTCGAACCCTGATACAGGGTTATTTTCGCCCCTCTTTATTTTCGCCCTTTCACACTTGGAAACAATTTTGCCCTGTTTTAAATTCGCCCAGTCACAGTTTTGTTTAAGAAATTATATTGTATATTTTGAATTCGCCCCTTTTTAAATTCGCCCAAACAAGGTTGGGGCGAAAGGGGCGAAAATAAAACAGGGGCGAATATTTCCCTGTATACAGTATGTAGAGACATAAACAAAAGTCGGATCTTTTCAAGAACCACAGGACAATAAATTGACAGCCAAAGGTGTTTGCAAAGTTAGGTAAACTTGATTTAAAAAACAGCACAATAAGATCAAGGCTTTAAGCATGTACATATATATATTTAAACTGAAATGCATAATTATGCATGTACATGGAGATAATAGTTTAAAATTAATGTTTTCAGGATTGGAGGATAATCGTCCCCATATGTTACTGGCAATCATGGTCAAACAAAAGCAAAAACGTCACAGTGACCATGATCATCACCATGACAGCAAGAAATCCAAACACGATTACGAACATCATCGTAGTAAGAGCAGCAGCAGTAAATCTTACGTCCCTCCAAGCTCCAAAATCCCATCTAAAGGTACATATATACTGTACAGCAGTAAATCTTACGTCCCTCCAAGCTCCAAAGTCCCATCTAAAGGTACATATATACTGTACAGCAGTAAATCTTACGTCCCTCCAAGCTCCAAAGTTCCATCTAAAGGTACATATATACTGTACAGCAGTAAATCTTACGTCCCTCCAAGCTCCAAAATCCCATCTAAAGGTATGTATATACTGTACAGCAGTAAATCTTACGTCCCTCCAAGCTCCAAAATCCCATCTAAAGGTACGTATATACTGTACAGCAGTAAATCTTACGTCCCTCCAAGCTCCAAAGTTCCCTCTAAAGGTACGTATATACTGTACAGCATTAAATCTTACGTCCCTCCAAGCTCCAAAATCCCATCTAAAGGTACATATATACCGTACAGCAGTAAATCTTACGTCCCTCCAAGCTCCAAAACTCCATCTAAAGGTACATGTATACTGTACAGCAGTAAATCTTACGTCCCTCCAAGCTCCAAAGTTCCATCTAAAGGTACAGATGCTCTTTACAATGACATTAGGAAGATAGAAAAATTAAGCAGTAATTTTAGATTTAAGCCTACACAATAGATGACATATAGTACATTCAAATCAGTGCAAAAAATGAGCAGATATGAATAACCCATTTGTAAGGGATTTGTGTGAATTTCATCTACCGGTATGTTGAATTACATGTATCTTTATGTGTATTTTAATTTCAAGCAATGGTAGTATGAACAATCTGTTGGACATTTAATATAAAACGTTTACATATCAACAAACATAGCAGGAGATTAAGTTAGATTAAGTGCAGTTGGTAAAAAAATTATTTAAAAACTTTAAATAATTCAATTATATGTATGTCCATGAACATTTGATTACATCCCATTGATTTCAATAGGCATTTCAGGCTGGTTTAGGACATAAAACTTTTTTTTTTGCTATGTTCTGCCCTGATTTATCAGGGCATTAACATTTATGTTTGTCTTTTGACAAAATATACATGCATGTACCTGTGTTTGTAAATTGGATATGAAAAAATAGATGATAAATTTTTCATGTTTATGTAAGTAATAACAACACAGATTGCGCAAAAATTTATGCATGTCTTGTGGTGCAAGTAAGAAATGGTGAAGGGTATTCACAGCAACTTTATTATTTAACAGATTCCTCCAGATCTACTAACAAGTCTTATTATGATTCTTCATCATCTGAAACAAGCACCCCTAAGTCAGGGGGTGGCACCCCCAAAGTTCCCCCCAATGCTGGAACCTCTACGGAGAAAAGTGACCCAATCATAAAGGCCTATGGAAAAGGGGCAGGACTTGTAGATGATGATAATGGTAAATGGATGACACAAAAAATCACTGCTTCTTCTGTTGATAGATGATTTAAAACTTGTAAAATGGCTGAATATCTGGTTCTGATTTTCAGATCAAGACAGCAGGGCGTCTGCAGAGGATATTCCTTATGATCCGGAGGACGACTCCCAGCTCCCGTACAAGAAAGCCAAGGTAGACCGACAGGACAAGAAACCTCCGGAGAAGCCATCACCAACCTCTGTAACAGATCTTATAGCCAGGATTTCTAAGTGCAATACACCGGCGGAGTCCACCGCCCTCACTGTGGCAGCTCTCGCCACGCTCAAGTCCACGCAGGAAAAGAGACGATTTCTCCTGGACCTCACTTCTAAAGTTGAGGAACAGAAGAAACTGTTGGAGAAGAAGGAAGTGGCCAAATTAACGGCCAGAACTTTAGTGTCGGCAATTTACGCCATCAGTGCCGCTTCCAAAGCCTTGATTCCTGCCGCTAAAGCAGCAGCCAAAATAAAATCTCCAACTGTGTCGCAAACAGCAACATCTACCACAGAGTCTCCACAAGCAAGTACAGATTCTAAACCTGCTGCAGCAGTGGAGACGTCTAGCCAGGAACAAAGTGTAGTGTCTGAAAGCTCTGAAGCTACACAGACTCCTGATGTTATGAAGGAGACCAAGTCTGTATCATTCTCATCAGAAGTAACGGTGACACATGTGGCAGCAGCAGAGTATACTCCAGAGGAGATGGAGTCTGCTCAGGATGTGGACATGCGGATTGGCACACAGCCACCAGTATTAAGTAAACCCAGTGAAGAAAATAAAGCTAGTTCAGACATCAGTGTGACTCCACCAAGCTTCTATGTGGAAAATCATGTTTTATCAAAGCAAGAGACTCCTTCGTCAGAGGATGCTAGTAAATCTGTGAATCCTTCAGAAATGCCTGAGGCTCTGAAATCTTTGTTCTCAATTATTCCTGGTGCGAACTATAATTACATGAGCAATATCAAAGACAAAAGTGATGTGGGATCAAAGGAAACAGGCAAAGTGGAATCTTATTCCACATCTACTGGACAGACATCCACTTCACAGAAAGTGGAAGAAGAGGATCAGGTGGAGAAAAAGAACATGTTTAATGTGTCCCTTCTGGACTTTGATTATGGAGATTCAGACAGTGATGGAGAGGATTCTCCAAAAACTCCTAAAAAAGAACAAAAGACTCAAGAACAGGACACTCTCAGTGATTCAAAGGAAATGAAAGCCAAGAAGGAGGAATCAGATTCAGAATCAAAAGGTAGTTTTCATTTAAAAGCTACATGTACCTTGATTTTATTTATTTTTTTTAGCAATGTGGTTATTGAAAATGCATAATGTCAAATGTATGAATGATATTGAATGACAGAGTGTTTTTTTTCCAGACACTAAGGAAAGGGATAGAGAATTAATGCCACCTCCACCTTTGCCAGTGGGCCTGGTGAAGGACAATGGAGCACCACCCCCTCCAGAGTCAGATTTACCTCCTTTACCCCCAGAGCCTCCTCCCCCTCTCCCTGAACACGAGCCAGAGGAGGAAATCCAAGAGGACAATAAAAAGAAGAAAAAGAAAGCTCCAAAGCCCCCTCCAGAAATCGTTCTTACTCCCGTCAACCCAGTTGGCAAAGCTATATTGCAAGCTACTTATCAGAAACTGGAACATGAGAAAATTCACCAAATGAATGTTCCCCCGCCTCCCTTGCCCCCTCTGTCCCTTGCCCCAACAGGTGTTCCCCCTCCTACAGGTGTGCCTCCTCCTACAGGTGTGCCCCCTCCTACAGGTGTGCCCCCTCCTATGGGATTACCCCCTCCCACTGGAGTCCCTCCCCCTAATATACCCCCAATGTCATCCAATGCTTCAAACATGCCAGGACCATCACCACCAATTATGCCAGTTTCAGGGCCTCCACCTCCATTTTTGCCTACTTCAGGGCCACAGCCAGGATTGCCTCTGTTATCTGGGCCCCCTCCTCCTATATCTGGTCCACCCATTTCTTGTCCCACACAGACTATGGCCTTGCCTGGACCTTCACAGTCTGGGATGCCTCCCCTTGGGCCTCCTCCCATGCCACCCAATTCCATGCCCTTACCTATGCCTTTGGGTGGAGGTCCAGAGGGGCCACCACCAATTCAGGGTGGTCCCCATATGTCACCCATGGAGGACCGTCACAGACCATACAGACAGCACACAGAAAAAGGTTAGTCAGATCTCCAAATGTAAATCAACCAAACATTGTTTTTGCAAATATTTTACTAGATAATGTGTAGGAATTATCTGCTAATTGTTGATAATTTTGTGGTATTGGCATGATCTGTTGATTAAGTTGATATATGAGCCTGCTGTAACACCTATCTCTCCTGTGTAGGATATGCTGGTAAGCCCCAGTGGGAGGATACAAGCTTGGTGGATGAGGCCTTGACCTTACCGTTAGAGGACCAGGATTTTAGAGATAGGGACTTCAGGTAACCACACAAAAGTCCCCTGAAATATATGTAGAGATTTTTTCTTTGAGAATTTTCACTTTTTCTACAGTGTATTTCAAAAATGGGATATTTGTCTTAATTTTTCTTTTACTGGTCATTTTTCTATTGCTATTTCTCGTATATGATTTAGAAGATAGTGGCTAAGTTAACAAATAATCTGATATCTGTGCATGTTACATCAGAATCAGTAACATGCTGATTCACCCATCCTACACATAGTAAAACTGTCAAGGTAAACAAAAGTTGAGATCTTAACTTAGTTAACATGATTAATTGAATCATTAAGTGCATTATGAAGATTTGTTTGCACACACCCTTGTAGTTATGAAATTCCATATTTAAAAAATAATGATTCATTGTTTATATTTACATTTTTTATCTCTCTGCCCTGACTGCAAATACGAATTCTATTTCGAAATTCGTGTATTATCTTTCATGTAATTTCTGTTAATGGAAGAGCCAAAGTAAAAGCTTCAGGTCAATGTGTGCATGATATATTTTTCATTTATGATGTTCCTCTTCTTCAGTGTTCAACGCTTGTGACTCAAAATAACATATGTTTTGAATGCCATAGATTTCCACACACTTTATATGCAAAATGCGTGGATTTTATATTTTTAAAGTATTAAATTCAAAATATTATTTGAAATCATTTACACTTGGTTTCATTAGAAAATTTTCTTTCTTAATATTATTTTGAAGACATGGGGAAGATGTGGATGAAAGAAAACAACCTTGGAAAGGTCAGAGACAAAAGTTCCCGCCCCCCTGGGCACAGGATGTGGACCACAGACACAATCAGGACACAGGCCCCCCACCTTCTCTGGGGTCCGAGGACAGGGATTTCAGACATTACCCCCATGGTGGGGACCTCGACTACAGATCTAGAGACTATCCCAAGGACGATAGGCGGGATGATAGGGTGGAGTATGAGGAAGACCAAGACTACAGGGCACAAGAGAGAGGGCATCATAGGCGGCGGAAAAAACGACGACACAGCCCAGAGCATTCGTTGTACAAAAAATCCCGACATCACGACAGAGACAAGCATTATCACAGGCATGAGGACAAAGATGATCGGGGGAAGAAGGAGGAGAAAAGTTCTCAACAGAAAAAGGAAACTGAATTACCCAAGCCTGTGCCTCCACCAGGGGTGGTTCCTACAAGTGATCCTCCACCTGGAGGGAAATCGGGACACTCCTCCCACAGGGGCCCCCCTCCCCGGATACAGCCCGCCCCGCCAGGGGTGGATGACTGGGAGTAATTGTCACACTTATATATCTATCATGTCTCAAGCTTATTGTTGTTCTTTAATTGTTGTGATTCAGCCATGTGAACAACTGTGAAGATAGTATTATATATTATATTCCTAACTTAAGTTTTTGGAATAAGATGGTAAAGTATCATCATTATTGGTATATTTTTCATAATTTACTTGCTTACTGCAAGTTATGTAAAACAATTGAAGAAAACATATTTACATGTCCAAAGGAAGGATTGGAAGTGTTGTACCTGAATGAAAATTTTGTTTAATAATTAAAAAAATTATGGAGGATTCTGATTTTGAAATTGCATTGTAGACTAATAACAGTCTACATGGCTATGTATATGAACAATTAATTTCTTTCTCTGTTATTGAAATGATGTTATTTTTAAGATGTTAGATACAATCATGAAATTAATATCACAATGTATTTTTGTGTCCTAATTTTTATCACTTGTTAAATGGCATTATCAGTTCAAACGTTTATATATATACCCACAGCATAGAAAAACAGGAAATTACAGAAGCTAAATGATACTCAAGAAAGAAAAATCATAGCACATTGTTGACTCTGGAATAAAATTTAAACTTCCCCATTTTATTTTTAAAATCTAGAAAATGAAGGTGTACATCAAATTGCAAGGTGGTTCTGAAAAGCGTTAAATAATCTTGCAGCAATTTACCCTGTAATTTCTTTGGTTAATAACTATAACAAGTTGATTCTTTATAGAAAGAATTCATATTTATGCTTAACTTTTAGCTCATCAGAGCTGAAGGTCTTAGTCTTGTTCATAAGTCAGATTATCTGTCTGTGCATTGCCTGTAGATTTTTCTTCTTATTTAACTCCTTCACAATCAATTTTTAACCAATTTAGGCTCAGGTCCTAGGATATAGGAGTTCAGGATTTTCAAATGAGAGGTCTTACCCCTAATCAAGAGAAGGTTGTAAAACAATAGGATAATAGAGTACTGGGGGTTAAAAAAATGAAGAGAAGACTTAATTATAGTATCAAATCTGCAGTGCTGTAAGAATTCCCATGAATTGTAGATTCTTTTCAAAGCTTAGGCTAGGTAGAGGTCCAAATTTAAGTTAAAAAAATACATGAAGTTTTCATATTTTAATAAAAATTACATGTTAGTAAAACAGCAATCATCAAATTCTGATTTTCCAAACATCCTTTTGAAATGTTTCTTCCAATTGTACTCATCTGAGCACATGGACGCAGGACTACAGTAGATGTTCAGAATTTAGTTGTAAAGATTGATTTCACATTGAATGTTTCCTACTCAGCCAGTATGTGTAATTTCATTGACCAAGATATCAATGTCTTGCAATCTGACTATAAAAGTTAATATATATCCAAAGACTTTTATTGCCATTGTTATTATTTACAAAATGTTCATTTGGTAGATGTAAATATTTATATTTCATATGGCAGTTCAATTTTATGCTGCTTACGACTGTGACTTAATGCATTAATAATGTTTATTCCAACAAAAAAAGACCTATATATATCGTATTTCCTCCAAGTTTAATATGGCATTTTAGACACTATTAAGACTTTTCAGTGTTCACTTCTATTTTAATGAATTAGATATAAGAGAATTTATCATGTGTAAGGACTTGCATCCTTTGCATTTATATCATTTTTCATGTATACTGATGTACTCAATATGAGTTTTAAGCTTTGTTTTTCATTTGACTGTTGATGAATTTGTTTCATTGGATAGAGTACTTGTTGAAATGTTTTAGTTGCGATGATTGGGTTTTGAACATACCTTGTACATGGTAAATAAAGGAATTGAAAACCAGTTTTTGTTTTTTTTCACCTTATTACTATTATAATATTTAGGACTACAAAAGGGTTTAAAGCTTGCTGAATCCCTTGCAAACCAGAAACAAGAGATCCATGGACCATACTGTTCTTTACCCGATTTTCAGCCATTTATCTATTGCGACCCCACCCTACCCCCAGGGGTCATGATTTGGACAATTTCAAATAAACATTACCCCAGGGTGCTTCTACATAAGTTTCAGCTCTTCTGGCCCAGTGGTTCTTGAGAAGAAGATTCTTAAAGATTTATTCCATATATATCAATGTCAAACATGGATTCCCTATTATAGCCCCATCCTAACCCTGGGGGTAATGATTTTAACAATTTAGAATGTACACTATGTGGAACACTTCCAAGTTACAGCTTTTCTAAGAGTGGTTCTTGAGAAGAAACGGAGATTACGAACAGTATTGAAGATCAAAAGTCCATAAAACAATACAAATTAGGAGCAGAGCAAACACGGATCTCCAAAAACATCAGAGGTGGGATCAGGTGTCATGGAGATGAGCATCCCCTGCTGACCGGTCACATCCACTGTGTGCTACTTGTCATGATCGGGAAATAATGGGAAAAAAATCATCATCTGTATGCAGGTGATGAAGGTATATTGCTGCTTAACAAGGGAAGTTGGCAATTGTAAGTTAAAATCGTCACGTTTTTCATAGAGCTTAGTTGTTAGATTACCGTTAACGTCTTTTTCAAGTAAAGTATCCAAGTATGAAACAGATGTGTCAGACTACGTGCTATCTATAAAAGCTCACCGAGATAATCGTATCGACATAAGAATGGGAGCTACCATTGTTAATTGACAATACGTCGTCGATATTTCTAAATGTCGAGTTGAATGCCACAGGAAGTGTTTTTCTTTTCCCGTATAAGGTTTTGAATAAATTCTGCTTCATATGAATACAAAAATAGGTCTGCTAATAATAATAAATTGCTACCCATGGGAATTCCAATAGACTGTTGGAAGATCTGGTATCCAAAAACCACATAGATATTGTCATTCAAAAACTCGAGCATCGTTTTGATGTCAACTTCAGAGTACTTGTGTACAATCCGAAGATTTTTTAACAAAAATATTTTGCGAATGACCAATGGCAATGTAATTAAATTAACGACCTAACGATTGTCAAATTTTTCATCAGTCTCACGATGCTTTTGGGAGATTTGCCAAGAAAATAAGTTGTTAACGTTTATCAACCGTATTCTAAACTTATAACTACATGTCAGAGGTATGAAAAACTGACAAAGTCACTGCTCATATCGCTTTTGAAGCAAAATGAAAAATCCTTAATTTTAACGTAAATCTTTTTTTATTTTAATTTTAGAGTTCGTGCTCGACAAGTGCATAATTGCGGCAAATGGTACAAATATAGAATAAAGTCAATTAAATAAAATATATGTCTAAAATTCCTTTGATATGTTTCAGCATTCATGAAAATTATGAGCAATGTATATAGCATGACGCTTTTAATTTCTTGCTATTAAAACATCAATTAAGAAATGTCACATCTTACTGTAATTTTTAAAAGTGGAACAAGAATAAAATTAAGACAAAACAAAATTTGATTTCTAAATAAACTATCAATTTTTTTCTCCTAAATTGTTACTGCTTTTGTCTTTAGTCGTAAAAATAGGCATAGGACAGGGGAAATATTTCAACTTGACACTTTTAATTTCTTTCTGATTTAAATCGAAGATAATTATGAAATTTCATTAGGTCAAGTCAAACAATTTTCGATACCTATCTAGAAGTATCATGGCTTTAGTTAATTTCCTAAGGATCACAACCGAGCCAAAGTTTCAAGTAGGTCAGTGTGTTATATATCTACAAGTGTCTAAAATGATTTTCGAATCGTTTTTGTAATGCATACCTTCAACAATGACTTCCTGTTATTTGATACGTTTCCCTTTGCCGGTGCACAAGCGCTCTTTTCCTACATGTACTTGATATTTAGCTGCAGAACTGGTGCTCTCTGCTTGAGAAAATTCGGACAGATAAAGCTGTCCGAATTTTCTCAAGCAGAGAGCTACAGTTCTGCAGCTAACTTGAATTCAGTATATTAAACTAATGAAAATTTTTACGAAAGTATATCACTGTGTATGATTGAATATTTCCATTTCTAATTTTTTTCTCTCTGATAACTCTATGAAAGTTAGCGGAGTTGATTTCTTGATAATTCCGACGGAATGTATATTAGGCAGGTCGATAGGTCAGGAGCTGAGGAGGCCTAATATGCATGCAAATCTCGTACGCATCTGTCTCTGTGTCTTACGCTAAGGAGGCCAAATATGCATATAAATCTCGTGCGGCTGCCTTTGTGTTTGACGTCAGTGGCCGAGGACTATTGAAATTGGCATGGGAGTCCTCGTGTAATTTAAATCTATGTCGACATTTTTAAAATCTATATCTACAATTTAATTTCACAATAAATGGAAACGATAGAGGGAAACATGGGATAATTTATGCATAACGGACTTCGCCCGTTATGCAAATTATTCCATTTTTCCCACTATCGTTGATGCCCTGGCATACTATACTAACTAGACAGTGATTCCTTAATCAATTGACTGTATATTGTTTGACGTCCCTTTCGAAAATTTTTTCACTCATATGGAGAAGCAACCATTTACTCGGCTCTCAGGGCCATTGAGCAGGGACGGATAATTTACGTGCCAGCACCTCCTGCGACACAAGACCTTGGTTCATATTCGAACCCCCGAGGTAAGAATCAACTTCTTGCTTCGCGACTCTAGAGCAGACGCTCTAACCACTGCGCCACACGGACGACCGAAACTAGGAGATAAAACAGTAACCGCTCACCTTGGTCAACTGTTGTTAATACATTTTTGGGAGTCATAACACGCTCACACATGTAGCTATAATGAAACGTAATATGGAGATAACAAACTAGTTCAAAAGTTCATTCAAACAATACAATTCAGGAGCGGAACAAAGACGGGTTTCTGAGACACTGGAGGCGGGATGAGGTGCCACAGAGGACTAAGCATCACATGCCGAATGGTCACACCCGTCGTGTGCCCCTTATCATGATTGGGAAATAACGGGAAAATCCGTCGACAATTCAGAGTGTAAATACTTTAAAATCACATACCCGGTATTTTCGTGGGGGCAAATTTTCGAGGTTTGAGAGAAAAAATATTTATATGTGGGAATTTGACTTCGTGGTTGGAGAAGTGTTGAGTATACATGTAGTAATGCATATGAAATTGTACATTTCATGGTGGTCATGAAATTAGTGATTTCAGAGTAATGGTCTAAAAGTAGTTTAAAAAATGTCCATCAGTATTTGACATAATCCTGTTGATGATAAATTGTATTTTTCTTCTCCTGCACCTTCTTCTTTCATTAATGTGCTTGGCACCAATGTTGGGCATCATCGCATATTTGCTGATAAAGTCATTGTTTCGGCTATAGAACTTGCAAATGATTTTGATGAGATTTTTGATATTCTTGTTTCATAAACATTTTTGTTAGTAATTTACCTCGAGTAAGAAATTATTCTTACGCAGATCTTGTTCTTGATTATCGAATGCACTGACTGAGAGTTATAAACCAATGCAGGTTATAAGGATAGGTTGTTGAAATAAGTTACTTAAAAGACAATTGACTATCAAAAAACTGAAGCCATCACAATCATCACAAAACTTTGTTGTTAGTTTACTATTAACGTCATTTTCTAGAACTAGTATATTATCTTTATACTTTGTATGGTTTTGTTTGGCATATATCCAAGTTTATTATGGATATCTTAATAATTTGAAAAAATATAAAGTCATATTATCGATTCTTGATATCGTTACATGTACCAAAAGACAATAGAGACAAATATTCATCATGTACAAAATCAATCAAAATAGTTGCTTTGATTTCTGAAAAAGAAAATGTATTCTGGATACAGTGTGAATGTAAACACAAAATATGAATTAATTTGGATAAAGAAATTCAAAAGCATAAGGCTTTATGTCGAAAATACAGTATGAAGTATATACTTACAGCTCAAACTAATAAAAAATAACTATCTTGAATAAAACGAGTCATCACTTTATCCAGTAGATATTTTGGATTTCTTAACGCAACAAAAAAAAAACTTAAAAGAAATCCTCTACATATGCTAAGTATACGTGTAGTAGTTAAAATAAAAAAAAAAAAGACAAATCAAATGTATAATCAACATGTAATAAAAACACAAAAATATGTTTGTATAATTTATAATCTGAATATAGCACTGATAAAATCAGGACAAAACATGTACTGATTAAAAAATATCGAAAAAAGTAAAACAAGAAAACAATTAAAAAAGTATATGCATTATTAAAAAAGAAATCTTACGCTGGAGGCTAATTGATACAGAAATCTAAAAATTAAACTTAACATTAATATTTAAGTAAATTGGATTAAAAAATAAAACAGACTTGTCTTTTGTATTTAACAAGCCTTGATTTATCGATTTTCACTTCAAATTGCTAACCAATCAATCAACGTAAAACAATATACCTGTAGAATATCAATTTCATCACGCTGTCTTACATGGGTTGAAAAAAAGTCAAATCTCTCCATATTTTAAGAAAAAAGTGACAAATTATCTTTCATATAAATGAAAAAATATTTATGTATAAACTGATAAAATAAACTGCAAGGCTATAAGCCAAAAAACATAAACCAGTAGAAAGATGCATTAAATCGTACACCTATTGAAATAAAGATGTTGACTTAAAATGTAAATCATAAAATGTATAAATTTATAAAAAGAAAACTATTTAGAACGAATAACATTTTTTTTCAAAGACAGTTTTATTTTATTAAGTAACAACTAGAATTTTTTTTATTTTTGCACCCCTTGATTTGCGATAAATACCGACTTCAATGTTGAAAATGTTCTTAACCTTAAATTCCTCTCACATTTTCCAAATGTGGGTGGACAACTTTTTCATGCAAAACATTTCTCTTCA